CACCTGCCCGACACCAGGTAAACTCCATCTTTTGTTACTCTTAGGATTCGGGTAAGCTGTTATAGAGCTCGGGAGGTCCGGATTGGTCTCCAGGTGCCATCCTTTTCTACCATGTAGCCTGGTCAAAGCATGTGCTTCCAGTGCCTCAGTTCCCCTATCTGTGAAATGGGACTGTTTATCCCTCCCCAGTCAAGAACAGCATGCACTATAACCTTCTGGGGGCCTGAGGGGTGTCAGAGCTGGAAAGGAGCCTTGGAGCTGCACTTGGCCCTACAGCACCCTGGAGAAATGACAGGTCCCAGAAGATGGTGTCAAGTCCCCAGCTTTGTCCGAGTTTTCCCAGCCTAAACTTGGCCCCCAAATAGCAGATCCACTTTCAAACTGGGGCCAGTAGGGAGGCAGCTGTCTCCTCTCCCACATGAACTGCTCAGAACTGTTGCCAACACAGGGTGCTGAGGACAAGGCAGGTCTATGGCCGGTGAGGGGGAGAGATGGCAGGACAGAAACCAGGGAACAAGGGCCAGAACCAGGACAGTGGCAACCAAACAGCTTGAGTTGGTCCCCTTGGAGGGGATGCAGGATGAGGGATGAAGACAGGTGGGGACTGAGAGAGCTGCAGGCAGCCTGGTGAGGGGCAGAGGGAGAGGCAGATTTCCCCAGGGGCATGTGGATAGGGCTGGCCAGCAGGTGAGGTGTCAGCCTTCAGGGCCAGGGAGAGAGGTGGCCTGGAGAGTGGGTTCATGGCTTAAAACAAGGGCTCCTTAGAACCAAGTCTGATGCTCCCCTGGGGCCACTTCCTGGTTGGTTCTTATCAAGCCAACCTGCTTCTGCCCTTTCTCAAATCACCTCTCGCCTAGAAAGTGGCTGGAGCTGAGAGCTGAGCCTCTTGGCACACTTGGCTCCAGCCCTGTGCTGGGGAGAGTGTCAGGATGCAGGGCTGGGGTGGCACTGACACAAGTGAGGACCATCTGAGCAGAGGTGCTCTGTGCTCAGTGTGTGGAGTGTTGGCACCAGGTTGAGGAGTTTGTGTACTGTTGGCTCATCAGTGTCCAGCTGACCTACTAAGAGAACCCATTGGCAGTCCCATCAAACTGGCCACTGGACAATGAAGATGACCACCACCTCCAGGCCAAGAAAAGTGTACACACACACACACACACACACACACACACACGCAGCCCTTAGCATTCCTCTCACTCTACCAAATGCTTGTTACCCCAAAGCACAACCCAATCCAACACCACCAAGGGCAAAACTACCACCACCAACTAGAAGACTTCATCCTAACCACACAGGTTCACCAAGGAGACCTGCTGTCACCTGTGCTACAAGGACCAGACAGTGGCATGGGATCCCCGCAGTCCTGAGGAGCAGTTTTGTCATCAAAACGGGTGTATCACCCCAAGATGGTAGAGATGCTTAGCAGCATTTGCATGCAGAATTTCAAACACAGCAACAAAAGAACACTCTTTTGGTTTTGTCCTTGTCAGGTTCAGGGCGCAATGGTGGTTTGATCCATTTCACCCTGAGGAAGGGGAGCGATCAGTGTGACCTGAGGCCTGAACCATCAGGTGGAGTGTTGAGGCCCCACTCTTGAGTCAACAGCCTAATCCCATCATGCCTCACTCCTCTGGGAAGAAGGCCAAGCCTTCTAGACCATCTACATCATCAGGACCTTTGAGTCCATGCCACTTTGCCCGCATTCCATTCTAACCCAACCCAGTCTCTTCCTCCTTCTCTACTCTCCAAATCCTTCCATTTTTCCTCTGTAAGAATCCCAGACATGACCACTGACTTTTGTCAAATCATAACCAAAGGAAAATTAAATGCGTTATTGATAACCAAAAAGTTTTATTGAAAGTTTCAAAAATTGAATAGCAGAGTGAGTCAAACCATTCAAGGGTGTGTATGTGCTTTAAGATGGCTGACACAACAGCGCTGGCTCTCTGGCCCTTGGTCCTCATGAGGAAAGAGAGGAGGCCCTCTAACAGAGGACCAGGAGAACACAGTGACACAGCAGGAGGGCAGAGCTTGCAGGGTCCTGGGGCAGTGCTGAAAGGTCCAGATGTCGCCCTGCGTGCCATGAAAACCCAGAGAAGGGCTTGAAGCGGGGGGAGAGGGGATTGCATTTGCAATTTTAGAACCCAACCTATGGCGTCTGAGTAGGGGTAGATTGCAGGGGTACCAGGGGAAGCAGTGAGGAGCCTGGAGAAGCATCCATGGGAGAGATGATGGATAGAACAGTGCCAGGAACAAATGGATGGACGCACGAGGACCAACAGGAGTTGGGTCTAATGTGGTTGGAGAGAGCACCATCCAGAGGAACTCAATGCCCCTCCCCAGAGGCCAGCTTCCTTATCTCCAGCCCTTCCCACAGACTGAATGGAAGTCTCAACCTACCGTTCTCAGAGCTTCTCCTACGAGAGGAGCCTCGCTTGGGTGTTATCAAGGAGACCAGGAGAGACCCAGAGACTGGATTCCTGGGAGGTGGAAGATCCCTGGGTGATGGACAGAGAAGGCCCCAGAGTGGTCCTCAGAGAGGCCTTCCCTGACCAGCCAAGAGTGGCCCCTAATTTTCCCTCCCTTCCTGACATGTTCGCCTGGTTATTGTCTTTACAGCCCTTACGGCAATCTCAGAACCGTCTCTCTTTCCCTTGTTTACTTGTTATTGTCTGTGAGAGTTCATTCCTTAAGATCTGCCTGTGGACCAGACCCTAAGCTTCTCAATGGCAGAAGCTCCATCTCTGTTGTCAAGCATCCAGTTTCCAGTGCTTAAAACAGTGCTAGGGCTCAGGGAATGATGAAGCCATGAGTCAAATACTGAAGCAGACAACCCAGGTGTAACTTCCTGATTCTTAAGTGAAAGAAAGCAAACAAGACATGAAAAAAAGCTTTAAAAATCACTAGAAGGAGAACCAGCTTTATTGTATAACAGCGACTTCAATATTTCTGCACCCCTATCCCACCCAAGGCGAGAGCTGGGATCAAATACCCCCCTCAAACTGGCCTGCAGGTGGGCACAGAGATGTGTGGGCGCAGCCCTGCCTCCGCTCTGCTCTGGGAGCATCCTCTGGACACTGTCTAGGCCAAGAGATGTGGCAATGCCTCCACTTACCCTGTCAGCTCTGCTCAGGGGCCAGGAGGCCCAAGGCCTTAGCTCTGTTACTAGCCACAGCGCACACATATTGAGCACCTTCTGTATGCCAGCCACAGTGCTAAGCACCTCAGGAAAGAAATACTTAATACCCCTGCCCATCTTAGCATGTCATTGTTTATTATCCATTTCCCAGCTGGGAAAATTGGAACTCAAAGGCCAAGGATGTCACCCCGTCACAAGCCTGAGGTGGGATTTGAATCCCCTCCTCCTGGCTCCAAAATTCTTGCTCCTCTGGCATTGGTGTCCAAAGCTGTCCTGTTTGCAGGGGACCCTTCATACAATGCTGCTGACCATTCTTAATGTGAAGAGACAGCAGTTTCCCCCACTGTCTAGCAGCTGGGGTTTCCGGAAGTCCTGAGGGACAATGAGGTGACCAGGGTCTAGTCTCCTTGAGTGTACCGCCGTTGGGCTTTATATCTAGAACCAGAGGGTGATTTGGAGCCCCCTCGAACCTTCTCTGGGCGGCTGCACAGTCTCTGGATCCACAGCACAATCTCCATGGCAGCAGAGCCACTGTCCCCTTCAGGTGCTTCACCAGCACCACCCACCCAGGACAGCATGGGAAACTCATGGGGGTCACCGGCGTTTCTGTTGTCCTTCCCTGCCTTGGCAGGTCAGGTAGGGGCTCGTGACTTCCTTTGCCATGAAATGTGAGCAGAGCTGACATTTCTTCCTAGCAGAAACATCCCTGCTAGGATGTTTTCCTGCTCTGCTCTCTTGCCTGGAAACTCTGTGACTTTGAGGACAAATTCAGCCTAGAAGGCCCTTGCCACTTGTTTTGAGATGCTGAGAGGTTAACATGTGGATCCTAGGGTGAATTCCTCAGGTGCAACCCTCAGCTGTGTGACCTTGGGCATGTCCCTGCATTTGTCAGTGTCTGAGTTTCCCCATCTGTGAAGTAAGGGCCATCCTGGTGCCTATCCCACTGTGAGGATATTAAGGTGGACTCCCAAGTCTCAGTACTGGGTAGTCAGAACTTAGTAGACCTGAGCTCTCAGGGGGATGGGGCAGATGCCAGTCCTGGTTTGGATTTTGGGGGTAGGATGTTGAGTTTTTTGCCCCTTTCACTTCTCCTCTGAGACTTGGCACACACCCTTTCCAGACCTGGACAAGTCATAGCAGGGAAACAGGAGGGGGGGAAAGCAAGAGAGAGCAAATGAAAGCCACGAAGCAGAGAAGACCCTTGTCACAATGACACCCAGGAATAGGCTATGACTTGGGTGGGGCAAGTCTGGGAAGCAGTGACTCTGGGAATAGACTATGACAATCCTCTGACAGTTTGATGTCTGATGACTTTGAACTTATTGCTCCTGAGTCCTGGCCCTCCCCATGCACTGAGATCTCATGGGGGAAATCGAGGCAAGAGGGATCAGCCAAGGTGAATGCAGAACAAAGGCACAAAGAACTGAACCAAAGCCCCTCCTGCACATCCATGGGTTCCTCTGTTGCTTCTGACACTTTTCAGTCCTAGGCTGCACCATTCCACCCAGATGTAACTCTGGCTGCCAATGTCTCAGGAGCAGCCAAAGAGGGAAGAAAACCATGCAGACCCCAGGGAGGTTCCTTCACTGAGACTCAGCAACTGCAGGGAAAATGGAATGTTTTATTGACAGCATAAGATGCTCACGACGGAGTCGGCACGGGTCCTCAGGCCTCAGTCCCACAGCTGCGCTTGCATAGCATCCTTTGTGCTATGCAACCTTTCCCAGGTTGAGGGCAGGTGAGCAAGAGGGTGGGAGGGACCTGTTGGTGAAGCTGAAGGGACTCAAGGCCAAGGACTGTATCCAGGCAAATCCTCTCCAGGGCAAGTTCTGGCTTCTTACAGTGTCTCTTTTTCTGTGGCTCATGCACTCAGCACTAGAAGATCCTTGGAGGGAAAAGCAGAGAACCAGGTGAGTGGGTGGGGTGGCTCTGGCTGTAGCCAGGACTTGCCTGCCTTGGATGGGGTGAGTCTGTATCTGGGAAGCAGTGACTCTTAGCAGCAGTGATGGACAGCGTCATGTGGACCTGACATTAAGAGCTGTGCCATTATTTTACACTGTTTAGAGGACCTTGGGCAATTCATTTCCCTCTGCCCTGCATCTCCTTCTTCCCCAAATAAAAAAAAAGCAGGCCTGAGCCCCTCCCTGCAGTCTTCCAAAAATCCAGGTTACATAATTTACAAAATTTCTACAACAAACTCTGGAGAAAAATTTGGAGGCTACTTAAAAAGCTAAACATTGATCTACCATATGATCCAGGAATACCACTCTTGGGGATATATCCAAAAGACTGTGACACAGGTTACTCCAGAGGCACCTGCACACCCATGTTTATTGCAGCACTATTCACAACAGCCAAGTTATAGAAACAGCCAAGATGCCCCACTACTGACGAATGGATTAAGAAAATGTGATATTTATATACAATGGAATTTTGTGCAGCCATGAAGAAGAACGAAATGTTATCATTCACTGGTAAATGGATGGAATTGGAGAACATCATTCTGAGTGAGGTTAGCCTGGCCCAAAAGACCAAAACATCATATGTTCTCCTTCATATGTGGACATTAGATCAAGGGCAAACACAACAATGGGATTGGACTTTGAGCACATGATAAAAGCGAGAGCACACAAGGGAGGGGTGAGAATAGGTAAGACACCCAAAAAGCTAGATAGTATTTGTTGCCCTCAATGCAGAGAAACTAAAGCAGATACTTTAAAGCAACTGAGGCCAATAGGAGAGGGGGACCAGCAACTAGAGAAAAGGTTAGTTCGAGAAGAATGAACCTAGAAGGTAACACACACGCACAGGAAATCAATGTGAGTCAACTCCCTGTATAGCTATCCTTATCTCAATCAGCAAAAACCCTTGGTCCTTCCTATTATTGCTTATACTCTCTCTTCAACAAAATTAGAGATAAGGGAAAAATAGTTTTTGTCGGGTAGCAACGGGATGGGGGGGAGAGGGAGGGGGCGGTGGGGGGTAAGAGAGGGGGAGGGGGAAGGGGGAGAAATGACCCAAACATTGTATGCACATGTGAATAAAATAAAAATTAAAAAAAGAAAAAGAAAAAGACTTAGACATATCACCAGTCTCATCGGGATCCCTATTCAAACAGAGTAAAACATGAGTACAGTAGGAAACAACTGGTCAGTAGATAGCTGGTGAGACTCGAGACCTACTCATTTTTAGTGGGTACCAGTATTGGCGTTGTGAACAAATGGTCGGAAAGTGTACTGGATAAATACAGATGAAACGGATGGTGAGGCAGGCTAGGGTAGGGACAGTCTGGGATGGGACTGCTCCCCCTCTTGACTCAAGGGCTCCTCTCCCTAGCCCACAGGGAGGAGTCAGGTGATGATGTATTCTCTTCCCACCTCCAAGTTCAAGGTGATATAAAAATGACGAACCAAAAGACTCCAGCCCTTCTTTTTCTCTTTCCTCATGTGGTAGAACAGGTGACTCAATAAATAAAGGTAAATAAAGCTATTCTACCACACCCCCCCAAAAAAAATTTCTACAACAAAATAAATAACAAAAGTAATAGATTGTAACCCATGGGACATAATGCAAATAAAAAACTGAGTGAATGAATAAATGGGGGAAGGGACGGCTCTTCCTGACCGAAGAATTCAACTAATAAACATAAAAGGGTTTATAGGAATGAAAATCCCCTATAGTGACCACCGTGGACATAATGGTGGCAGGCGAGCCACTAGTGAAGCCACAGTTTGTGGGAGATGTGTGGTGAGAAGCGGGCTATTCGCATTATCTCAAAGTAAGTCCTCCAAGAGGTTTATTAGTGACAAGGGAACGATAGGAACTTCCCCTGGGAGAAGCCTGGCAGGAACAGCCTGAGGCAAGTGACAAAAGTGAACTTGTTGGGAAATAATCAAGGGGACACCATGTGCCCTGAGTGTGTGTACACAGCACAGAGATGAGAGGGGCCCAGCACCACTCCTTGAGGCTCCTGCCCAAATGACACAACCTCAGTACCAAACTGAGGTCCCTCTCACAAAACAGGCAGGTTTATCACAATGGCACAGTAATGAAACATAAGAAAAAGGGAGGGGCTGTCCAGGTTGGAGGATTCGAGGACTGACAAGAAAATCCAAGCTGGGATCCTGGACTTGACAACGGACATGTGGGAGACAGGGCAGTAAGGTCTGTGGATTGACTATGTGTCACTGTCATTTCCTGCTTTCCATCTTGTGCTCTGGTTACATAAGATGCTCACACAAGGGGAAGCTGGGAAAAGAATATTCTGTAACAATTTGTTCTATTTTTGCAACTTTTCTGAAAGGTTAAAATCATATCAAAATAAAAAAGGTAAAAGCCAGCTAGATTGATGTAAAATGGTAAAAGAAAAGTCAAGGCGCCATCTACAGGGCTGCAAAGGCAGACACAGGACTGAGGTTGTCTTTAAACTTGCTGACCTAACACCGATGACAATTCCTATAGTACCTGAATCATCTCCTTTACGGTTCTGGAATAAAACCCATGGGTTATGTAACCTGTTTACACATATATTTTAAAAACCAGCATAATTCCCTTTACTGGGATAAGAGATAAGTTATTTATAATAAAACAATGTGTATTTTGATATGAAAATACTAAACCATGATTGTTTAGGAAGGAAAACTTCATTCCCATCAATGTCCTAAAGGCTCTGGAGAAAAGTGGGGTACAGTGCAGCCCCAGGGGTTTGAGCTGCTTCACATTTTGTCAGTGCAAACTCCACCCCTCACCAACTGGGTAAATGGCTAGCGCTCTCTGATAGATACTCAAGTCCTTCACCCAGCCTGTGAAGACAAACACCAGCCAGGGCTGTAGCGAGCCCCAAACTAAAATCAAACAGTGCCTGGAGCACGTGCTGAACAACGGTGACAGCTTTGTACCAATCCTATTCTTACTTCCTGACCCTTTCTTTTAAGTGAATGATACCAGTTAGCAATACGATCCTGTGACTCACCACAAACTCCCAAGATGGGACCACTGATCCCCACTGTCAGATGAAGTGTCTGAGGTTCAGAACGGTGTCCGAGTCCTACAGGAGCTCAGGTTGGGACCAGCACAGGCACCCCTGGGGACTGTCTCAGAGCTTACTCTGACTCCAGCTCACACTGCTTACCCCAGGTCACTGTCCAGCTCCCTTCACCACTCCCCTAACGTGATGGGGAGGGCTGCTCCCCTGGCTGAGGTCCAAGCCTGGTGCACGTGCGAGGAGCGGTGCTCTGCACACTGCCAATAGCAGGGTGGATGGGTGCAGTGAATTAGGAAGGAAATTTCCAGTCTGGAGCATAGGGCCATGGATTCCATCTCTGGGATGTGTTCCAAGGCACAAAATTCTGAATCTGGAAGCATTTTTAGGCACCAAGATGTTCACTGCAGCTTTATCATAAGGGGGGTCCTGGTAAGAGTGGACGATTCCAGAATGCTTACTACCGTCCAGGGGCTGTGCAAGTGCTTTACACATGGAAAATCATTTTATCCTCAAAGCAGCCCTATGGAAAATACTATGATTAGCCCCCCTTTCTCTTTACCTCTTTTTCCTGGTGGTACTGGAGTTTGAACTCAGGACCTTGCACTTGCTAGGCAGGTGCTCTACCATTTGACCCATGCTTCCAGCCCTGTTTGCTTTAAGTATTTCTCCCCACACACTGATGCCTGGGCAGGCCTGGACCACAGTCCTCCCATATTTATGCTTCCCGAGTAGCTGGGATGACAGGCATGCACTACCATGCCCAGCTTTTATTGACTGAGATGGGATCTGGAGAACTTTATTCCCAGGCTGGTCTTAACCGACAACCCTCCTTATCTCCACCTCCCAAGTAGGTCGGATTGTAGGCGTGAGCCACCACACCCTGTCTTGAATAGCCTCCTTTTATAGAGGAGAAAAGTAAAGTAGTTTGCCCAGGCTCTCCCAGTTGCAAACTGGTAGAGGCAAGATTTAGATGTGGGCTGTTGGGCTCCAAGCCCCCGTTCTTTAGCCTCAATGCTCTCCTGACTCTGATCAAAGCCACATTTAAAGCCAAAACTCCAGAAAGACTTGAATGACAAACAGCAAAGTGTTCTGAGGGATGATTCTGGGGTGCGTGCATGTCTAGGAGAAGATACAGGTGTTAGTTTCATCTTTTGCATATGTTCCACATTTCAAATGCTGAGCACGTGTGGTTTTCATCATAGAAACAAGCGCCTGCATCTGAACTTCAAGGCACCTGCCATAATTTTAATTGGTTAATTACTTCAGGAATATTTACTTGAAGTCCTGGTTCCCCACCAGGCTGGGGGAGCTTTGTCAGGGCCAGGGTTGTCCTGGCTCACTGCTGGGTCCCAGCCCTTGCACACTGTCCAGTACACAGTAGGTGCTCAGTGAACATTTTCCCAATGAACTACATCACACTTCTACTTTGGGCACACACGTCACTGCTCTGAGCCTCAGTTTTCCCTGCTGAAAGATGGGTGCAGTGTCATGGTGGTTAGGACTAACTAGGATCATGAGTATGAGTTTCCTTTAAGGATTTGTAACAGCCTTGTTCCTTGTTCCCTCAGCCTCTATGTTGAAGGGAGAGGCCTTGGGTCCCTCCTCTTCTCCTCTTCCCAGTCGTTGGCCTGACTTTATGCAGTGGCCAAAGGTGACAGCAAAGGGCAGAGAGAGAAGGCATAATGGGCTCCACCTTCCCTTACCTCCAAGACGTCGATGTCAGCATTGCTGAAGTCAATGTTAAGAATCTTGGGGAGAGGGACCCCAGAACCCAGCACGGCTGTTTAAACAAAAAGACAGAAAGAAAAGGTCAAGTGTGTTCAGTGTGGCTGAGAGGTGTCAGCCTTGCCACAAGTCACCAGCATTCGCAACAAGCCTAGCAGTTTCTCTTGTGCTTCTGCCTTGGTCCAGGCAGGTCCTCCTGCCTTGGAGCACACCAGGTCACTGGTCACCGTGAGTTCCAAGCCTTCCCTGAGACTCTGTTCTATGTCCTGTCACCTTTGGGGCTTCCTGGCCCCTGGCAGACCCGACTTCTATATTCCACTATGGAGAAGTCACAAAGCACAAATTCTCTGCTTCTGTGCCTGTCGCTCCTGCCCCACTGTGGTTCCTTATAGACAAGGACTGTGTCCCCCGCATCCTGGAGCCCTTGGTCCAGCACAGAGGAGAGGACAGATGAGGAATGACATGGCACATGTGGGACCCTAACACATGAATGCCACGGAAATGCTGTTTGGTTTTAGATTGTTCGAGCCTAACTAGACTCACTGGCTAATGTTCTAGAAAGAAAGGGAAGAAGAGAAGAAAGGAGAAGCGGGGAGGGAAAGACAGATGGGGACAGGGATTAAGTGAAGTTAAACAGACACCTTGATCCAGCAGGACTTTTCAGAGAGCTAAGGACACAGTAGCCTACACTCAGCAACTTGATCTTGTTTAGCCACAGAGCACCTTCTCCAAGTATTTGTGTGGCTACCTGGTGAATCATGGATCTAGTCCACTCTCTCACTTCTGCCCCAAGTGCACTCTCCAGCACTCACCTCCCAGGCCAGCCCAGCCCAGCTCCTGACACTATGCTCTCTCCCTGAGGAATAGGCACGGGCTTTGTGACCAGTTCTTTCTCTGTCATTGACACCCAACTTCTTCTGGCGATGGGTCCCAGAATAAGGGTCTGTTTAGCATCAAGGTATCTGAAGGAGCCGCGACTGGTATGGCTGATGACATGAGCAGGAAATACCACCCTTCATTTCTCCTTCATGAAGCTCAGCTCGAGTGGGGCTGAGGTCCCCGATCACAATGGGGCTCCCAGCCTCAGTTCAACTGAGCCTCCCTCAGTGTTCTTAGGATGCCACTGAGAGAATAAAGCCCCCTCAGTCTGCCCTGTTTATGAAGTGAGCAAGCAGCCCTTCCCACCGATAATATAGCCGTGGGGGGGAGGGTACGGTTCTGGGTTAGTAGGAGGGACATGGGTCAGGACACCCCAGTGGAGCTTTCACAACAGAAGCCATTTGTGCTGGGCCTAAAAGTACACACGCAGTTAAAGGAAGCCAGGGAACACCTAGCTTGCTCAAATGAATCGCCTCTGGGAAGCGAGAGCTTTTTAAAAATCATTGTATACTTTCTAAAATTTGCACACGTACAATTTTCATATGTAATCAGAAAAGACAGAAGAAAATACGAAGGCTGACACATCATGGGGCAGCATTACTTATACCCCATAAATATACACAATTAGTATTTGCTATATAAAAATAAATCTTAAGCTGGGCATGGTGGTTCACACCTGTAATCCCAGCACTGGGAAGGCTGAAGCAGGAGGATTGAGAGTTTGAGGCCAGCCTGGGCTACCCTCCCTCAAAATAAATATATCTAAAAAATGTTTTAAATTAATTAACTTTTTAAAACCTGGAAAACATTTGCATTCAGAGGCTTAAGTCAATGAATGAGGTTCTCAGAAATGCTATTGAGGTAGCATAGCTGTACATCCAATGTGCCCAACAAACCAGCAGTCACCATGTCCCCAAGCTATGTGCCCCAGAGAGGCTTGTCCCCCACATCCCCACTCTCACCATTCATCGCGGGCATAAACGCCAGGTCAAAAATCTTCCCTACTAGCCTCTCCAAGATGAACACCTGCAGGAGAGAGAGAACTGAGCCTAGCAGGGGGTCACCCAGACTGAAGGGCCCCTTGGGACCCCTCCCTTCAGCCCAAGATGAATAGCTGCTGCTGCTCTGGGAGAGCCCAGGCATCTGACAAGCAGAGTCCCCGGGACTCTCAGCCAACAGTCCCAGGGCTCACCCTACACATGGGAGGCTGAGGCTTGGAGGGGACAGGTGCTGGTCCAAGGTTCCTATGCCAAGGACTGAGGGAGGCCTCTCTGGGAGGCACAGGGTGCCTGTCCTGAAGACATGCTAGCATCACTGGAGGCCTCTGGCCCCATAGCCAACACTCCAGAGACCCATCTCAGTTCAGCCCCGTTGGGGCCAGCACCTTCCTGACCCTCAGCTCTAAGACCGTCAGCTTGCAAGGACGCAGGAAGGATATGGGCAGTTCACACAGCATGCCTGCCCTTGAGCTTTTAGTGCACCGTATACCCTCTGCATCCATGGAGTCCACATCTGGAGATTTAACCAGCCATGGATTAAAAATATTTGACACAAAATTGTGTCTGTACTAAATATGAACAGACCCTTTGTCATTATTCCCTAAACATACAGCACAACATCTACAGTATATGTTACTTATGGCACTTAACCACAGGGACGCTTCTGAGAAATGTGTGGCTGGGACATTTCATCTTGTATGAACACCAGAGTGTGCTTCATGAGCTAAGATGGCTACAATGTCATATAACCTTGTGACATTATCTTGTGGGACCACCATATATGCAGTCAATCACTGACTGAAGTGTTTTTAGAATGAATCTACATTGAATTAAGTATTAGAAGTAATCTGTAGATAGCTTAAGGTCCACAGCAGGATGTGTACAGGTTACATCCAAATATAACGCCATTTTGTAGATGGGACTTGAGCATTCTCAGATTTTGGTATACTTGGGGACCTTGGAACCAATCCCCTGGGGACACCAATGAGTGACTGAGCAATGTTCTTAATGTCCCTAAGCCTTTGGTTCCATATCTGAGGGTGGGAGTAGATAACCCTTATCTCATAGGATGGTTTTGAAAACAAATACAAGCACCTGTGTGTAAAGAACCTGCCATGACCTGCACAGGGTGAATGTGTGGGACTCGTGAGTGACAAGTTCCCTCGCCACTCTGTTACCTTGGGCAGGTCACGTCGCTTCCCTGAGTTCAGCTCCCTTGTTTGGAAAGTGGGATTGCTAACAGTGCCCAAACCATACAAAGGCTGTGAGGCTTAAAGAGAAGAACTTATTAAAGAGAAAAAAAAGAGCTTATTTTCATGCTGGGTGCACATCTCTACAGCCCTGTGTGAGTAGCGCTCATGTCACACCAAGCCATAGTCCTTCCTTCATTTGGAGTCCAGCGATTTCAAGTCTTGCTCCAGCTCTGCACCAGCCAGCTGTGAAGCTGGGGATAATTTCGCCACCTAAAAATGAGCTAGTGACACCTACTTCACAGGCTGCAATTTTGGGGGTCAAAAAAGCTCAAAAACAAGCAACAAAACGAGTAAGTCTCCCTTTCTCTGCACACGCAGAAATCTCACCCAAGCTTACCCCAGAAAACAAGCATCTGTTAATTGGTTTTAAAGAGAGAGCGAGTGAGGGAGGGAACTTTTGAAGCCTTAGGCAAGCCGGGGACCCACGAATGAGCAGAGATGAAACAGGACCCCAATCCTACAATCTGAACATCTCAGACTCACAGGTCCTTAGAAAAGCTGAATTCCAGAACTAGGGATGAGAAGAGGGTTGAAATGAGTCCAAAGCTGTTTGTTTCAGGAGTGGAAACTGAGGTTCAGTCAGGGCTAGTGGTGTTCAAGGTTACACGGGGATTAGTGTTCTCCCAAATCTAGGAGGAAAGAGGTCCTCTAGGACCCCTATGGCCTCCTTGCCCTTAGCACAGAGATCTGGGCCATGGGCCCCTGGGGACAGCCTGCTAAGATGGAACAGCACTATTGGAAGAGTGGCAGGAGCCGGGACTTTTCACTCTGCCCCTCACTTGCTCTGTGGGCCTCAGTTTCTCCATCTGCCTATCTGTAAAACGAGACCTGACATTTGATACTAGCCCTCTGGAATTTGCACCCATACTGGATCCAGCCAGCCTCACGGAGATTATTTTCAGAAGATCTGGGCTCTGTTTGCCCCAGGTGCAAGCAGGGTGCTTACGTCAAAGTTGCCCACGTTTGAGGTTCTGAGGTTGAGGTTGGTCCTGCAGATGATGGAAACAACCCATTAGAAGCAGTGTTCCCCTGGAACTCACAACACTTGCAAACTAAACAGATGTCACAGTCCCTCTACCCTCACCCTCTGGAGGCTCTTGGCCAAGGGAATCTGGAAGAACAATGCTGGTTTCCATGTGCTGAATTCTGGCTACAGACCAGATGCCATGCTAAGGGCTTTATATACCATGGATGTAAGTAAAGTCGTAGCTTTACTGCCTGTGTGACATTAGCTAAGCTACATGACCGCTCTAGGTCTTGGTTTCCTCATCTGCAGGGTAGGTGGCTGCTGGGGCTAAGTCGGGGTTCAGGTAAAGCACTTGGAACCATGTGTGACACCACTGGTGCCCTGCGTGGACAGTATCATCACTTCCTCAGTTAATCTTCACAGCAGCCAGGGAAGGGGGAGCCTGAGGCTCTGGGGTGACATGGCACAGTGGAAGAGCTGGACAGCAGGAGCCCAGAACTCACGCCCAGGCCAGTGCTCGCTCTCTACTGCTGCACGATTCTGAGGAAGGAGGTCACACAGACCTGGAAGGCTGCCAGCCCGTCTCTGAACTTGCTTGTCAGTAAATCTCTCTAGGCCCTCGTTTTCTCATCTTTAAAAAGGAGAATAATGGCCCTGACTCACAGGCTCCCTGGGAGGGTGCAACACATGGATGAAGGACTCAGAGCAGCTGTGCCTCCACACCAGCATGGTGACAATTGCCAGTGTCAGCAGGTTCTTTCTGCTCAGCTCATGGCTTCACCCCCTGGTGGGTCTCTGACAGTGGTCTGGCAGGTTCACCTTGCAGCCTCTCAAATTTACCCAGCTATGACAGTGAGGCAGGAAACTTCAGTCCATCCCTGGTGGCCCTCTGTGAGCCAGTACTGGCCAGTGCAGTGTCAAAGAGCTCTTTCTGAGAGGCAGAAAGCCAAGGCAGCAAACCCACTCACTTGTCCAGCTTGGTGTCAATCATGAGCTTGTCCCCTTCCACGGAGAATGAGGCCAAGAGGTCTGTGTCCTGGGGGACGAATGAGAGTGAAACACCACTGCCATCACGTAGGGGCCTCTGCTTGGTGAGGGCTCACTGTGGGCCTTGGCTCCCACTCAGGGCCTCATTAACCCTGAGCATAAGACATAAATATTGCCTAACAAATGGCCCTTTGCCCTTCCCTGTGGTATACACCCTGCAAGGTGAATGACAGCCTTGGGGGAGCCTTTATGCCTCACCAGGTACTGCTCCAAGCCTCTTATTAATCCATTCTTGACACCTCCATGTAGTAGAGGAAAAACCAGGCCCAGAGACGGGGAGTGACTTGCCCAAGGTCACACAGCTAGACGTGGTAAGGGCTGGATGTGAAGTAGATACTCTGGCCCAAATCTGGGCAAGTAGTCACTGTGTTGGGGGATGTGCCGGGGTCTGGGAGCCTCAGGAGACCACGTGACTCTGTCATGAGGCCCAGCTGGAAGCTCCTGCATCCCCAGACACTTACCACATCAATGAGGCAGATGGTGGTCTCCACATCACCAGGCTGGGAGACTATGACCTCAGAGGTGGCAAACACTTTCACCAGCGCCTTGTCCTTCTGCAGCGTCACCGAGGGTGGATTGGGTACCTGGATCCTGATGGTGAGTGGGCAGGACTCGGGGTATTGCTGGAACACCTGTGGGTGACACCAGGCTGTGAACCGAGCCCTACACAGTAGGCAGTACCTAGGGGTCCTCAGACAACCTCCAACCACAGAGCACAGTGTTTCCCACATGGAACCTTCAGATTCTCCAGTCCTGAGCCCCAGCAAAGCCAACCCTACTAACTACTGTGCGCTGAGATCTCGAGTCACATGGGGAATCATCAGGATTACCTCTGACAACGTTGGCAGATTGTCAAATTGCTCAATCCTGGACACATGCAAAAACTCCAAACCTAGCACTGAGCCCAGCAGGATCTCCTGGGGCCCTGGGCTAGGGGCTGAGTCTTAATTCCATCCATTCAGTCACCACAGCTCTGTGGGGGTATTTTTCTTCCAGTTTACAGACAGTAAGACTGAGGCCTGGAGGAAAAGTCAAGCAAGCCATCCGAGGCCAGCAGCTGGGTTGGAAGCCCAGCTCAGGTCTGCAGCTCAGAGCCCAGGCCTTTTGCTACCCTTTCTGGGATGAGAAAGTCTGTGCCTGGGACATCTCCCAGTGACTTCCTGAAGCAAGGCCTGGGCTGCCCACCCACCTGAATTCAGTTAGAGAGCATGGTGGAGTTAGGAGGGGCTGGAGCCCTTCTTGCAGATTGTTTCCCCAAAAGCTGATTTGCTAAGGGAAAGTTTGCCAAATGACCCATCTGTCGTATTTACTAAACAACTGGTTTGCAAGAGATACGTTTTAAGGAATATTCTTCAGTGTGTTAAAAGAGCACAGATGTAGTTACTTTTAAAGGAACAAAAAGAGGCCCATTTACACGGAAATTCGGCATCTCTGAGACTTAAGGCTCCTTTTGAGAGACCCTCAGCACCCTGCACTGTCTGCCCTCAACGGCAGGCAGCCCGACCCGCTGGGTGACTCCACCCAGCCTGGGTCACCTGGACACCTGCTTCTGTGTCTAGCCTTGGGCCTCTGTTCTAGCCCAGCTCTGCACTGCCTCCTCGTTGTGAGACCTCTCTGAGCCTGTCCCTAGTGCTCCTGTGGGAGTGGGAGGGGTGGTGAGACCCACACGCAAGAGCAGATTCTAAGAACGCCTCATACGTTGTAAAGTGTAGTGCGCATAGGAAGCAGTCTAGTTAATAGAAGGTTCGGGGATGGAGGGCTCCCCCCGCCGGCCGGAGCTGCTGCTTAGGACTTGGGAGAATAGTGCTTCTGCCATTTTGATTTCAACCACACGAGGGCGATAGTGACCACTTGTTGAGTTTGGTCTCTAACATCACCCCCCTCCCATCCCACTCCTTCGATTTCCACCCAAACTAGACAGGACAGGAAAGAGATGGAAAATTCCTAAAATGGCTGTAGACCACAGCATCATTGCGTAGCATGTCCTACACAGAGCTGTTTTCCGGATTATGCCGTCAGATAGGCATTTGTTCTACCTACATGTGGCCACTAATTGGGCAAAAACATACTTTATTTTTTAAAGAAATTGCAATTATTAACAATAGTAGTAGCTAACATTTGCCCAATGCCTGTTCTGGGCCTGGGTTTCAGATTCCAGGTCACCCTGCAGAGTGAGCACTGTTGCCCCCATTTTCCAGATAAGAAAACTGAGGCTGAGAGAGATGAGTCATTTGCCTGTGGTGATAAAACTGGGATGTGCTGAGTCAGCCTGTCATCTCCAAAACCTGACTCTTTCCCTCTGAGTTCCCACGTGCCCGTGTGTGCCTGGATCTGTGTTGGCATCTTTACATGCCTCTACCCTTCAAGACAACCTGGACCATGGGATAGGTGTTAGCATGCTTTTGTTATTTTTTTTTTTAAACAAATGAAGGAAATAGGGCTCAGAGATAACAGGACTTTTGTCCAAAGTCACACGGTAAAGGGGTAGCCAGGCCAGGATTAGACCTCAGCAGGCAGGTCCACTGCTGGGGTTCAGGATGCACCTTTTCCCAGGGCTCTGGCCTCCTTGCTTTGTCACTGCACTCCAGGGGTGCAGGTTAGAGCAGCCACTCTAGTGCTAAACCTCTTACCTTACACCCTAGTTCCTAGGGCAGCGAGAGGGAGAGAGAGGCTGAAGACAAGGGCCCCGCCTGGATTACTTACTTACCTTGGGAATCAGGGCCCCCAGCATGGATGTGGTGAGGGGAGGAAGCTCTTCAAACTGTGAGACAAGGACAAGGGTCGTGTGAGTCCCAAGTGACAGAGACAGACTGGATCTGCTAACACATGGCTAGACTCCTACACACTCTAAGACAGCCAGCAGGGTTGTCTGTCTTCTCCACCCATCCTTTGGGGAGCCCCATCCTCCAACAATGGCCACGTGTAGACCACATGGCCGTTTCATGGCTAAGTGAGCAGGGCAGCCACTTAAACTCATCAGATCTGTAATTTTTAAGAACAGGAAGCAAGACCCAAATCTTTCTTCTCCTAAAATGCAAGCGTTGTTGAGTCCACTCTCGTAACCCAGTATCCACCAAACACTTGACTTCTGCTATAATCCCAGCCACCTGTACTGTCACTTACTTTGTGTCTCCTTCAAATCAACTCACTTTCTAAGAGCTCAGATGCTAAGAGATGGAGATGCAGTGCACTTGACAGAAAGAGAAAAGGCCAAGGCAATCGGATGAGGCAGGGCTGTAAGCTCCTGCTCAAATGTCAGTTTGTGGAGAGCTCTGCCATGAGTTCTGTTCTCTTTTAACTACAAAGGGGATAGGGTTAACTATACACTGGCACTAAATGGAGACTTTCCTCTCAATGGAATCAAAGACTGACAAAATTCGTGTAGCTTTTTTTGAGAACACCTTGTTCCTAGGAGAAATAATGAAGTTTGTGGAGCCAAATGCCATGTTTCAAAAAACTGAAATTGTAGAACTAGGTGGTTGCCCACACCTGTCACCCCAGCTACTCAGGAGGCAGAGGTAGGAGGATCATGGCTCAAGGCCAGTAAGGGGAAAAGTTAGTATAAAATCCTATCTGAAAAACAAACTAAATACGAAAAGACTGGGGTCGTGGCTGCAGTGGTACAGAGCACTTGCCTAGGATGCACAGACCCTGAGTTCAATCCCCAGTCCTACAACTTAATTAATTAATTAAAATCACCCGAAACTGTTCACTACACAGGATGGACAGATAGAGGATGACGGATGGATAAGTGGACGGTAGGTGGTTGAGTAGATGGGCGGGAGGATGGAGGGAGGGAGAGAAGGAGGGAGGAAGGGAGAGATGATGGGTAGATGTGGATGGGTGGCATGACAGATGTCCATCGGAAACCTGGAGGTCAGGCAGGGGCAGCCGTCCCCAGTGTTCACTCAGAAGCAAATTCTCCAAGGCCACAGGCCAGGCAGGATGAGGGGAGGCACTTATCACAGGCTCACCCGCCTCGCCCTACAGGGACAGCACTCACCATGCCGTTGGTGATGTCGATGTCCAGGGCACCCTGCTTCTGCAGCATGGTCAGCACGGAGCCCAGGAAGTTGGCAGAGATGGCCAGCTGGGAATTGGTATTGTCACCCATGGGGGGCAACTCTGGCATGGGCCTGGTAACATGGCTGGCCGGCCCAGCGGGTAGTCGACAAGTTCTCCTCCTGCCTCCCCAACCAGAGTCTGTGGGAGCAGAGAGGCTGTGGGTCAAGAAGGGAGGCTGGGGACTGCAGAGAGGCCTCCAGGAAGCCTACCCTGATGAAGCCCAGAGGTCTTGGCCACTTACATATGGCTCCAGCTCTTCTTTGGCCCGTGATGGAATGGGACCTATGATGGTCCTTGCCTAACGATCACTTGCAATTACAAGTTTACACACATACATAAATATACAATATGGCACAGATTCTCTGTCTCAGTCACACCACATGTGTGCATCTGCTCAATACGCATTGACACTGCCTCTCCCCAAAGACTACAGTCCTCTCCATGCCTACGATGTTCTGTGCAATCTGCCCCAGGGGCCTCTCCAGCCTCCTCTCCAGGCCCTCTGCCCCTTGCCTTCTGTCTGAAGCTCAGCCTCCAGGGCCTCGTCAGTCCTCTGACCATCTCTCTACCCCTGACATGGAGGCAGCCCTTAGGACAAGCCCCCCTCCACTCTTCCCTTGATGGTCTCTCTTGTCTGGTGGATCTTAGCTCAAGAGTCACCTCCAGGAAGTCCTCCTTGACCTTCCCCTGCCTTATACTCTATCCCAGCCCTAGATCAACAATTGATTCTTTGTGGCCTGGTCTCTAATAGACTGCAATTTCCCTCTGAGAAGAGACTTTGTCTTGCTCATCACTGCACCTCTTGACGCCCAGCCAAGGCCTGGCACACAGCAGGTCAGCAACAAGTGTCTCTGTTTATGCATATATTAGGTGTGCATGCGTGTGCACAGGCGTGCCTGTCTATGCAGGTGAGTCTCATGATGCTGATGGAGCTGGTGGAGAGATGCCTACGTCTGTGTGGCCTGGGGTAGTTATTACTGTGTCTGTGTGCTATTAGGGCCAGATCCACAGGGGCCGAGGAGCCAGCTCACACCAGTGCACACTAGCTTCAATTCACACATCTCTTCTCAGCTTCACGTTCAGGGATGTCACATTGGCAGCTTGCAATTGGCCATGGCAGGTTTTCTACCATGGAAAGCAGAAAACACTGCCCATCAGGACTTTATAAAAAGAAAGAAAGAACTCATGGAAGCTGGTTGCTAAACGTTTACCAGCACCGCAAGGCCAGTCATTCCTCCAGCAAACCCAAGCCACAGCAGCAGCTTCTAGCAGCTGGAAGCTGGATTGCCTGGATTCAGACCTCAGGTCTGCATTTACTAGCTGTGTGACCTTGGATAAGTGGCATAACCTCTCTGTGTCTCCATTTCCTCAGTAAGCCCTCATGTGGTTGCTGGGAGGACAGACTGAATCCATCTACACAGAGCACTTACAATGTGTCTGGTGCACAGAGAGCCAGCGTCAGGTATCCTGGCACAATGCCTAGGGCATCGCTTGTAATCAGAAGTGGGTCTGTTCACACAGTGCTCCCACCCATCTGCCCCTAAGCCCCCGGCCTCGCCCACACCCCGCTCAGGGAGGAGGCTGCTTCCTGGCCGAGCCCCAGCACTCACGTTGAGGTCCAGCTCCAGGAACTCCCCGGTCACTAGCGGCAGGCTGGAGAAGGTATACTGCACACTCCCCAGGATCCCCAGAGGCACCAGCGCTGCAGGCAAAGGCAGGGGTCACAGGGCCCTCCCCTCACCCACCCAGACACCCTCTGTCCTCCCTGTGCCTGTGGATGGCTGTGTGTGGGGTGTGGACCAAGGTTCCAGCTCCAGGAACAAAGAGCAAACATTCCAGGCTCAAACCCCAGCTCTGCCTCTTCCTTACTGTACGACCTCAGGCAAGTCAGTGCACCTCTCTGGACCCATTTCATCCTCTGTAAAAAGGGTTAATGTAACCTCTTGGACTTTATGGTGTTTTGGGGGGTTGAGATCCCAGCTGATGATGAGCTTTGTAAACTGTGAAGTGCTGTGCACTCCACAATGTGCTTAGTTGGATCTGGTATTTCCCTGACTGCTGTAATAGGCAGTGTCACTCTGGGCTTTTCCTTCCTCATCTCTGGCTGCAAAGGGAGCTCTACCTGTGCAGAAAAGCCATCCTCAAACTGCCTGGTGATCCCAGAGATGTGGATCACTTTCACAGAGGGCTGCACTGTGTGGTTGAAGAGACTAAGTACTACACAACTTGAGGTGTCGTCATTACGAGAAAGGAGGGGGCCAAGAATTGTGCAGTGCACAAGCTGCACTACAGTACAGGGCAGCCTTGCTTTGCGGATATTCATGCAGAAATCCAGGACTGAGGTTCTGTGGTCCTATCAGTATCTGTGCAGCCTCTTGCTGTTATTCTCAGGTCCCTCTGTGAGTGGAAACCACCCCCCTCATTTTAGAGACAAGGAAACTGGGGGTCTTCTCATGTCCACAGCAGCCAGGACTGAGCAATGCTGCAGTCTCAGATTGGAGCCTCCCTGGTCCAGGTGGGAGCTCCTGCCTCTGGGGCTTGATGGGGTATTTGTGGACAAGAGGAAAGACTTGGTGGGCAGGCCTGCAATCCCCCCATACTGGAACCTTCTCCCAAGTGCCACTGTGTCCCTGGGGCTGGGCCCTGAGCAGCTATTCTCAGACACTGGCCAAATGCCACAGAGCAGAAGCACTCACAGTCTACAAGACCAAGCTGGTCATTGACGAGGCCCAGCACCACATCCACGATAGGGCAGAGCTGTGGGGAGAAAAGGCGTGGATTTCTGCAGGGAGCTGGGAAAGGATAGGCACCTGTAATACTGACTACTGCTGATGCTGACTGACTAGGCCAGGCCCTATCCTCCCATAGCCCAGGGTGCTCTTAGACACAGGAAAGCTGGGATTCAGGGAGGTGATGCCACCTGCTGCACAGCTAGGAAGAGCCCAGTGGGGTGGAGCCCAGAGCTGTGTCAGGCCTATTTGTCCTTCCATGTTTCCCAGGGTCCTTTCCAACTTCCAAGGACATGCCAGGCCCCTGCCTCCTCCACCCCTCCGGGTGCACCGAGGGATGCAGCTCTCACACGCCCGTCGTTCTTACCAAGTCAGGGAGGACATTGGCGAGGACTCGGTTCACTAGGTTGTCCACAAGATTGGGGAGAAGGCTAAGGAGAGAGGAGCAGGGTGTAGCCATGGAGGGGCCCAGGGATGTCTACACCAGGGTGCCCAGCCCAGTCCTGGAGTACAGAGAGCCTTTGAGCACTGGACGGTCACACAAAAAGGACAGAATGCATGCCCTTCACTGGACCTAGACAGACCACCAGCAAATTGCTTATCTTTTCACTCATTCATTCACTCAACAAACAAAAGCTGCTTGGGCTTTCCAGCATGCCGGGCATGAACTGGGGTGTTCCTGATTCTCAGCTGCAAAATCCATGCCCTGCAGCCTGTGTAATCTTCCCAGAGGGCAGAGGAATACATTACTTTATCCAAGCACAACACACTATATCTAGAACATTCCAGGGGCTAAGCAAATATTTGTGGAAGGGATGGAGGAAGAAATGTGGTGGGTAAAATGTGCTCTTGTGGTCCACACTTAAAGGATAATGGTGCTAAAAACATCAGGATATGTGTGATCCATTTTACAGACAAGGAAACTGAGGTCCTGAAAAGTGACCTGGAGCAAGTTCTAGTGCCCCAGCAGGCTCCTAACTAACCATCCTAGCCAGTGACTAAGGAGGATGATGGGTTGATGACTCATAGACAAGACACACAGATGGACAGACAGACAGACTTGTAATCCAAGAATTTGTATTCAGGGCACTGCAGTAAGGAGCAGAGGGAAGCAAGACAACCCTAACACAAAAGCATCCCTGGTGAACTTGCCCCTTCAAAATGCCCCCAGGTGCCCCACTGGACACTGCCTGGTTCCCTCCTCCCAGGTGGCAGCTGACTGTCTACTGCCATGCCAGGTTGACAACGCAAAGTCCTGTTAGAGTAAGTCCCCAAAGCCTACTGTGCATGCCAGTCCCCTTTTAAAGTGGGTTTGTCCTAAGGGGGCTGATCCAGGTTCTAGTCCTCTTTGGATGGTTGAGAACACATGTGCATGTGTATGTACCATGTGTGTGCCCGTGTGTGTGGGGGGGTGCGTGGGGGGTGTGCATGCCTGTGCATGTGTGTGTGCCCATGTGTGTATGTGGGTGTGGGTGCATGCCTGTGCGTATGTGTGCATATGTGTGTGTGCCTGTGCATGTGCATGTATGGATGTGTGCATGTGTGCGCGCATGTGTGGGTGTGTGTACCCATGTGTGTACATGTCTGTGCATGTGTGTGTGCATGTGTCCCCAGGTGTGCATGTGGGGGGTGTGCATGCCTGTGCATTTGGGGGGTGTGCATGTGTGTGTGCATGCCTGTGCATGTGGGTGTGTGTGCGTGTGTGCATGTGTGTGTGCATGCCTGTGTATGTGTGTGTGCCCATGTGTACATGTGGGTATGGGTGCATGCCTGTGCATGTGTGTGTGCCCATGTGTGAATGTGTGTGTGGTGTGCGTGTGTGTCCGTGCCTGTGTATGTGTGTGTGCATATGTGTGTGTGCCTGTGCCTGTGCTGTGCATGTGTGTGTGTGCATTTGTGGGGGTGTGTGCCCATGTGTGTACGTGTGTGTGCATGCCTGTGCATGTGTGTGTGTGCATGCCTGTGCATTTGTGTGCATGTGTGTACATGCCTGTGCCCAGGTGTGCATGTGCATGTGGGGGTGTGCGCATATGTGCGTGCGTGCGCGCATGCCTGTGCATGTGCATGTGTGTGTGCATGCCTATGCATGTGGGGGGTGGAGGGTGTGCCTGTGCCTGTGTGTGTGCATGTGTACATATGTTGGCCAAAGTCACTCAGCAAGGAATAGCGGAGCTGATTTTTGAACCCAGGTGTTCTCCTGAGCACATGATCTAGGTCTTTTCAAAGTTAATGTGGTGTGTCATGACCCCCTCCTCAGGCTAGCTGAAGCCCACATCCTGGGCTCAATGGCACAGCCCTTGAATTCCCAACAAGCAAGTGCCAGACCAGAGCCAGAAAGGGAGTTGGGATGGCTCAGCATGAGTCCTCACTGTCCCCACAGTGTCACTGCTCTGCTGCCCCAGGGCCATGGGGCAGGGGAGTGGTACAATTTTGTTTGACAGGGACAGATCCCTTCAGCACCTCCCAAGGCCCAGCGGTGCTCACCCCCGCAGCAGCTTGACTTTGATGCCTCCCAGAAGGGTGTCACAGCGCTCGATGACCAGCCGAGGATAACCTGTGCGGTCCATGGTCAGCCGGACCTTGGCTGTGATGTTAACCTCCACCGAGATGTCCAGGAAGCCAATGAGACTGGAGGAAACCAAGAGGCCAGGGAGACAGTGAGCCATAGATCAGCCACCAGGCAGCTCACCCTTGCACAGGCCTAACTGGCACCTGGACCTCAGGCTTGAGCCCTGGCTCTCTCTGTCATCTATTAAACCCCTCGCTCATCTGCAGGGGTCCCAAATCTGAAGCCATCTTGGATCCCTCAAGGTGTCCACGCATAAATCTCTCTCCTACTCAGACCATGAGAGCATCAAAGTCTGGGAACAGGGGTCAGTGTAAACTCTGGTTTCCAACGTAACCAGAGTTACCTTGGGAACAAAACAATGCAGAGTCCACGCTCTGATATCCTCTAATAAGCATCTCCTGCATGGCAGGTATCATTTGGGAGGCTGAATCTGTCTGTGGCCATGGCCACCTGGAAGAATGGGTGGTCTTAGTATCCCTGTTCAGGTGAAGCCACTAAGGCTCAGTGACGTGAAGAGATTGATCCAAGGTCATGAGGCTTATAAAACAGAAATGGAACCCAAGCTGTGCCCTGGACTCCAACCATCCAGAGCTTAACCTGGCTGCCTGCCCTGTTGATGGAGACCACAGGCTGACTTCGAGTTAGGACATGGGATTTTCTGGTCCCCACATTACAGCTACGCAGGCCAGTGTAGAGAGGAGAGGGAGGCCACTTGACCAAGCTCCCCCATTGGGCACAGAGTGACAGGGACCCCTCCACACACCTCTTCCCATTGATGGCCACCCGGGTGTACAGGCTCAGGTAAACACCCACACCAGGCAGAAGCCGCACGGACACCCGAGGCAATGTCAGCTCCACGATTCGCAGCCTGTGGGATGAGGTCGGTGAGAAGGCGGCCCACTGCTACTCACTTGCCTGGAGAGCCTCCCTCGCACCCCTTCTCTGCACCCCTTCCATCCCTTGACTCCACTCTTTGCGGCTCTTCTGGTCTTTTTCTCCCTGTCAAAATGACTCTGCTTGTCTCTGGCCCTCAGCTGTCTCTCCCACACATTTTTCAGAGTCAGCAAGGACATCCTCCAGGACGCTGTCTGATCTCTGTATAAGCAAGTCCCTCAAGCAAATCCCTCATTTTGCACCTCCCACTGGCCGGGAACTTCTCCGCACCATGTGATCAGTCCACTATTCCCTGGCTTCTTTATCCACTTAACCCACCAGCTCAAGCTCATGGGCTCAGGGATGTGTCCTTTCTGAGCTAGCCATTGAGTTTGTCCCCAGAGCCAACACACTGTCACGTAATAGGAGCTCTGCCTAAGTTGTTGAATTAAATGGCTATGAAGAGGAGCCTAGGCATGGTTGAAATTATAATTATGATATAATTATATTACATTATCATATAACAATATGTAAAATCATCTGATATGCTACATATGTGTTGTAATTTTAAATCCTTGCGCTTTTTCCACTTACCCTGTATTACTCTGCCCATTCTACAGATGGGGAAACTGAGACCCAGAGAGATGAAAGGAATGGCCCAAGGTCACACACAAACATAAAAGGCAGAACTGGGTCTCAGACTGAGTTCTTTTTCAGACCAAGAGCCCAAACCACGTTAACACGGGGCTCTCTGAAAACCTCAGGGGGTGGTCGCCCCTGTGCACCCGGCCTTGGGAGGGAGGGTCTGGGAGGGAGGGCCTGGCCCCTGCTCACCCCGTGATGCCTTGCACGGTGCTGAGGATGCCGCCCTCGCCGAGCACGCCCAGGACGCCTCCCCCTCCGAGAAGTCCCCCGTCGCCAAGAAGACCACCTCCACCCAGCAGGCCGCCTTGGCCCGCCAGGATGCCGTCGGCCGCCAGCATGCCCCCGGTGCCCAGCAAGCCGCCGGGTCCCAGTGCGCCGGTGGCCACGCCGGGCGGGAGCTCCCCGGGCCGCAGCTCTCGCCTCCGCCGGGCCGCGGCCGCCCGGTACCGCCCGTGGCCCCGGTGGCCGCCGTACGCGCCCTCCGCGTAGCGGTAGTCCTCCCGCCGGAGGTCCCTGGTGCTCCCGTCCGACTCCACGATCTCACCGTACCGGTATTTGCCCCCCAGCTGGGCGGTGTTGTCATTGGCCTCAACGTGACCATATTTGTAATTACCGCCAAGCTGTCTGCCATTGGTATATTTTGGGGGAGGCTCTCGGACATGGAAGTCGTTGTAGGGAACGCCACCGACACCTCGGGGGAATTCAGCGCGTCTGTAGTCGTTGTAATGGTGTCGGCCACCGCCCAAAAGACCACCACCCAGAAGCCCCCCACTTCCTCCCAGCAGCCCCCCACCACTGCTACCACCGCCCCCCAGCAGCCCCCCACCATGGCTACCACCACCACCCAGAAGCCCCCCACTTCCTCCCAGCAGCCCCCCACCACTGCTACCACCGCCACCCAGCAGCCCCCCACCATGGCTACCACCACCACCCAGAAGCCCCCCACTTCCTCCCAGCAGCCCCCCACCACTGCTACCACCGCCACCCAGCAGCCCCCCACCATGGCTACCACCACCACCCAGAAGCCCCCACTTCCTCCCAGCAGCCCCCCACCACTGCTACCACCGCCCCCAGCAGCCCCCACCATGGCTACCACCACCACCCAGAAGCCCCCACTTCCTCCCAGCAGCCCCCACCACTGCTACCACCGCCCCCCAGCAGCCCCCGACCATGGCTACCACCACCACCCAGAAGCCCCCACTTCCTCCCAGCAGCCCCCCACCACTGCTACCACCGCCCCCCAGCAGCCCCCACCATGGCTACCACCACCACCCAGAAGCCCCCCACTTCCTCCCAGCAGCCCCCCACCACTGCTACCACCGCCCCCCAGCAGCCCCCCACCATGGCTACCACCACCACCCAGAAGCCCCCCACTTCCTCCCAGCAGCCCCCCACCACTGCTACCACCGCCCCCCAGCAGCCCCCCACCATGGCTACCACCACCACCCAGAAGCCCCCCACTCCCCCCCAGCAGCCCCCCACCGCTGCTTCCACTGCCTCCTAGTAAGCCTCCACCCAACAGGTCACCACCACTCCCTCCACTCCCACCACCAAGCAGGCCCCCCAAAAGCCCTCCTCCCCCACCACCTCCGCCTCCACTGCCACCAAGCAGCCCTCCCAGGAGGGGCCCGCCACCGTCACCACGGGCTTTACCCATGGGCACCTCCCTCAGGGCTGAGCGGAAAGCATCGCTCTGCTGCAGCGTGCCGGAGATGGCTGTGGAGAGGCATGGCAGTCAGTCAGGGTCTCCTCCCAGCCCCACCTTGGGCCTTCCCTGCTGTCCAGGCCTCACTTCTCCCCCCAGTAAAGGCAGAGGCGGATGGAGAAGACTCTCCAGGCCTGTGCACATCCCTATCTAATAAGCTCATTATCCATCCTGGTTTGCCTGGTTTCCCTTTATCTAAATTTCCACCTCATTCAGCCAAACTTTGGTGGATTTCCTCCCATCACTTTCCCTTCCAAGTGGTCCTCACTGCAGCATTAAAAAAAGAAAAAAAAATCTGCTTCCTCATGCATTAGCAATCGCTAGGAAACATCAAAGCCAGAATCACTGTCCCCACTTGATGGATGGAGACATTAAGGCCTGTGAGTGCTTGGAGACCACTGTGGGATAAAATGCTCTCATTTTTATTCTCCTTGTGCCCTAGGCAAGGATTGGGGCTGGGAGCCAGGCCTCATTCGCCAGCTGACAAAGTAGGGACCTAAGGATTGGGGGCAGGAATAATGACAGTGCCCGCATTTGAGGACCTTCTGTGCACTGGGAACTGTGTGTCTCCATGGGTCATTACATTTAATCCGTATGCCAGTCCTTGGAGATATGGATAATTATACCCACTTTTCAGATGGGAAGACTGAGTTCAGAGAAGTCAAGTCATGCAATCAGGATTTGAAACCCAGGAAGGCTGACTCCAAGGCCAAAGTTCATAACCACTGCTTTCTATTGCCTCATGAGAGCGAGTGGAAAGCCCCCAGCATGATGCCTGACACAGTAAGTACCAGGAAATGGCAGCTGAAAGAAAAAGGGGAAACTAGGCCAAAGAGGAGAAGTCACCTAGACACACGGTATGGAATCTAGTGGGGAAGGTCCTTGGGCCCTCAGCCCACCCCATGCCACCCACCACTCGCTTTGGGGCTGGACTCACCGTTGCTCAGCACATCTTTCGTAACCCTGAGGACTGTGTTTGTCTTTTGGATTTGGGTGTGGACGCCACACATAGCTGCCGTGAGCAGAGCAGCCACACACCATGCTGTCCACATGTTGGCGCTGCTTCCCTGTTGAGGACACAGTGTGCTGCCTGGTTCATGGCTGTGGCCAGGCATCACCACCCTGGTCAGCAGGCAGAGCTGGTCACCCTTGGCCCAGAGTAACATCAGAACCCTGAGACTCTGAGACAGGGAAAATGGACCAAGGTCACATAGTAGGGCACGGTCCAGAATTCCTGGTACAAGCTTTTGAATTTTTCAGACTGAAATGAATCTGGTGAGACAATGCAGAGTCATTTAACCAAGTTGTCCCCGAGCCTGCATATCTGGTTATTGCCTAAGAAGGAATTTATAAATTGAGCCCCAGGCAGAGGGGTTATGGGAATTCCAACCATGATCAACTGGTAGCAGTAAGACTCTGGGGCAATCCCTCCAGGATCTACCTATCTATTCATCCAACCATGTACCCACCATCTGCTCATCTACACATTCCCTCCATTCATCCATTCATCCATCCATCCATCCTTCATCCATCCATTTCCCACCCATCAATCATCTAACCAACATCCAAACAACCAGCAAGTCAGTCACATATCATCCACCCATCCATCCTCCCATCCATGCTTCCTCCCATCCACCCCCACATCATCCAATCATTCATCCATCCATCCATCTATCCACAGATCTTCCCATCAACCATCCACTACCAACCCATTCATCTAGTCACCCTTCCATACCTCCAGCCAGCCAGCAAATACCCTTCCCACTGCTTTGGATAGGTAGGTTCTATACCACATGGTTAAGATCCAGGGCCCTGGGTCAGATCTGGCTGGGTTCTAATCCCTAGGCAATTGGGTTTACTTTTTTGAACCTCTGCTTCATAACGACAAACATGTCATATCTAGTACATGGCAGACATTCAGTAAACTGCAGCTGTTATTACTGTTTGGGCTGTTATTTCAGACCCTCACGAAGTGGGTGGGGAATATGAGACTGGAGGGTGAAGGCTGCATTTGGGGTGAGCTGGCTAGCCTCTGGGAAACTCTGGCTGCCTCCATGCCCTTATCCACTTCTCCCACTCCATCTCCCAGGCTACTTATTCACCTGCCTCAGAGAGTCAGCTCTATCACAGTCTCCCGTGTGGGTCACACTGAAATTGTTGGTGTCAGCCCTTTTCATTTACAGATTCTCTTCTCTTTTCCTTGTTTCCACTTCTCTTGAACGTCACAAAACCTCCAACCTTCCCATTCCCATCTGCTCCCAGCAGAGTTTTGGAGGTTCAGAGCTCTAAAAATGAGTGCCTCCATTAAAAAGCTGGGTACCAGCGGAGGGATTTCTGATCAGCCAGCAGCTGAGACATGTAGGAGGTAGCAGCTAGCAAAGGTCCCAGGTAGCCAGCATCCCTGGGAAAGCCGAGTGGGGCTCTGCTCATATGTGTAATTGGTGCAATTCAGGCCTATTTGTTGATGCCCTTGACTCAGCTGATGTTACAGACAAGACACTGGGGCTCCATCCAGCAAGTCTCCAGCTGGGGCTCTCTCCTCATCACCTCCCCAGGCCTCAGCCTTCACTGCCGGCCAGGACACAGAATAGCGAAGGGGCTCCTCCTTACCCCAAGAGGTCCTGTAGCTCAGTCCCGAGAGGTCCCTTCACCAGACGCTGCTTTTAGCTGAGTCTGGTCATGGATTGCCCTTATATAGTACCTGCAGTCTGAGCCAGGACCCAGAGAGGGAAACACCTGTAATTATGATAGATCAATTACAAGAGACCGGAATTCAGATTTTCTCTGTAAAGTGAGCACTGAGCCCCCAAACCACAAGAGTTTGTTGTTTGTGACTAATTCCAAGAAGTGTGCTCAGCCCCAGATGGTGTTACATGAGCTAGGGTTTATCAGCCTTGGTCTGAGTATATTCCTGGAGTTCCTGAAAGGTCCCCAAATGGACACATCTAGATTCTAGCCCCTAGCAGACACCCCCTCCCCATTCCAGGTGATCGGGGGAGGGGGAAGATTGGGGGTGCCCAGGACTGGACTCAGCATCATATGACCTGGCTTCACACCCTGCTCAACCCTCACTGGGTGACCTTGAGCCACCCACATTATTTCCATCTGTTAAATGGATTTGACACCTGATTCCTAGAGCTGATACGAAGACTAAGGAAGATGAATATGGATCCAACTCCTCAAACATGGTGCCAGTGCACAGGTGGGCTTTGTTGGACCTGCAGAAGGTTTTCCCCAAATATTTTGTCATAGAATTTTCACACATACAGCAAAGTTGAAAGCATTGCACAGTGAGTGACATACACTTATCATCTTGTACTGCAGCTACATCTGCCATCTGCATCCTATTATATTTGTTTGGCCACATATTTAGGCAACCACCCATTAGTCCATCTTTTTATGCATTTGAAGTAAGGTGCAGATGTCAGTAGGTGACCCACTACACACTTCCACATGCATGCCACCATGACTCTTTTCTTTTGCTGTAAATCCACACAGTGAAACACACTAACCTTAAGTGATCCTTTGAGGAGTTTTGACAACTTCATGCAAATGTAGCCCACACCCCACACCCACCCAAACACATAGTTCATACACACTGCATTTCTGTCACCCAAAAGTTCCCTCCTTCTTTCCCCCAGTCAATCCCTGCTTACTTAGAGGCCTCCTCTGCCCCCTACAAGGTCTACCTGAACACGAACCAGACTCTGCCCTTGGCATTCAAGGCTGTCCACGCTCAGATTTCAGTCCTTTCCTCACACAGTGCTGCTTGTTCCTTCCATCACCTTCTTGTCACCTCCCTCCTTCCCCCTGCCTCCTTGCCTTGGGGCCCATGCATGTGTGATCTAGAATGTCTTTCTCCTGACTCCGTTGGTCAAATTGTCAGATGCTGGAGAAGTTTTCAGTAGCCCTACTCTCCCTCTGAACCACTGGGATTCCTGGGCCCCATCTGATGCGTCAGATCTCTAGGCAAATCCAGTATGTGCCATGCTCCGAGGCCAGCCCTGGTCTGATGCCAGTAGCATGTGAATGAATGAATGAGTGAATGAATGAACCTCTTGCTCTCCACTGAACTGGGAAGACCTCTCTCCAACCAAGGCCACTCTCAAATGCACTGCAGGCCCTCCACAAGGAGATGCTTCCTGCCCCTTCCTGGTAGTAGAGGGGCTCTGAAGACAGGTAGCATTGACATCAAGGCCTACCAAGCTTGGCTTATGTCACCACCAGTGTCATCTGTGCCCCTGGGCCAGCCTAGCTTTGGGACTCAGTTTCTCCATCTGCAGCAGGTGCATTAATGGAATAGTCGAAGGTATGGCTGGGGCTGGCTGCTGGGCTTGAATTCTGTTGCCAGCTCTCTGTTTCCTTGGGTATAATATGGTGATGAGAACCTTCCAGGCTTGGGAAGCTCTGAGAATAGGGCCTGGCACACAGCAATGTTCGGTGTGTGGTAGTTTTATCCCCATCATCCGGGCTCCCTGCTGGCTCCACGTGGCAGCAAGTCTGGAGAGACCCTGGAGGGAATGAGAAAGTAGCCCCAGGTTTGGGATGCCTTACTTTGCTTGTGGAGGCTGGAGAGCTCTGGGGACAGAGACCCCAAGAGCCCCACACACCTGCATTTCTCCATGCCCCATCTGTCCCCTTAGTCTGGGTGGTCACACCTCCTCCCTGATCTCTGTCTGGCCTCCTGCATAATGGGCATAATTCTCTTTCCCAATGAGGTGTCAAGGATTAAGAAAAGTCTGGAATGTGCCTGATGCTCACTATACTGCAGCCCCCAAATTGGCACATAGGAGTGAATTCTGCTGCCTGCTGAGTAACCTTTCTTCTCTGTACCTCATCCCCACCCCTGTGAAATGGGAGAATTTTAAAATGATGACACAGGGTCAGTCAGCTCTTGGGCATGTGTGCTCCCCATGCTTGCTCTTAGTAAGTGCGATATAAATGCTTGTTAAAAAAACATAAAACCTTTTACATTGAAATAAAATGCAGAATGACTGAAGTTGCCTCTTTCCACCCAAGAGAGCAGGGATCAATACACACTACCAACAGCAGAGGGCAGTTTCTGCACAGAGATGGCTGGTGTCTTTCCGCCCTTAGGCCTGTCTCCTGGGGACTCTCTGACCATCACGGGAGGATTAGTGTAACCTGGCGCCTGGGAGATCACCTGGGCTTAGCGTCCAAAAGGCCCCTTTGTCTGGAACTGCTGCGACACGATGGGGATGACAGAAGGACATCCAGATTGCAGGGGAGGTGATATGCCCTGAAAGTCATTTGGTCACACAGAGGGCCAAGTGTGTGCATGTGTGCAGGGTCACCCAGAGGTGCTGAGATCAGGAAAGAAGCCCAGACCCACTACCAACCATTCCCCTCAGCCCTTGTCCTCCTCTTGAATGGTCAGCTCACAGAGGCCGCAGAGGTTGCCCATGTGGGAGGAGGCCTTCACAACTTGCTTAACTCCATCCCCCCACCCGAAGGGCAGGGGTTCACTGGGCTCTGGCCCTGGGGACTGAGGCAGGACTGAGTTCAGACCTTGTCATTTCCTAACCATGTGCCTTGATTTGATACTGAACCTCTCTGTCTTGGTTTCCTCAATAGTTTCTAGAAGGAGTGCTAATTCAAGGCGTGGTAACATAAGGGACCTGAAGCGCATACAATGGTGTCTGGTGGTGCACAATAAATGCAGTGGGATCATTTTTGCAGCATTGCCATGAAAGGCTGGGGCTCAGGGCAGAAGAATCTGGTGTGAGTCACGAACTTCCTGCTCCTACCACCAGGAGGTATCCAGTCCCATTCCTCAGCACCTTATATGCAAAATAGAATGGGTGTTAGTTTTCCCATTGCTGTGACAAAATACCCGAGAAAACAACTTAAAGGAGGATTTATTTTGGCTCATGGATTCAGAGGTTTCAGTCCACAGTCTGTTGGCTCCGTTGCTCTTAGGTTTGTGACAAGGCAGAAACATCATGGCAGAAGGGCATGGCACTTCATGGCAGCCAGGAAGCAGAGAGCAACAGGCATGGAGAGGGACAAGATGTGTCCTTGAAAGGCATACCCCTACTGACCCACTTCCTCCAACCAGGCCTCAACCCAGTGATGAAATTAGTGCTTCCTAATCCAATCACCCCTCAGTAGCGCCACCAGCTAGGGACACATAGCCTGTGGAGGACACATATCCAAACCATAGCAGAATGGAAACCCCCACCCCTTGTGGGACATTAAGCATCTGACTTGACATCTGGTATACAGGAAGTGCTCAGTAGACATTAGCTGCTCCCAGCACTCCTCTGCTCAGTCACAGAACACACCATGACACACAGACACTGTCCTACACTCTAGGGAGCTCTGGGTCAAGAGGGAGAACGAGAACAGGGCAGGGACCGTCTGGCCCTGCAGGGTTTCTTCACACGTCATCACAGGATGATGCAGTAACGGGCTTGGAGTTTTAAATCAGTACTGTGGACAGTGCCTCATCCATAGAGGTGCCCAATTCTTGCCTGCTGTTGTCACTACGGCACCATCCCATCTCCTCTCTGGTACACCTACTCCCTCCTCCACTCACAGCCCCTGGCAGCCCCTCTTCCACCCTTTCCTCTTCCCACCTGTTCTTAACTGCATTTGGCCTTGCTGCCCCCTCCCCAGTGACAGCTCCTCAGTACCAGCAGGAAACCATCCAAGCTCCCAAGCTGGGCATTCCTTGCTGCCCATGGCCTGGCCTCCTGCTAAGGCATGGAGAGGGGTCCAATCAGTTGTCCCTACTCCTGGGTCTCACTGTGTAGCGTAGGCTGCCCTCAAACTCATGATCCTCCTGCCTTAACCTCCTGAGTACTGGGATACAAGTGTGCACACCACACCTGGTCCTCAGGCTTTGTCTTAGTCTATTTTGTGCTGCTGGACTAGAACAGATTACCCAATTCTGGCTTATTTAATGAACAGAAATGTATTGGCTCACAGTTCTGGAGCCTGGAAAGTTCAAGACCAAGGCATTGGTTGGCAGGGCCTTCTTGCTGTGCCATCCTGACAGCATGTAGAAGGTCAAAGAGAGGGCAAGAGAGAATCTGAGCAGGCCAGACTTGTCCTTTCTTAAGGAACCCACTCCCACATTCATGAACCCACCTCTGCCACAGTGGCTTTAATGCATTGGTGAGGGTGGTGCTTCTATGAGCCAGAAACCTCCCACTGGGCCCCACCATCACACTGGGGGAGAGTGTCCAACACAGGAAGTGTGCGGAACCATTCAGACCATAGCAAGTACTTGTGTGAAATGGGAACATTAGTGTACTCAAGTCATTGGAGGACTAAGCCTGGCACCCCTCGTCAAGTGCTGGGGCGAGGGACCGACACACGTGGTGAGTAACACGCAGCCAGGCCTTTGCACAGCTGTGTCTTCCCGGAGTCTTCTCCCCAGGCGTGCAGGGCACACTCCTCCCATCCTTACACACAGGGCACCACCAACCCAGAAAGTAGGCAGGGCCAGACTGCCTTTGCCACAGTAGATGGTTCCTGACTGTCTTTTTCTCCGCCTTGAGCCAGAGCTCCCTAGAGTCGGGGATAGCGTCTGTGTGTCATGGTGAGTTCTGTGGCTGTGCAGAGGAGTGCTGGGAACAGCCAATGTCTGCTGAGCACTTCCTGTATACCAGATGCTGTGTCAGAGGTTTAACACCCCACTGGGCACTAATTCCAAAGCATCACGAGTGAGATGACTTGCTTGAGGCCATGTCACTAGGCAGCAGTCAGGATGGGATTCGGCACAGGCAGGAATCACAGCCCCTCATTTCACCAGGTGGGGGTCAGAGAGACTTGGGAAGGAAGGGATCAGAGGTCACCCCAGACATGTCACTCAGCACTGCATGAGCATATATGATAGAGGCCAATGTGAGGTGGTGGGTGGGAAGAAGGGGGGAGGGAGGAAGTCTCGGGCTCTTTCCTATTGGTGGGCAGTCCTTCAGTGGGCTCAAGCCCTCCTCTGTCTGTCCTTAGCCCCAAATGCTCTAAGCCAGTTGCCAAGGCTGTTCATGGGGCTTTTCCTCACCAACAAGGCCCATTGTTAGCAGCAGAGTGGAGCCTGGGACCAAGAGACAGGACCCTTAGTCTCTCATCCCAATTCTGCTTCTGTGCAGCCCAGTGAGCCAGGCCCAGCTCCAGCCTCAGTTTCCCCATGTGCGCCAAGAGCATTTGGCATAGCTCTTCTGTTCTAGGGGCATCCACATCTGCCGTTCGGCCTATGGGGTCCCTCCAGGGTAGGGCGTGGCTTCATCATCCTTGCTTCTTCCTGCAGTACAGACTCCTGTTTGCCCTGGAAACCTCCTCCTCACCCTTCCCAAATACAACTCACATGTACCTTCTGAGAAGTGTCCCGAAATCAGAGACAAAGATAGAGACTCAGAGAGACGGAGTGAAAGACAGAGGTATCAGGGGTGGGAGAGGAGCGACACAGAGAGAGGTTAGGGGGAAGAAGGGGACCCAGAGGTTGCCCAGGTCACCAGGGAAGTTTGAGACTCAACACTGCAGCAACTGGGCTGCAAGTCCTCTTACCTCCCAGGAGTTTCTGCCTGGAGCTGGGAGGGCAGGCTGAGCCAAGGCAGCCCTGTGTGACTGGGGAACAAAGTGGTACGAGACCGAGACCAAAGAGATGTTTATTGACACTCTAGACTTGTACTGAGGCCCTAGAGTGCTCTCTGAAGCAGAACTGTGGTGTCCCGATAGATCCCATCCCAGACTGGGGCATACTGCAAGATGGACCAGCGGCAAGGTGGACCTGGGTGGAGAGGGGGCACTTATACTGTCACCCACGCAGGCTAGAGACAAGGAGGGGAACAAAGGCAGAATGGGCAGGTAGAGAGGATTCTGTAGTCAAGAGGGAGGGCGGCGGTGATGCCAGCCTCAGGATGCCACAGTCAGCACGACAGCATTCTGCAAGGATAATAGTTCTCAGTCAGGCCTCAGAGTCCTCGTGCCCCAACATCCTTACCTTGTTCCCATGCCTTCTGCACCATCGGTCACCTGCACCCTGCAGTTGACACTGTGCCTGGAACACTGCAGGCACTCATTAAATGGATGAGTGATAAATAAATGATATCCAGTGTGGGTTAGGTTGCTGACTTAAAAGGCTCAATTTCAAGAGCCTTTTCTGCCAGTAACGTATTCTGTACCCTTGGATCAGAAATTTGACCTCACCTGAAGAATGGGTACAGATTTCCCTGCTCTGTCCACCTCCCAGAACTGTCCCACAACTCAGAGTTGTACTGGTTTGAACAGGATTGTGAGGGCAGGTTGATACTCAACAGGAAGGAATACCACACTGTTAGCCATGTCTGCCATAGCCACGGGATAAGGGAGGGAGAGCACAAGTATTTGCTGCCCCAGAACCAGGAGAACTGTGATTCTGTGAGCGCATCTGCGATTTCATTCTAAAGTCCAGACGAGTCTGAATTCAACAAGAAAGAGCTCTGTGATTGATTGGCAATGCCTGCCCTGTGCATGGCAAGGAGGAGTGAAAGCTGGCGTGCCATGTTTTTGCTGTTCCCGACTTAAGTCATTTCTAATTCTCTGAATGATTTAGAAAATGGTGCATGGACACACCAGAGGATAATGGCCCTCGTGAGTGTCAAACGGGGCTCTCCAGACACAAGCTACGGCCACCTGGATCACATCTGCAGGGAAAACTCACCTCAATGATCTCCAGAAGCGAATTGGCAAAATTCACATTGAGAATTTTCGGCAGGGGAATCCCAACCTCCAGGTCCACTGTGAAGAGGGATGATTGAAGACAAAGATATTCTGGTGTCTCAGACCTTAGGGACCTTTGGATCCTCTTGACTCTATTATATAACTATCCTTGAAGCAGTCATTTCTTTTCTTGGGAACTCTGCTTCCTATTAGCAAACTCCTACTCATCCTCCTACACCCAAATGGAAAAGTCCCTTTTCTGATTTGGCAAGGCCTCCTGGAAGCTCATCAATGGCATGCATACCCTAGTGGTCTTTATTCTAATCATTTGTTGATTTGACTGCTTTCCACTGGATTGTGGGCGCTTTAAGCAGGATTCAGGTCAGATCAGCCCTTGAGGAAACCCAGAGCCTGCATGAGGTGGGTACTAATCCATGTTGTTTGAGTGCTTCAGTTTCTCATGTTACTAATGGGAATCACAGCAATGGAAAAAGGCAACGAATTAGATGATCCCAAATTCAGACCGTCTGTGTGTCCAGGAAGATAGCAGAGGCAGCCATACCATTGAGCTTCTGCACATACGCGGTCCGGAGCACATCGCTGAGCCATGCTTCTAGCCGGGATGCCTGCAACAGCGCAGTGGGCGGGGCTCACGGGGAGCTCCGCCCCTGTCCTGGGCAGAGAGGCCCGGCCGCCCAGCCTCCCCCAAATGTGAGGACACAGTTCCTGGCAGGCACCCAGCCCTGGGGGGGAGGCGGTGCACTAGTGACACTAAAGGAAACCCTGATTTAGGCTGGCTTCACCAAGTGACACTAAAGGAAATCCTGATTTAGGCTGGCTTCACCACTGGCCTCTTATCTCGGAACAGGTGCCCTTCCTGTAGGGAACAGTGCCTGAGAAAGGTGGAAGGCTGCCCTTAGGTTCCTGTCAGTTTAGGGACTCTTAGAATGTTCTAGAACCCAAGACGCTCATGGCATTCCAGAATGGAGCACTCTGAGAAGCAGGAACATCAGAGTTTTGTGATGCCCTGAAATGCTTTTACTCCCTGAGTTTGGGACCTTAGTCCCTGTGTGACGTTCCAAACTTTGGACCTTTGTGAGTTCTAGACGTTTACAGCTCTGTGAGGGGCTGAGGATATCCACGCAAGATTCATTTTCCTAAGGTGCTTGTTTTACCCCTGTGCACACCTGCTCTGAGAACCGCCTGCTCTGGTAGAGCCCACAGTGAGGTCAGCTCAGCACTGACAGCCCTGTTCTTTCCCCTCCAGCCCCTACACCCCTCCAGGAACTTACATCAAAGGCACGAGAAAAGGAGGAGGCCAGCTTGACATCGAGCCTGGCAGAGAGAAGAGGGATGCTCAGGGTCCCCATGGCCACAGTGGCCCCTCCTGAGATCTGTTCTGCCCCCCGCCAACCCCGAACCCACCCCCACCACAGCTTGGCAGGGTCCAGAAATGGGGTTACAGGCCCAGCTCCTGGAAGGCTGAGACAAGAACTGCCACCAGAAAGAGGAGGACCCAGGCACGGGCCAGGCCCTCGGGCGAAGTTATCTGGGGCAGCAGTGAGAGGGGGACACTGAAATGCAGTTAGGTGCTCCAGGCACCTATAGCGCAAAGCACGCAGAGCTGAGGCCCCTGGGAAAACCTGTGCCACAAGAGCTCTGGCCTGGAGAGTGAGGCCGAGGTTGCAGACTTGCTCAGGGAGCCACTGTGAGCCTGGGTCACAGTGAGCTTTGCAAACTATAAAGTGCTGTGTGTGTGTGTGTGTGTGTGTGTGTGTGTGTGTATGTGTGTGTGTGTGTGTGTGAGGAAGAGCTGTCAGTGATGTCATCATCTTGGCTACTATGATTATCAAGACGCCTAGTCGCCATGGGGATGGGCAGAGCAGAGAAATAACAAGTCATGTGAGGAACAAAGTGTTGCCTACAGTCCAGGACAGCTGTCCTGGTGGTCAGCTCAGGCTGACATTGCAGGGATATAACTTCTGTGTCCTGGTGTAGGCTCATCCTCCAGAGACACTCAGAGCAGAGTGGGGGCTGTGGAGGCCCCCAAACTGCAGCCAGCTTCTCTGAGCCCTACTGTCTCAGCAGCAGGTTGGTCACCACTGTCCCCTCCCTGGCAGAAAGATGTCCCCTTAGGTTGGACGATGCTGATGAAACACCCAGCTTAGTGAATGCTCAATAAATGGCAAGTGACTCTTGCTTGAGATGGTCCCTAATTCTTGTTCCTAGTGACAGGAGCAAGTTCCTTTTCCCAGGATCCCACATTACCGTTCCAGGGACAGGGAGATGTGCAGCTTGGTGGCTGAGGGAGCCAGCTGGGCATTTAGAGTCAACACCTGATAGGAAGAACAAGCAGAGGTCATGCCCGAAGAGCACAGGACAGCCTGCGCTGGCCAGCAGGTGAATCTCTGCCATGTCTTCCTTCCAAGAGCCCTGCTGAGGCCCTGCTGGGTGTCAGGTCTGTGCTGAGTTCAGGGCTATGGGAGCTTGGAGAGGCTCAGGGAAGACTGAGCCTCAAAAGACCAGGAGCTAGCAGAGGGAAGTGGAGGGACGCTCCAGGCAGCCTTTAGGAAGAGAGCCTGGCAGCCTGCACAACTGAGGCTTAGGGTGCAAGGAAGGAGGATGCCGAGAAGGGGGCTGGGTAGAGGCAGGAGGAAGATTGGAGTAGGGCTAGGGAGCTAGAGGCTCATCCAAGAGATAGCTGAGCAGAAGCTGGGCAAGTGAGAGCAACTCATGGACAGGCCTGGGCATGACGAGGGGCAGGTAGGAGAGACCAGGCGGGTGCTCTAGGGCTCAGCCTGGAGATGATGATGGGGGCGAGGCCTTCCATGCCACATGGGCCTCCCACGCTGCAATCAGGGTACTCTTTCAGAACCCCAGTGCTGGGCCCACTCACCCCATTCAGCTGGAAGAGAGCTTCAGGGGTCCCTTGAGGGATGAAGGACAGAACATGGATGATGGCTGCAATGGAGACTGTGGCTTTCTTGCTCTGGAGCATGACCGTGGGCACTTCCTTCACCTTCAGTGACAACAGCAGGTGCCGACCTGGGGGTAGCTTCCCCAGAGCCTGGGAAAGGCAGGCGCAGAGTAGAGTGAGGACAGCTTAGTGCCCCGGTATCAGAGTCAATCAACAAACAGTCATTGAGCATCTACTGGGCACCAGGCATCATGCTGGTCACTGAGGTTACAGCCTCTGTTCATGTGTCACCTCAATGAAGCCTTGCAAGCACCCCACGTGAAAAGCACACCCTGGCACCCCACCCCACCTTTGCCACTCCATCCCCTCCACCTCTGACATTTCTTAGAGTCTGCTTGTTTATTTCTGCAATGTCTGCCGCCCCCACCAGCATGGTAGCCCCACAACAGCCCCTGGACACAGGGACATTTTATCCATTGTCCTCTGTTTCTTGCTTCTGCATGGTGAGGAGCAGCACATCCCTGAACCAGCTGAACCAGTACAGAGCCTGGTATTCAGTCAGTGCTAAAGGGATGTTAGTTGATCGGCTGAGTGAATCACAGAATCAGGAAAGTCTAAGATCCTCTTTGGTTCCACAGAGTCTGAAGCCACAGAACCAGACACACAGCTTGGGCCATGGGGCCCTGGAGCTGTCAGGCCAGCTGGAGGAAACCAAAGGGTTTGGCTTCTAAGATGAGCCCACCCTCCCTGCAGCCCAGTGGCCACATCCACAAATCCCTGCCCAAGTCCCTTTCCACCACCTCACAGGTCCTGCCCTTGAGAGGTCCTTCTGAAAGTCTGATCCTTGCCCTGCTCCTTCCCTGAGACTCCTCTGCCCTGTAGCCCAGGGACTCTTAGAAGTGAAAGCCTCAACCTCACAGACCCACACACTTTATCTTCTGCACCCCAAACTCAGCTGCCACCTGCCTCCTTTCTGGTGAACACCCATGGTCTCTGGGCCCCTCTCCAAACGCTCTCAGAATCTGCTGTTACATAAGGACCTGAGAGTAGTCATTTCAACCTCAGTAGGAATTCAGTCCCTCACTGCTGAAAAGTGGCCGGTCCAGCTGAATGAATGGGAAAGCTGAGGTGGGCCCTGGGGTCACTCATTAATCCCATTGGTCTCTCCTCCCTGACTCTTTTCCCTTTTCTTTCTGAGGACAGAAAATCTAAGGTCAAGATGAAGTAAGGCAGTTGCAGGGAGGGGGCGCCTATTCTCTGCCTGCTAGAACATCTACAGTCACAGGACAAATGCCCACGTGGCTTGTAGGGCAGTCACACCCTGGTCCTTTCCTCTCTAAGCCAACTCTGTATCAGGAAAAGATATGGTTTTAGTCTCTCACACCTTAGTGTGAATTCAGACTCACCACCAATCACAATTGTCTGCAGAACTGTGTTGAGAGTTTCCGGAGTCTATTTAGTTTCCTGGGGAAGAAGCTACCGCGCTCAAAGCCCAGCGGAGGACCACTCACCTCAGGGACCAAAGCTGCCAGGTTGGTGGTTGTCAGTGGGACATTGCTGGGAACCTGGACATAAGACCAAATGGGGGAGGAGGGTGGTGAGCACAGAGAGAGAACAGAGTCCCTCAGCAGACACAAAGCAGATTGTCCACCCCCACCCTCCACCTGCTGTTATACCACACGACACTACCAACACTCAAGTTCCTGCTGAGCAGTGGTTACTGAGCACGTGCCACACCAGGCATGCCAAGGGCTTTGCACGCCCTCGCTCACCTCACCTGTACAGCAGCTCAGAACTAGGGACTACACAGCTCTCTGTATAACAGAGAGCTGGACGTGTTTATAGCCTGTACCCTCCCACCACCCCCATACTCACCACCCCCAGTGTAACTGTACATTCTCACTTCTCATAATGGGCCAGTTCACACAGGATCAGCATACACGCTGCCTCCAGGCTGGACTCCTAGATTCACCCAACATACCGTGAGGACCACAGCACCAGGACGGCCTCCGGGGTCTGATATCTTGCCACAAAACTTATATTCCCACACCCACATCCACAGGCTGCTCAGACACATGCGTGCTCACCCTCAGTCTCTGCCTGGCTGTGACTGCCCTTGTTTAAAGACTCTTACCTCCCAACTCAACCTCCCAGAGGCCACCTCTGTCCCCTGTAGGCCTCACCTGCAGTATCTGAGAGGACAACCCCTCTTCCCTGGGGCCTAAGCTGCAGGTGGAACCTCCTTGCACGAAGTATCAAGGGGCTGGGCCTTGTAAGCCACGAGGGTGTAAGAGGGGCCACAGTGGAAGCACGGAGGTCCCAGAAGAGGCAGAACAAAAGTGAAGTGATTTTTGGTGTGGTCCAACCCTAGTTTTCTTTCCTCCAACTCAATCTGCTCTTGAGCAGGTAGTGAAGGTGTTAGTCATTCACACTTTAGGGTAAAAATGAGCTTAGATTCAAAAAGGGCTCATCTGGTCCAAGTTGGCTTCATTTTCTAGGCCAGTTTGGACCAATTGAAAGCGACTTCCTGAAGCACTGAGTTGAGAAGGATTCAGAGGTTCCACTGAGGTGTAACTGAGTCTGGGGCCATTAAGGATTAGCAGTGTACACGCTATAAACATGTCCAGCTCTCTGTTACAGAGAAAAGGGTTCAGCAAGGCTAATCAGTGACCATGTGGCACTGCCAAGGGCCCAGGCAGGGAGCTCCCACCCCAATTCCCCTAGTGCCACACTTACCAGCTCAGGGGTGATGTCCAGGTCCAAGGCACCATTGGTCTGCAAGACTCCAAACACAGTGTTGAACAGATACAATGGCACTGTCACCTGGGAGGTGTGGTCCTTCTTAGGGGGCACCTTGACTGGGACGTGGGGCTTGGGGAAATCAACCATGTCACCAGCTACACCCTTCACAATGGCCTGTGGAGGCAGGAAGCAGGCACGGGAGGGTTTTAGGGCACTCATCCACTGGGCCTTGTCCCAGCACCCCGTCCTGCCCTCTGTAACACCCGTGCCTGAGCCTCAACAGGGCCTCCATGCCACTCACGTTGATGTCCAGCTCTATGTACTGGTTGGAGATGAGGGGCAGTGTGGCCAGAGTGAACTCCACAGATCCCAGAGCCCCAAGGGGCACCAGGCCTGAATGGGAAAAAGAGGGGCAGAGGCAGAAAGACCCCATGAGTCCAGTCCCCTACTTGCATTTATTGAGTGCCTGCTGCATGCATGCCTAGTCCTCTACTCTATATTCATTTGGCTGTCAGCTACTGTCACCTTCTTTCACAAGGGAAGAAACCAAGACTCAGACAGAGGAGGTCACCATTCCAATGTCACACTACCCCAGAGTGGCAGAGGTAGGCTCCTGTCTTCCAGAGCCGGCTGCACTGCTCTCTTACCTAATTCCCCTGTACGCTTTCCTTTTCCTAGCTGTGCTCTGACCTTTTCCATAAGATGCAGAGAGACAGGTTCACTGTGACTATGGGCCCATGCTGCCTTACTTAAGCTCTCTGGGTCTCAGTCTGGTTGTTTGGCCAGAGACTAATAGTTTCCTCCTGGTTCTGACCATAAGTGCCCGATAAACATTGGCCTGCAGCAGTCAATGCTTGGGGACCACTGACACAGATGCTCTGAGCCTCCATGCCCTCAGAGCCTCTGTGCCTGCCCAACAGGCCTCGGCCCCATGCTCCTCCTCAGACCTCTATGAAGTGGCAGCGTTGCCAGTCTGAGGAGGAAGTGAGAGGTCCTGAGATCCCGTGCCCTTCTGCATCTCTCAGTACCTAACCTGTATGGATGATGGAAGCAGGGAGCAGAAGAGACAAAGAGGAGGGTTCAGGCCCCGACTTACTCAGCACAGTCCCCAGGAGCTCGTTCACCACGCCCAGCACACTGTCCACCACAGGGCACAGCTGCCGGAGGAGACAGATGTTACAGGGAAAATAAGCAGACCCCACTTGTGCTGAGGATAGCTGCGTTTCCTCTAAATGGTTGGCTCTGTGGTGCTGAGAGCCAAGGCAAGGCAGAATGTGGTGCCAGTGTGAGGGACACAAGTGGGAGCAGTGACAGATTGAGTGGGCCTCCAAGCCTACACCCCTTTGTTACCCGAGCCCCATCAGAAACCCCAAAGCATGCAGAGGGGAGCCAGAAGGATATTTAAGAGGCCAGTTGGGGCGTGGGGACAATGCCCTCACCCGAGGAGGCAAAGGCAGATATGGTTCCCCCTGAGGTCATAGGCCCGTCCTGCCATCCCAGGTGGGCACCTGGAGGCCTAGAATCAAGAGCCCACAGAGGAGCACCTCCTCTCTTCCACCTAAGAGACAGTCTGGGTCAGGTCACCTGCTGCCCATCCGCCATGTGTTTACCAACCCGGTGCCAAAATGAGAGCGGGGAGCAAGTGGTTTAGCTTCCAGAACCCATCACCCATCAAAGTGGGACCCCAGTCTAGTGCCTTCGCTCTATAGCTGGTGTCAGAGAAGAAAGGCCACCTGCCTATTTGCAGACAGACAATAGAGGGCAACTGCAAACCTGGGACCCCAAACTCCAGGCCTCTGAGGTCAGGCACGTCACAGAAATTAGAGGAGGAGAGAAGAGGGGCATGCGTGGAGGTGGCAGCCAGCTGGATGTGGACTATAGGAGGGAGGCACTGGGCAGCTCAGGAGCATCTGCTCAGAGAAGCCAGAAGTCTGACTGTTAAGAGAAATCTCAGGCTGGAGACATGGCTCAGGAAAGAACCAGTGTAGCAAGTGTGAAGCCCTGAATTCAAACCCCAGTTCTACGAGGGTGGGGGAGAGAGAGAGATCCACAATTTCTTGATGTTAGCAATCAACTCTTATCTTCAGACCTCCGTGTCACACAGAACTCAGCATCTGGTAGAGGTGGAAGCGCGGTGTAAATTGTAAATGCAATCACACCCCCTTGTTGTAATCCACCTGAGATGGGTCTGGGGGTGGGGACTACTGGAACTGCCCCTTCTGCTGCCCCCCTGATTTCTCACATTGCCTTCCTCCTCCAGCCCTGTCACCCACACAGGCACCCTTCACAGGAACTCACAGGGACAGCCAGCCTGACTGTCTTTGGCTGTCTGTGTGACCCTGGTGTGTGTTACCCTTTCCTCAGTGACATGGGCTCAGGCCAGACCCAAGTGATGGATGCTGGGATGGCCTGGGGTGGGCCAGGGATGCACATACATGAGCAGCTTAAGCATACTGTGCTTATGACCCAATTATAATTTAAAGCTAATTAAAAAAACCATAAAGTCAGTTATGAGGCAAGTAGCAAAAATAGAGCAGGAGGAAGAAAGAGACAGATTTGGGAGCGGAGATGCTGCCAACACAGGCTGGAGGTCTGGGGAGGAATGTGTGCTGTACCCCCAGACTAGCAGATTCCCCTGGGAGGCCCATCAGCAGGCCAGGCACGATCACCTGGTGGCAAGGGCTGGGAAGGGAACCGCAGCTTAATCCTACCTGGCGCCAGCTTTATCCAAAACTGGAGAGGGGAATGCCAAGGGGAGGGACAAGCCTGGCCCGGGGCCACACTCACCAAATCAGGCAGCACCTTGCACAGGGTCTGTTCCACAACTCCAAAGAGTGGTGCAGGCAGCAATCTGGGTGGAGGGAGACATAGAGGCTGTGGCCACCATGAAGGGACAGCGCCACATGGATGGTCGGGCCAGGTAGATATTGGGGGCTCTGCATTTCTTCTGTCTCCTCTCCTGGTGGGGTTGGCTGGGGCTTTGGGTTTCAACCCTTGGCTCACCTCACCATGGGACCCAGGGCTGACCTCAGTTTCCCCACCTTACACAGTACTGTGGCCCAGATTAAGAGAGTTGGTATGTGTCTGGTAGGCGATCTGTGCTCGAAAAAGCGTCTGCCCCCCTGTCGGTCCCCCGTCTGCCCCTACATTTGTAGACAAGGGGCATTTGCTTCTTTCTAGAACAGTGCCTGGCCCGGACCTGGTCAGAGGCCAGCACATCACTGTCCCTGCCTCATCTGTGTATGTGACCTTGAGCAAGTTTGCCATCTCTGGGGCTCGTCATTCAACACAAATGAAATGAGGGCATGGTGTCCTGAACAGGGACGTAAAAGTGTTTTCTGGTTAGCCAAAACCTGCCTCTAACTATACAGATGGGGACACTGAGTTCCAGGCAGAGAAGAGGTCTCTCTCCAGTCACACAGCAAATCAAGGCACAGCTGGGCCTCTGGTGTGCTAAGAGCAGAGACAATGATTACCTCAGATGAGGGATCCCAGATGAGGGAGATAGGGGTTGCTGTAACTGGGAGCAGGAAGGACACCCAGAAGTGGGTGGCACAAGCAGTGGTTGGGGTGGGAGACTCTGCCTTGGTGGGCCTTGGTATGCCCTCTGTGCAGGGGTTGAATCTGGCAGGTGGGGACAACTCTGGTGTTCCTGGGATACCCTGCAGACACCCAGGTGCCAGAGAGCTGATTCTGAGTGGGTGGAACACAGAATGGAGTGGCAACTCACCCCGAAACCAGACTGATGTGGCCCAGGAGCATAGTGCAGCGTTTGAGGATCAGCATGGGTGTCCCCCGTGGGCTCATGCCCAGCGCCACCCGTGATGACACATTCACCTCAGCTGCCAGCTGCAAGAGGCCCCCCAGGGGGCTGGGAGACAGGACAGTGGGTGTGGCCAGGCGATCAGCCTCTCCCACCTGCCCATGCCCAGCTACATCTACTCGGGTCCCTCTGAGCCCTGGGAGGGCAGCAAGTGGCCTAGTCCAGTGTCCTGCCATCTTCTCACACTCTGCGTCCCTGCCGTCTGCGTGCCCCTGTCCTCCTGCTAGCCCCAGCAGTGAAGAGGGGATCTGGAAAGTGAGGATGCTACTCCTGGGGGTCAGTGGAGTGGTCTCTGGAACAGGGTAATGGAGTAGGATCCAGGGAGAAGAGCAGGGTGGGAGTCCCTTGGGAAGGAAGTAGGGTGAGAAGGAACAGGGGATAGGGAGCAACCTGTTAGGACTCAAGGCATAATTAGGGTAGGGGTTCCCAGGGCATATTCACCCAGAGCCATGCAGGCCCACTTTGGTGTGCAGACCCAGCTGTACCCCAAATCCTGGCAGCAGCTTGAGTGACAGCTTCGGCAGTGTGAGCTCCTCTATCTTCAGCCTGGTGTGGCAGTGGAGGTGAGCTATCACTCCCAGACACGCCCAGTGCCTGGATGTCCCTGATCAGGCAGGGTAGGAGTCTGGGCAGTCCCCTATCCCACCTGCAGCCTGAAGAACCATCTGAGACCCCTGGAGCCAGGGACTCTGCCTCTCTTAGCCTCAGTGTCCTCATCTGTAACGTGGGGTGGTACAAGTGCCCAGAAAGTGAGCCTATGCAGTGCAGACACGAGTACTTTGTGTGCTCAATAAATATAATTCCAGCATCACAATCAGAGGCTATCCCACTGCCTCAGCCTGGTTTGGTTTGGTTTCTGACCTTGACTTTGTCCCCCACCTGCACACAAATGCAACCCAAGAAAGTTCTCAGACAAGGCTCTGAACAATTCATCCTCTGTGCTCTGTCTTTACCCAGGTTCTTTCCTCTGCCTAGAACGCCCTTCTCTTGGCTCTTTCCCTCTGCATCCTCCTCCAGCTAGCTGAGCCCTCCCAGCTCTCCTGATTTCAGCTGGGATGTCCTCTCTCCAGGAAGCCTCCCTGACTGAAAGCCATAGGCAAATGCTTCTGATCACCCAATTAACTCTTGCACTGCCTGAGCTGGTGAGATTGTCACATCAGGCTTTGCTACATAGTGGGATTCTTATGTCAGCTTCCTGTCTCAGACCCAAGACTCACCCAGCAGGGGTGGTCTACAGGGTGAGAGATACTGAATATAATTATAGCAATAGCATTTATGGAGCACTTCCTGTGTGCCAGGCTTTATTTTAGCTGCTTGACAGATTAATTCTTTCCTGGCACCAAGTAGCTGCTAACATTGCAGCCAGTCAGCACCAGCTGCTTCAAACACCAGCGCAGCTACTGACTATGGGACTCCAGGCAAGTCACAGGGCTGCTCTGGTTTTTCCAGGTTTATTATGACATCTACCAGACTGACATGGAGTGGAGCCACATCAGCCTCCATCAGTCCCCGTTTCAGGCATTCGTGCCATTTTAGGAGATGGATACCATCTCCCTTCTGCTCCCGGCCCCAACCCTCCTGCCGGCCCTGGCCTTGGCCCTGAGTCTTCTCCGGGGCCTGTCTTTGACCTTTAGACTCATTACCACCAAGCAACCTGACCTAGATCACACAGGGAGTAACAAAAATTGACCTCAGCACAGGAACCCTGGATGACCGTGGCATGCAGCCATTCTTGTCCTGCCAAGCATGCAGTAGAATCTTATTTCCACCACCCTCCCCACACGCCCCCACTGCCTTCCAGCAAATTAGAGTCCCTCTCCCCTCTGCTCCCTGAAGCAAACCAAGTCAAGCCTTCCTGTGGGGCATGCACAGGCCCTGGAGGACTTACCCAGAGAGCTCTTCCACTACACCAAAAATTCCTCCGTAGGTCAGCAGGCCACCTCCTCCAAGCAGCCCTCCTGAGCCCAAGAGGCCCTGGTTCACAGATGTCACCGTGCCCAGCACATTCTGCAGAACAGGCCCCCCGACCAGGGAGTTCTGAATGGCTGCAGAGAAGGGGAGAAGTAGGAAGACATAATAAATTTCTACCTTATCTGCAGGACTGTGCCAGCTGCCCCTGTCCTCTGAGTTTAGTAACTCCATTTTTACTGGAATTGACCCAGAGATCACTCAAGTGGTGGGAACTGTGACAGTGTCCTACTCCTAGCACAGCAAGGGTGACCACCCACCTGCCTGGCATGCAGAAAGTACCCAGTGAGTGTCTGGAGTTAATCGAGTGAATTCCCTGGCAATTCCTTCATTTAGAGGTGGGTAAATGAAAGCCTAGGGACACATACAAACTTGCCCAAAGTCGCACAGCAAATCAGGCTTGGGCTCCCGATCCCGGACTGCCCTGTATTAAAAGGAGGGCAGAACCAAAGCAGGAGGGGCCCACAGTCACTGAGGCTTATTCGCTGTGAAGGGGGTGGTCCTCCCATAGCACCCCAGCCTGTGTGATGAGAGGACAAGGTGGAAGAGACTGCTTTCTGGGATCGGAGCAGGCCGGGGTGGCCTCTCGGAAGTGTTTCTTATTCATGACCACTCTACTGCAGTTTTGAGATTGTCACCACGAGCCACTGGGTCCTGCAGCACCAAATGCCAACTAGAGTTTCCACACCTCAGGAACATGGGGCAGAGGCAAGACCCAGTTAGCAACTTCTCTGTGACTCCTCCACCCCACCCTGCCCCTGTCCCCAAGCCTTGGGCACCACTAAGTTCTCCGAGCATGCTGTGCCCTCCACTCCCAGGGTCCTGGGAGAATACGCTGTCTAAACAGCCCGTACAGGCAGCCCGAGCCCTCCCAGACCACCTGCCTCCAGCTCACCTTTACCGAGCTCATCCTTGTCGATCCGAGCAAGCGTGCCCACTGTCTCAAGCAGCCCCTGGCATGGAGCGGCCAGGCCCCAGAGCAGAAGCAGGAACCACACACCCAGCATCGTTGGCTTAGCACCTAGAAGGGGCTGAAGCAGGACCTTGGAGACAGGCCTCGTGCCCAGGCTTTTCCCTCCCTGCTGCCCATCATCACTCTGGAGTCTTCTGGCCCACGTGGCACAGCCCAAGTTCAGCTTCTCTCCCAGGAAAGCCCTCCAGTGAAGTGCATGGCAACCATCACCTGCACCTTGCTGTTCAGCTTCCAGCACACACAGGCCTTGCCTTCTCCCCTTTCACAGATGAGAAAACTTGAGGCCAGAGATTAGAGGAGACTTGACTAAGGCCACAGAGTGAATCTGTGGAAGGGGCAGAGAGTTCCACTGCGAGTCCATGGCAAAGCGTGGAGCGAGAGCCTCAGCTGGGCCCCTCCAGGACTGCAGGATAAGAGCTCTGGTTCCAGACTGTTTTTCCACTGGCTCAGAAGGAGTGACTGGTCAGGGACATGCAAAACTTAGACTTAACATGTTCCTCCTCCCCACCTCCATTCCAAATATTTCCAAAAATGGAAATGGGGTGGGAGGTGGAGCATGGCTAATTACTAGTTCCATAGAAGGGACCTGACCATATACCCAACTATTCCCTCATGTCACCATTTCTGAAACCCTCAGTGGCTCCCACTGCCTGTGGGATAAAACCCAGGCTCCTCTCCATTACCCACATAGTCCCTTCCTGCCTCTTTGACTTCTTTGTCTTAAGTTGCCAAGTCCCCTCCAACCTCAGGACCTTTGCACATACTGTTCTTTTTGCTGGAAAGGCTCTCACCCTGGGTCACCGCATGGCTGACTCCTTATCTGTCAGGTTGTGACCAATTGCCACCCCCTCGGGAGAGGCTTCACTTTGTCAAGAGAATCTTGCCCATCACTAAACAGCACCAGAATATTTATTTTAAGTTGCTGGTGACAATTTGCATTTATGCAGTATGTGTTAATGTCCTTGTTTGCCATCTCTGTGAGCCCCACAAAGGCGGGGACTGTGTCTCGGGCCTCCACATGGCTCACCCGTGTGTGCTGAAGGGGTGTCTGCTGAGGGGCCCTGGGGTGGAACTCCAGCAGCAACTCACTCACTGACCATGTGCCCTGGTGGGCACCTTCTCCTCCTTGGCCCAAAGGTAAGAGTGGCCCTGTCACCCCCTGGGTCTCTCACAGAACAAAATGTCCCCATGATGGGAAGCCAGCTGAATTCCAAGGTTTAGATAAAAATAGGCACCCTCCAACTCTGTCCATAGGACAGTCTGTCCCCAGCACACCCATCCCTGCCATGACCTTGTACAAGGGCCCCAGATCTGGAAAATGGATTTTTTTTCTCTTGCCACCCCCCAGATACCCCAGGCCCCCGTAGTGAATTATTTCTGTGCCTGCTTTTCAGATGGGATGCCAGAAGATCTCAGGGTAGATGGCAGGAGTTGGGTCCAGGGCCAAGGCTGTCTTACCGACCTGCTCCTGCTACTCCACAGAGGTGGGTGGGGAGTCCAGGCCTCCTGTTGGTTCCTCCACCTTCCCGAGCCAAGGAGCGGCCTTTATATGCCCACGGCAGCTCTGGGGACACAAAGGGGGCCCAGTCGCCAGAAATCCGTCAATATGTCATGTCAGAAGCAAATTGCGGTTTTCCCCGAGGGCCTGAACTAAGCCTTCCTTCTGGGGGGAGAGGGAGACTGGGGTCGGTGCCCAGGCATGGGGGAGAAGTCATGGGGGCTGCAGAGGCTGCTATCTCCCTAACCCGCCCCCAGCTGTGCCACCCCATTCAGCCCCTATTGGGCCCTTTCCAGGTTCCCCAGAGCCACCCCAATGGAACAGAATCCAACCTACCTTCCCCTGCACCCCACAAAGGCCAGGGAGGGAAAGAAGCAGCTAAAGGCCAGGCCTCCTGACCCTTGCCATGGGCCCCAGGCCTAACATGGAGATGGCCATGGGTCTGGGGAGAGGGCAGACTTGGAGGATGGTCACCAACTCTACCTCTACTGTTTCTGAGGCTGATCCAGACAACAGTGTAGAGAAATTCATTCACTCATTCATTCTACAGCAGGCATTTGTGGACTACCTACTATCTGCTACTGTCTGTTGGGGCTACCCTCATAAACAAGACATGAGCCTGTGTCCTGAGGGAGCTGGCCTGTAGAAATAGTACCATTTAAGGCCTTCTAGCAGTCACTTTTTGTAAAAGGTGACAAGGAACAGGTGAAGGTAATGTTTTTTTTTTTTTTTGTCAGTACTGGGGCTTGAACTCAGGACTTCACACTTGCTAGGCTGGTGCTCTACCTCTTGAGCTACACTTCCAGCCCCTAAAATTAAGCTTAATCGTATAGCTTATTTAACCCAGTATATACAACATATTATCATTTTATGTATTCAACATAAAATTATAAGTGAGGTAACTTCCCTTTTTTCCAGATGTGCTTACAACCCTCCACAATTTAGATTTGCCACACTTGAAGCAGTGGCTTTGTGTGGCTGTTGGCCATTGTAGTGGACGCATCGCTCGGGAGGGTGCAAACACAATGATATAGCCAGAAATAAATCAGGGAAGAGGCCCAGGAGCACGCACGGCAGGCAGTGTTCAATATGGCAGTCCCGAGGCCTCAACTAAAGTCAGCTGGACCCGAAGGAGAAGGGTCTCGGGGTGGAGTGTGCCAGGCAGAAGGATCATAATTTGGAACTCTTGAGGTAAGGAACAGCAGGGGGGCAAGTGGGCGAGATAGGACCATGAGGTGATGTGGCCCTGCAGGCTACTGCGTGGCCTTAAGGACTCTGTCTTTTATTTACGGGTTTTCTGCAGATCTGTGTTTAGGCATCTCCTTTTCTAGAAAGCCCTTCTGGCCCTCAACCTGGATTGAGGCCTCTGAGCTCCACAGTCCCCTGGCCTTTCTGGTCTCCGAGTCCATGACAGGGGTGTTGACTGTACACATGGGTCTGTCTCCTGAACAGGCCCTGAGTCCCTGCCTGGGAGACAAGGAGGGGAGTGGCAGTCACCTTGTTTCCTTCAGCAGCCTCTGAACCCCACACCTTCTTCCCTGATAGCAGGGCCCCGGGCAAGCACACTTCCTACAAAATAAACGTTTTTTTTAAAATATAAGACACGGACAGAAAGGGGCACAGATCACAAATTTTAAGTTGAGCACCCCAGAAGCCCTCGGTGTCCCCTCAGGTCGCTGTCCCCAAGGGTGACCACGGTCCTGACACAGAGGGGGAGAGTCATGCAAGTGCAGTGGCCCATGGGCCCTCACGAGTGGCTCCCCGCACACGGGGTCTGTGGAACTCATTCCCGAGGCCACAGGAGGCAACGGTGAATTCTCACCGCGAACCTCTCCTGCCTGAGCACCCCACCGTTTGGTTTGCTTTGCCTTCCAGGTCCAGAGGCACCTCGCTCCCCAGTTTGGCTCTTACAGTGAAGCTGCGCTGACTGCTGTCAAGTCTTTTGAGGAGACATGCGTTTTATTTTTCAGCCAGGAGTGGAATTGCTGGATCCAAGCAGCTCAAGCACACTCAGCCCCACTAGCGACAGCTCTGCTTTTCCCAAGTCGTCATTCGAAGCCATCACTCTCTCCTACCCTGAGTAAGTGAGACTCACCACTGCTGCTCCCAGGCCTGGTCAGCATGGGGCATCACCAATGCTCTGAAGACATTTGTTTGAAGGAGGAAGAAGGAAATCTAGCTTTTACTGAGCATTGACTGTGTCCATGGCATCTGACACATGTGGTCACATCTAGTCACCTCACTAATCCAGAGAGATCAGTCACTTTTATTATTTCCTGCTCGTATTCCTTGGAGCCATGGCTCTGCAAGGGCAGCGTCTTGGCCAAGGCCACAGAGGAGTCCAGCTAGGCTGTCTGACTCTACACTCACTCTCCCAGCCCCTGCCAGTCTCTCAAAGGCAGGAAAATGCCTGCCCTTCTCCCCTCTTCCTTCCAGACCCACTCCCATCCTACCTCACCTGTTCCCCAGGGATCCCCACACCCTTCAGGTGCCAAAGCAGGATCAGGGATCGGACCTGCATGTGGGAAGAGATTCACTAAAATGCCTCCTCTGCCCTCCCCCTACAGCCTTTGGCAGCTCTGACTCAGTAGACTGGGGATGGGAGGCCTAGAACAAGTCTCCAGAGACAATGGATATGCAGCCCAGGGAGGGTGACGGGCGTCCCAGAAAGGACTGAGCAAAGGAGGAAAATACCCTGAGCACAGTTCCTTCAGTGAAATCAGGGGACAGAATTCCTGGACTGTCACTATTGAGTGACTCCCAGAGTCAGTTTGCCTGTCTGCAAAAGGGGCTAATATTGAAGGCGCCCACCCTCACTTGCCTGGTCCTGCTGGAGGACAGGTGCTGGAAATGGACTTTAGAGCATCGAGGTTGCCAGGGGGTTTCAGATGAGGGTGATGTACAGAAAGTCCTCCCAGAAGCCCCTCAGTGGACAGTGGGTGGGGAAGGGAGAAGTGAGGTAGGTGGAAAGTCTCAAGGTCTCCCTCTTCCCAACTTGTCCCTGGGGGGTGATAGCTGCAGCCCAAGATCAAAGACCTGCCTCTACTCCCTTCTCCCTCCATGATCTTGTGCCTCAGTTTTGTTTTGTTTTGAGGTGACGGTGCACCCTTTTGCGGAGTGTGGTGTGAAGGAATGGGGAGGAGGCTTGAACTTGGGCAAGCCCTCAGGCAGGCCACTCTGTCCTGCTCTTCCTCAACTTAGGGTTGGAGGGTCCTAGAAGATTAGCAGCGCCCAGGGAGACAGAATGTCCATCACAGCTTCTCCAGGGAGTGGGGACACTCTGCCAGCTCAGAGTGAGGCCAGAGTAGCTGACCACTCAATGATTATTGAATCAGATTTGTCAAAACATCCAACCCTTTTGCCATTGTATAGACAGGGAAACTGAGGCCCAGAGAGGAGCTTCTGCGTATCTGAGGCCACAGTGTCCAAGGTCTGGTGGCAACAAAGACCTTCCCACTCTAAGGGCATTGTGCCTGGTTTCTCTGTCTGCACACTGGGAAAGTGGCAGAAAGACTGTCGGTGGCCATGAACAATGCTGTCAGACACACAGGGCGGAGCCGGGGGTAGGGGGTGTCACCGGTGTTCCCGGGATCAGGTGTCACCATCCACTGATTACCCAGGCACCTGGACCTGCCAGATCTGCCTCAAGGCTACTATTGTCCCGGAGCTGGATAGGTGTTGGCAGAGAGGATTAGGCTGATGTGAAGGACAAGGCACAGCCCTGACATCCGGCCTCCCTCCTCCTTGGCATGGACCTGTGCCAGGCTGAGATAGGCCCATCTGCCAGGGCCTATCAGTGCTCGGGGAGCACTGATCTCCTGACCTGGCCTCTGGCGTGCACCCAGAAATGAACCCACCCACACTTGCAGTCTTTGACCCCACTCCAAAGACTCAGTCCACAGACATCCTGACAGATGCACATAGCAGTGTGGACACATGGACACACAGTCACCACTCTGATGATTTCCAGGGCTGGAGACCAGCTGATCATGGGAGACCCTTTGTGTACATTTCATTCCAAAGTTATGAGCTTATTTTGTGTGTTTTCACATTCTAGCAAGTGACATTGATTTTCAGGATCTACTTAGAACATGTATTTTAATTTAATTATGTATAAATATACATTTAGTTTTAAAAGAGTCAATTTTAGAATAATAGGGTTGGGGCATGACTCAGCAGTAGGGTACTTGCCTGGCACATGCCAGGTCCCAGGGTCCATCCCCAGCAATGCCAAAAATAAATTCAGAAAATTAAAAAAGAACAGTATCGTGAATCCCAGGAGAGGTGATGGGAAATGCTGCAAATGTCAGGATGCTGGCTGTCACGGGATTGTGAGACACAGACATCCTTGGCACAAGCGTGTGTGGGTGAATGTGGGAACCCGCAGATGTTGAAGGACACCCAAGGCTCCTTACACATGAACCTCTAAGCCTGGTCCCTCCTGTGTGCATAGGTCTTTCCCAGGCCCTGGTCCCTAAGCTGTGGGCAGAGGCTCACGCACACACACTCAGCAGGGCATGACCACACCTTGACCCTGAGACACCTATTCCTGTCTCTCTCGGCCTGTCTCAGGAAACCCACCTAAGCTTACATTCATGAAGTCTTAGTGTGTGCCAGCCATTGTCCTAAGCAAGTCCCCTGATCCCACAACAGTCCTGAGATTGTCATTGACATCATCCCTGTTCCACTGGGAGGAAAGTGAGACTTGAATTGATGGAGTCGCTTGCCTGGGACATGCAGCAGCATGGAGGCAGAGCCGAGACTGGAAACAAGCAGGCTAACTCCAGAGCCAGAATCCAGTCCCAGCTCTGCCCCTTCACTTGCCAGGTAGCCTTGAGCCAGTCCATTCACTCTAAGCCTCAGTCTCCTCACCTGTGAAATGGGGACAGTCTTCACCTCCCTTAATTGCTATGAGGGTTGAAGGAGGTAACACAGGACAGACTGGGGTCATGGGTTCCCAATGAGTGGAACCAGCTCCACAGTCTCAAGATTTGGGGGCACACAGCTGAGGTGGGAAGAACTTTGCCACTTGCTAAACTGTGTGACCTTGGACAATGTAAGCCATGCTTCAATTCCCTTGCCTGTCAGTGGGGACACCTTACCGCAGGGTTGTTGTGCAGGTTAATGAAGCATATACATGCCTGTGCAGGGCTGTCAGTAGGTACGTGCTCAGCCCACCCCCAAGGCTGCCAGCTGCCCTTCAGACCCCAAGCTGGTCTTAGACCCCAAAATCCACCAAAGGAAAAATACAACATGTTGATTTTCCACAATAAAGAGACAGAAGCGCGGTGTTAGTAAGGGCCTCTTCCTGTTTATTGCAAGGCCCACACTCAGGCCTGTCCTACTCATGCCTCAGCACAGGAAGCAGCCTCTGCAGGAGGGGCAAGGGCCCCCCCAGCTCCACTGAGGGACTCGTCTGTGGGATGCAGTCATCAGTGGTTGTGAGCAGATGGCCAAGGGTCCTGCCACAGTCAATCCAGCTTCAAATCCAGCACCAGGGCATTCTGGCAGGAGAAAAGAATCAGGTCAGCAGGGATGGAAGGAGGAGGGATGGCCATCCCAGAAGGGATGGAACTGAGTCATGACCAAAGGTGGTGGAGCCCACAGAAGTGTTTCGGCAAAGGTTGAAGTAGATTCTCTTTGCGACCCTGGGCAGGTCCCCTCTCCTCTCTGAGTCTGTTTCCTCAACAGCCCAAAAGCTCAAATTTATTGAGCACTTATTGTATGCCTTTAGGTGACTTTGCACAATAAATTATAACAGCAGCTCTGTGAGGCTATTGTCCTGTTCTCATCCCCATGTTAAGCACAGGAAAATGGAGGCATAGGGAAAGGTCATGCCCTTTCCCCAAGGTGTCAGAGTTCAAGCCATCCTTCTGTGGCAACCCTGGGAAGAGGGCCCCAGGATCTGAGGGGTAGGCTCTTGCTCATCACCCATTGACTGAAGGTGTGGATTGACAGGACTTTCCCCAGCCCCTCCCCTCACCTCTTCTATGTCCAGCTCTGCCAGGTTGTAATTGATGGCCAGAAGGTCTGGGAGTGGGAATCCAACTTGGAGAGCATCTGAAAAATACAGGAAGAGTCAGCTCAGCCTGATGGCTCTGCCACTATTAAGAAACCCAGAGCCAAGGAGGCAAATAGCGCTGTGACTGATTCATGGTATTCACCAGCTGTGCAGGAGTGGCAGTGGAGCTGCCAGGTGTTTACACCTCAGCAAAATCTCATTCAAGATGCTAAGTCAAGAGTCAAGTCTGAACTGTAGGATGGACCTTTGTCCCCAGGCAGGTGACATTAAGACTGCATTGGAGGCTGGCGGAGTGGTTCAAGCAGTAAGAGTGCCTGCCTAGCAAGCGTGAAGCTCTGAGTTCAACTCCATACCATTAAAAAAAAAAAAGTCATTGCTACAAAGATTCAGCATTGACCACCTGCTCCCTTTTAGCCTCCCCCATCTGGAGCCAGTGACAGGGCTTTGAGACCAGGCAGATGGTATCCTTCTTGCTTAAAGTGCTTCTTGAACCAGTAAATCTGAAGCCTGTGGAGTGCTCACCATTCACCATGGGGATATAGGCCTCTTGGAGGTAATCAGTGATGAAGGTTGTTAATTCCTTGGCCTGGGGAAGAGAAAGAAAGGAAGAGGACCTCACATGTCAGCATTCGGTGCAACACATTCCAGTCCAACCCAGTTCCACACATCTCTTCAGCCTCTGGGGACCACATTGCAATGGACATTCGAGACGTCAAATAGCTTGTCCAGCCTGCAACAAACCTGGGCATCACCCTGGCTCCGCGCGACTGCAGGTCGGTACCTTTTGTCCACTTGGTCCCTGTCCACGTGATATGTAAGACTTGAGTCATGGTACAATAGTGGGGATATTCAGGAGACAGGAGGGGCTCTGTGGACCCCACCCACCCCTGCTTAACAAAAAACCAGCAGCTTCACTCATCCACTCATCCTCTGCCCCTGTGTGTCTGTGAATAGGGGTATGATAGCATGTGCTCACGGGCTTCCCACTCGGGCCTGACTTTTTCACTTGGGCCCCATTCCAAGGTCTCTTCTCTGTAGACCCAAGGGAAATCAGGCCAGTCTTGCCCTCCAACCAGGCCAGACAGAGGCACTTGGGACACTTACATTGAACTTGCCAACTGATGAGGATCCCCGGGACAGGCTCAGTAATCTGTAAGGGATGGAAAGCCAGGAAAAGGATGGTGAAGGAATGTTCAGAGCCACTGGCCCTGGCCCTGGAGGAAGAGGATCTACAAGCTCCCACCCCCTCCCAATTCACGGGTATCCTCCACAGGCTGTAGGTGCTCATAAGTCTCTGCTTGCATGTCACCTATGATGGGACACTGACCACCTGTCATTATCACCCACTCCGTTCCCACCACTTGCACCCCTGGGCTCTCCTGTTCTCATGCCCTCAGGCCCCCAGTCATGCCTACTGGCCTGGCCAAGGCCAGCTATGCAGAGGTTCACAGCCCAACAGGTTGGTCTCAGGTCCTGAGGACACAGTGTGGGAGCCCTCCCTCACCCCTTCCTGCACATCTTCCAGGAGACGCTAATACGCCTTGCACCAGGACAGGTCACGTGATGGTTATCTGGGGGCTCTGCTTGTCCATTCTCTATTTTAGCAACTGACCCTCTGTTTCCACTCTTGGTCAAACCATTCATGCAGGGCTGAACCAAAGCCCGGGAGCATACATTCTGGACCTGGACAACACAGCATACCCTCTTTCCATCATGGTGATTGGCTAGAGTCAGTCATATGACCCAAACTAGATCCAAGTTTTGTTAGAACTCTTGGACCAGAGGCTTTCTCTTATTGTTGGGGCTCACTGTCACCCTGTGGGGAGAGGTTCCTGCAGATTTACTCAACAAAGTGGGTAGCAAAGCAAGGGAAGTACAGATACAGATTCTTTGTGTGCCTGGATCCGGCCATGCCTGAAAACTTACCAATCCTTAGAGTTTTCAGTTAGAGGAGCCAAAAGATTCCCTTCCAGGCTTAAGGGAGTTAAAGGTGGAATTCTGTCTCTTGCAATTGAAAGAATCCTGACATAATATGATTCCCAAGGCAAGTGCAGAATCAAAAAGTGAATGGAAAGCCAGGATGTGAACAGTACCCTCCTTGAGTGTAAGAATGGAGTGGGATACCAGATGGAATGTTGTGCCAGTGCCTCGCATAGAAAGAGATCCATAGGAGAGGTATCGGAGCCTGGCCCTGACTCTCAGGTGGCATTAAGCAGCATGGGCAAAGGCCTCTGAATGGGAAGGGTACACGGACCCCTGACCAGGCTCACTGTAAAAAAGCCTCATGGAAGAGGTAGAAGAATTTGGGAAAGACTTTGAGTCTCAAGCTGACATTTAAGAAGACTAGGGATCCATTGAGTGTTGTTGAGCTGGGATCATGGCCAGAGCAGGGTATTAGTGTTGGTCATTGTGGAAGATCAGGGTGAGAGCTTGGAACAGGAAGCCAAGAGGCTGAAAATGCCCATACAGATCTACAGGGATGCCAGCAGGAGACAGCAGGCTCCTACCTGCCCAGAGATGTGGCCATCTGCAGTCTGTTCTCGTGCACTGAGTACTGGATATTCAGACTGAAATGCTGGTGGTGGGGAGGAAGTAGAGGGAAGGCAGGGTGTTCTCCCGTCAGCACCACCATTGCCCATCCTGCCCTCAGGTACTGAACTTGGAAGCCTCCCAACCTCCTGGCCTAGGCTCCTTGTCCCCTTTTCCTTGAACAGGACAGCACTTTCCAAAATACCGGGCACCATGGTGGATTCCTGCACACATCGTGCTATTTCTCCAGGCCTTTGCCCATGCTGTAACCTCTGCTTGGGGCATCCCCAACCTCCCAACCTCAACCCCTCCTCTGGCCAACACCTGTTCAGCATTTGAAACAGAATTCAGCTAGCACCTCCTCCATGAAGTCCTTTCTGATATCCCCAAACTGGATTTGGGGTCCATCTGTTCTCCCATTGCCCTGCTGGCAAGCCCTTCACTGCCCTTGTAATTGCAAAGGACTGCTGGGGGAGGGAGGAGGGAGAAGGGAGGGACTGAACCACTGAGCCTCACCATGCTAATCCTGTCAACCATGCACAGGTGCAGGTGGCACACAGTGGAGATTAACTAAGGACCCTTCCGCCCACTTCTTAGTTACCAACTAAAGTCCACCTTCCAGCCTCAAACATCCGTGAGGTTGGGAATGAACGGGGGTGGGGGGGAAGACTCCACTCACAATCTCCAGGAGAAAGAGGGACACTGGAGTCTTGCCCCGCCGCCGAACAGCGAACATCTCCAGGGTGCCATGCAGGTGCAGCAGGCTCCTGCCTGGCTCCATGGTGACCTTGGGGGGTTTCTTTATCCTGATCTGAGTCACCAAGGGCTTTGACTTGGGATAGGCCTCAGCTACCTGCAGAAACCAGGACACTCCACTGACAAGTTGTCCTTAGCCTGGTGGCTTCAGTTGGAACCAAGGATCCTTCATAAAAGGTGCTTTTTACTGAGGACACAGGAAGTATGGCTTACAAAGGCTGGAATGTGTCTATCGGGAAATAATCAGAGCAAAATACACAATTGAGCTATTTCTCTGTTGGACATAGAATCTACAATGCATGAAGGCTGAGCTAGTTCTCAAAGAGTACTTTATGGAGAAGTCAAGATGCTTCCATATTGGACAGGGGACATGTGGCATTGAAAAACCACCTCCCAAGTCCCTCCCCATTGCTGATAGGGCAGGACAGAATGCGGTGATCTTAGGGAGTTGGAGCGCTCACTTTCGGGATGAAGCCGGCCAGGGTCTCGGTGGTTTGTGGAGGCAGCTCACCAATCTACAAAATCAAAGTCAAGGTTGGGATTACTGAAGTCCCTGGTGCATCCTAACAACCATCCCCTGACTCAATAGGTGCACCCTTAGAGCCTCCCTTCCTCACTCATTTACCACTCTGTGCTCAACTAGATAGGGAGCTTCTGCATGGCCCAGACCATGGATTACACAATTCCAGTGCCTGTGGCTCTCAGCATAAGGTCAAATGCTGAGAAAATGTTGGGTGGAAGAGAAGGAAGGTGGATGGGAGGATGGACAGGGGGGATGGATGGGAGGGGGTGGGACTGTAGATGGGGAAATAGATAAGTGAATAAGTGAATGGTTGGGAGGATGGATGGATAGGTGGGTGAGTGGGAGAAGGGGAAAGTGTGGGGATGGAGGATGGATGGATGAGTGGATGGGTGGGTGAATGAAAGGAATGAAGAGCAGCAGTCTGGGTGGGTGGGAAGATGGTGAGGTGGGAAGTAGATGGGAAATAGACGACTGGATTGGTGGGTGAGAGCGTGGATGGGAAGGCACATGGATGGATGGAAGGATGGATTGGTGGGTCAATGAAGGATGGGAAGATATATGGGTGGGTAGCTGGATGGATGGATGACTGAATGAGTGGGTGAGCAGAAAGACGGATGGTGGAAAGTTGTATGTGGATAGAGCTGTTTCGCTGATAAACAGCAGGTGCACAAATCCACCTGTTCAAAGCTCTGGGTGCTGTGTAGATGACACGGAAGGCTAGATGGATTTGAGGTGCAGAGAGAGCTAGGACATGAATACCTGGTGGGTGGGTGGGTGATGACGGAATAAGAGAAGACAGTGGCTCGCCAAGGCATGAGAGATGCAGACTGATGACCAAAAGGTCAGCCACATGGACAGCTGGACATATGGATGGGTAGGTGGCGGTCACATGGATGGAGAGGTGGTGAGTAGTGGGGAAAAACTGATGGTAGAACCCAAACAACTCTAGCATCTTCCAGTCCTAGTGCTGCCCACAGCCCCAGAATTATTCTCAGATACACAAAGTAGGCAGGACTGCCAATCCCAGGGCAGAGGCAGACAGGGGTGGAGCACTGGACAACTCACCATCTTGTCCTGGATGTTTGCATTCAAGAACTTCTGTAGAAGGGCCAGCTCTGCTGTGAGGAAGGTGGCTGACAGCAGCAGCTGTGATGAGCCTTCGGCCAAGCCTTCAGGAAACTCGGGGGCTTCCCCTTCATCCATTAGCTGGATGGCTTTGCCCTTCTGAGGCTGCACCACAGGCTATGGAAGGGAGACACTGCCATTAGGGACTGTGGTCAGGGTAGAACTCTAGCCCTCCAGACTAATGGAGCTCAAATCAAGCCAGTGAAAGTTAGAGCCAGAGCAGGCCATGGCAGCTTCCTAGTGCACAGGTAGGTAGACTGGGGCCTGAAGGGATAAGAGAGTCAGTCACTAGACCCCTCCCAGTTTCCCCTGGGAGAGCTTTGGTCGCCTCATCAGTCTGACTCTGACTGGTTGGAACCCTCGTTTATCCATGATTCCTGCTTTATTCTCAGGAGTGAGAGGTCAGAGGCCAACACCATGGGCTGGGAAGAGCCCCACTGGAGGGACACTTTCTAGGGAGGTGACTTCATGGGACTTTGCATCCCTTTCCTGCAAGATGCATCTCCCCTTGTCACCTGGGAATCTGGAGACCTGAGTGAGGGCCCAATGCTGCTGCCAACTCACTATGGGACCCTCACCAAACTCCTCCTCCCTGAGTCTCAATGTGCCCATCTGTACAATGGTGGGGTCCAGCTGTGTGAGCCACTCTTCAGGAGAAGCAAATGGGTCTGGGAGAAATCAGCTGGGGACATGGGCACAGTGTTAGAGCAGAGAGAGAGAGAGAGAGAGAGAGGGCCCAGGATCAGGGGAAACCCTCATGGTAGGCTTGGCCTGCCAGAGCCCAAGGGACCCTCACCACTCCCCATCCCCAGTCCAGCCACCTGCTCAATGGGAGCAGACCACCCCACCAGGACTCTGTGCCTAAGCCCCATTGCCCTGGAGGCCCTCACTACTTACACTGAAGTCCACTTGGATATGGCTGGCTGTGGTGGCCGGTGAGGCTGTCAGGGCATATTTGATGGTGCCCATCTGGCCCACAGGCATGGCATCTGTGTAGAGGAGGTTCCACTCAGAGAGGTACCGTCCCCAGGAGCAGCCAGAAAATCCAGCACTGCCAACTGGTGCCTGAGCCTGGCCCTCTCTGTGACCTGAGTTAAGTTGCTCAGTGTCTCTGGGCTTCAGTAACTTCAGCTGTAGGAAGGAGGCAATGGGACCTGGCCTGGCTCTGCCAGCCCACACAGCCCACACACTAAGGGCCCACACAACCTGGATCTCAGTGCCTGCAGGATCTGGTTTATCAGTTGTATTCCAGAGGAGCAAACCAGGCTCAGAGGAGTAAAGTGACTCCCCAGGCCACCCTACTGGGGATGTAACCAGTTTTTTCATCCTAGCAACTGGGACTTCCTTTCTCCCATACTAGGGAACCCTGTGGACCCCAAAATAATGCCTTCAACAGAAGGGCTGGCGTTACCACTATCAGGATCACTGGGCAGGACACAAGACTTGGGGACACAGGCAGAGTAGCTGCTGGATGGAGCACTGAGTGAAGAGTGCTCCACTCTCCAGGCCTGGGGTTCCCATCTGGACAGTGGGAGATGCCATGACCCCTAGTCTCCAAGGGGCTGAAAGCAGCCCCTTGAATGGAGTGTGGGGCATCAAAGTCTAGCCGTCCTGATGTCCCCATGTAGGGGTGGGGTATGGCCAGGGTGGCACTCACCATTCATGTTGGCCCACTTCTTGTTCACATATACCAAGACTGCATCAATGGCTGGACACATCTACAAGCAGAGGCACAGGATGAGAGGGTCCCACATGAAGGGTCTTACTCTTCACACCTCAGTGGTATTTCACAGGCAGTCCCAAGAGCCCTAATGGGACAGGGGCTGGTGAGGAAACTGAGGATCCAAGTCACACAGAAAGTCAATGGCAGAGTCTGGAATAGGACCCAGATCTGACCATGCCAGGGGCTGGTCATCCAAGCAGATGACCAGCTTTGGTAAGCTGGAACACACAGGCTGTGTTTCCTCTGCCCACGCTCATGGGAGACATCATGATATGATCACCACACTCCCTCCCCCCGATCCAGCTACAGCCTCAGAGCCTTCCTCAGCCACCAACGACCAATCAAGGTCAGCACCCAAGAGAAAAAACACTTCCCACCCTGCCCAAAGCAACCTCAGCCAGAAGGGTGGAGGCTCCGACCACTCACCAGGCCTGGAAGGACCTTATGCAGAGTGCTATCCAGGAATTTTCTGATGACCTTGGGCAGCATGCTAGACACGAGCAGCAGAGGTGGGTGAATAGGTGCACCAGTGGCAGCAAGTCAGGCGGAAGACATGAAGGGACATGGTTACAGAAGCTCTTGCTCAGGAAGAGGGACACGGGGAGATGCAGTGTGGACCAGCCTTCCTCCCCAGCTGGAGCCCCTCACTTGCTAGGCAGGTTCGTCTTCACACTGCCCAGGGTGATCTCACAGCCCTCACTCTTGAACATGGGGATGCCAGTCTCATTGTCCTGCAGAAGCCGGTTGGTGGCCGTGATGTTCAAGACCACAATGATCTCCATGCTTGCTCCCGTGAAGCTGTAGATGGGCAGGGCAACATGGGTACCTCTGCCACGGGGGCTGCTATCCCCTACCCCCTCTTTGCCCATTATCTCAGCATCTCTGGGAGGAGAGGAGGGCAAGGGACTACCATAAAGGAAAGAGAAGGGGATGGGACCTGTCTGAGTTCACATAACCAGACTTCTCCCTCCCTTCTTGCTTTGGTGAACTCCTATACATCCTTTAAAACTCTGCTCAGCTGTCATCACCTCCCCCAAAGTTTTTTCTAACCTCCCTCCTCCCCGGCTCAATACTTTCTCTCTTCCAGATCAGTCATTTAGTCTTTGGTTATCTTGGTCTGGTTCCCGTTAAAGTAAGGACCAACTCCACATCATCGCATCACAGCACCCAGACGGCACACAGTAGGTACACAGTAAGTGTCCAAGAGGCCATTCTCTTCCCCTACCCTGTTCCCTGCCATACTCACCTCTTGCCAGTGATGGTCATGCCTGTGGACACACACTGGAAGATGCCCACTCCAGGTACAAAGTTCAGTGTGATGACAGGTACCAGGACATCCTTGACCTTCATACTGGGAGAGGACAGGCATGCACAGCCACAAGAACTGAGCCCTCAACCCACTCCTCCACCACCTTGCTGGGAGGCCTTGGGTAAACCTATCCCATGTCACAGGGATAAACCTATCTTGTAGGGCCATCGTGAAATGTAAACAAAGGCTGGACATGAACCAATTTGTATACAGGAAGCACTCATCATATAGAAGGTGAGACGCTCAGCTGACTCTACATGACCTGGGCTGTTCCCTTCTTGCCTGTGGGTCTCAATTTCCCCAATCAGCAAAATCAGGAGACTTGCTTAGATCCAGGCTTCTCAGTGGGGCACTGTTGATATTTGGGATTGTGGCAGGCTGTCCTGCGCATTGTAGGATGGTCAGCAGCAGCTCTGACCTCGGCTCATGGATGCCAGTAGCACTCTCCCACTCCCCTGTGACACCAAAAATATCTCCAGACATTGACAGATGTCCCCCCAGAGGCACAGTCACCCCTGCTTGAGAACCACCACTCGGGATCCTGGATGATGAAGATGTGGCACATACATTCCCTTCCCCTGCCTGTCCTGAGCCCTTGGCAGACATTGCTAATTGATCACGGACCTATTCGTGCTAAGTCCAGACTGGGCAGAACCCTCCCCAGTGTATCAGGCAGTATCCTCCGTGGCACTTGCCATGAGCCACTTTCCTCCACTGTCCAGTGATCAAGAGAATCGTTGACCCCTCCCAGCTCTGCCAGCTGAGGACTTTTTCATTTACTTTCACCTATGCTCATGGCATTGCATGCCAGGTGTTAGAACTTGGCATTTCTTCCTCAAAATGGCCCTGGGCATCTCCAGGAAATGGTGAGGAAGCCCAGAAAAGAAGGGGCAGTGACTTGCCCAAGGTCACAGAGCAAGACATCCCAAGGCAGGGAAAAGGTAGCAGTGATCTCAACAAGGCATCTCAGGCCTTGGTACAGCATCCATACCACCCCAACCCTAGCTGTCCCCAGGCCCTGGCTCTACTTACTTGCTGAGGCCCTTGATGGGTTTCACCCCCGGCTGCTTCTTGCCAGCCTCAGCTGCCATCTTCTCTAGGATATGACTCTCCTCCATGGCACTCTGGACCTCTGCGGGGGACAGGGTCCAAGTGACACTTAGCTGGGATCACCACTGCTTCCCTTCCCTGCACCAATCTCTTGGCATCCCAGACCATTTACAGCCAGTGTGCCTCGCCCTGGACTGGGCAATGCCAGCGACCTAGAGATGAGCCCAGCCCCTGTCATTTCCGAGCAGAATCCCAGCAATGACATTAACAAGTGACAAAAGTCACAGGAGAAGTGCGGCCCAGGAAGGGAGGAGCTGGCAAGGCTGTTGGAGGAGGCTATCTGGTCCTCGAAGGAGGAATGGAAGTGCTCATCAGACACAGGGATGAAGCGAGGTGTGCTGGGCAGAAGGCCTGGCGAGGACAGAGGTGGGGCAGGGGAGGAGGTAGCAGGCAAGGGTGAATGCTCCTTGTGGTTGGAGGGTTAGGGACACACGTGGAAACTGGTTTGCAGGGCATATCATGGAGGCCTTGAACGCCAAACTAGGGCAGTGGCTTCTCTTGTGACCCTGGCACTCCCAATCTGGATGACAAGGGGACTCATGCAGGACCTTGTAGGCTTGACACCAAAAGATGCTGATTCTCCAATGCAGAGGCCCCAATCCAAATGGTACCCTGTCAGAAACTCCTCCGTGATTTCAGAGTAAATCCCAGAGAGGGGACAAATGCTAAGCTGAAGGAGCTGTTCTTAGCCTTTTGTGCCTGAACTCAACTCACTCCATGTCCCAGTGACCCTGGAACTGGGGCTGGAAAATAGGCTTTACTAAGACCCCTCTTGGGGATTTTAGCTTTACGTTTCACTGGATCCTGCCAGAGAAGGACTGGTCACCGTGTGTTTTATATTTCTTTATATTTACAGATGAGCCAACAGCAACATGGAGATGACAAGTGACTTGCCTGAGGTCACACAGCAAATTGGCAGAGCTGGAATTTGACACACACCTTCCATCTCCATAGCCCTACACATGGCCAGTGACCCCTGCCATCAGGGCCAAAAAGGGACTCCAAGAGAACAGAATTTCCAGCTCTGCGCTAATTTGGGGGAGCTTGGGAAAGTCATTTCATTTTCTCTGGGCCTCACTTTCCCTTTTGTAAAATGGGAGCATAATAACAACACATTGCTTGTAAGTTTGATTTGCAGATCATAGGATCTTCAAGGCCTGTAGACACGAACAGTCACTACTTCCCATCTGTCCTGCGCCCTCCCCTCCGGGCCCCCACCTGGGCCTGCAAGCTCACCATAGTTCAGGATGTCCAAGCCCAACCGCAGCACTGCCCCAGGGTCAGCTTGGGTGCCCATCAGCAGGCCACAGAGTGTCAGACACAGGATCTGCAGCATGGCTCCACCTGTGCTAAGAGGCCTGGATTGGTGCAACAATAGGGAAACTGAGGTACACACGAGGTCTCCTAGCCAGTGAATGACAAGCTGAATAAAGACCTCCCACCTGGACCCATCAGAGTTCCCAAGAAAGCCCTACTCCAGCCCGCCCCCACCAAAATTCTTCTGCTCTACTTACCAAGACCTGAAATTTTCCCAACCCGGGACCAAGCATGTAGTTCAGGTTCAAGTTCTGACTCAAAGGAACAATAAGAGGCAATGGCAGCCTGGCCAGTATTGGCTGAGAGAGGGGGAGCTCCAGCCAGACTCTGGCTGACAGCAGACTTAGGCACTGGGGTTCCCCTAACTCCTCCCAGCCCAGGCCTACTCCTGCATTCATCCATCGCTTCATCCAGCTCGCATTTAATATGTGCATGCAGGTGCCAGGCTGGCAGGGCTGCAAAGTGACCCTTCTATGGGATCTTAAAGCCTAGAGGGGGACAATGAGAAAAGCCGGAATGGGATGAGAGACAAAGTAGTCAGGAAGGACTCCAGCTCAGGGTTTTTTGCCCTCTAAGAATAACAAGAGGCTTAGATCAACAAGGTCGTGAGGTGTTCTAGGAGAAACATTTGATGCCAGGATTCTGTTTCTTTTGCCTAAGCCATGCCTCCCTTTCAGAATGCCTGCGCTCCACCCACCAGTCACTTGCTCAGCCTCAAGGCCTAATTCCAGCCCTTGCTTCATCCCTTGCCTCCTCCATTAGGAAGCCTTCCTCCAGCCCCAGCCACCAGCCTCAAGATCAGTTTGAACCTGACCTGGTACATAACCTCCCCACCTGTGATGAGTGTTCCCTGCTACCTGACTCCAGCATTTGCTCCTGCTTTTCTCTCCACCAGGAGTCCCCAGTCTCCCCTCATGTTCCTAGACACCCCCCACGCACACCCCATACCTCCTATGCGTAGCTTAGCTCTGAACTCCTACACAGTGATGCCTGAGTTTTCTCTTCCTCTCTTCCCTCAGCCCCAGATGAGCCCAAGGACGTCCGTTGGCTCTGCTACTAACTTGATCTTCCTAAGTTCTACACATCAAAGTGGCCATGTCCAGAGGCTGTCTGTGAGATGGAGAGTACCAGGCAGGGATCAAGACAGAGATCCAAGCCCTGGTCCAGCCACCCATTAGTTGTGTGACCTCAAGCCCTTTCCCAATCTGGGCTTCAGTTTTCTCATCTATAAAATAACTGTGCTGAGGCCAGGCATTGTGGCTCACTGCCATAATCCCAGCTACTTGGGAGGCAGAAATTGAGATGATCAAGGTTTGAGGACAGCTGAGACAAAAAGTTAGTGAGACCCTTTCAGCCAATAAGCTAGGAGCGTTGGCCGCACACTGTGGTCCCAGCTGTGAAGGAGGCCTTAGGTAGGACGGTCATAGTCTGAGGCCAGCAAAAACCACAAAACCCTGCCTGAAAAATAACTGAAGCAAAAAGGGGCTGGGGTAGAGTGCCTGCTTGGCAAGTTCAAAGTCCTGAATTCAAATTCCAATACCACCAAAAAACAAAACAAAAGTGCTGGATGCAACGGTCTCTGGGGAGAGTCACAGATGGGGAACTTCCTTACCTTGCCAAGCTCAGAGAGGTCCTGCAGGCTGACCCTGCCTCCTGACTCTGCAGTGAGGAAGCCCTTATATTCAGGAGGCTGATTAGCTGCTTGGATAATTAAGGGTTTAATAAGGGTTAGATAATTATCTAGAGTCCCCAGTGCTCACGTGATGCTTCAGTCTGTTCCAAAATAAATAGCACAGACAACAAGGGTGACTGGAGAGCCCTATGGCTACAGCAGTGCAAGGGAACAGGATGTGTGGTTGCCCCCACTGTCCTCTTTTCCAGACTCAACACCTCTCCCAAGGCTGGGCATGTAGTCAGTCAGGCCTGTGCAGGGCACTGGGGTGACCACAGTGAACAGGCAGTTGGGGTTCTTGCTCTGACAGAGGAGATGGGGACTATGCAAGACCACATCCTTACTGAGGGAGGCAGGGAGGCTGGCGGAAGCCACTAAACCAGGGGTATGGGACAGAGATGCACGAACAACAGGATAATCGTCAAAGTTGGGCAACATCTCCAGCAGGGGATGTTGAGCGGATGCCCAAGGGATGAGAGCCAGCCCTGCTGGACAGGAATGATGGTGAAAAGGCCAGGAGAAGCAGCACTGGTGGCTCACGCCTGTAATCCTAGCTATTCAGCAGGCAGAGATCAGGAGGATCACAGTTCGAAGCCAGCCCAGGCAAATAGTTTGCAAGATCCTAACTTGAAAAAAAAGAAAAAAAATCACACACACATACAAAAAGGCTGGTGGAATGGCTCAAGGTGTAGGCCCTGAGTTCAAACTCCAGTACCTCAAAAAAACAAAAGACCAGGAGACACTAGCTGAACCCCTGCACCTATGCCTTCAGACCCCCTCCCAGGGGAATTAGGGGCTAACAGCCAAGCCAGATGTCCTCAGAAGGACTGTCCTGGAGAGGACGCAGGGACATAGAAAGTCCCAGGCAAGGGATCCCTATCCATGGAGGCAGAGGTGACACCAGAGTCACAGGCGAGCAGCCACAGAACAGGGCTCAAACCAGGCCCTGGGGGGTTCAGCTGTGGCTCTGCTCTGCAGGAGCTCCTCAGGGAGGCTTGGCTTGGGAACACCTCCAGCAAGGGCCTCTGTGCTTGAACAGTTCCGGGGTGCTCAGGGGACCTGGGGTGGTCAAAAAATGTCCACCACCCCACCCCCTGCCAGGGAACCCATAGTTCTGGAAGACAGAGGAAGCCATGGTGTCTACGTGCACGTGGGGTCACTGAGGGAAGTGAGGGCCTCCCTGAGGTCACACAGTGGCCAAAGCCAGGTTGAAGGGATGAGAGCAGGCTCCAGCGGCCGGCCGTCTCTACCCTGATCCGGCTGAACTAGGGAGCCGTCTGCAGATAGCATCGCTTTATCCCTGCCGACCCGCCCACAGAGGCAGGCAGGGCACAGCCTCCTGTGCCCACACATGCACCCGCCATGCTCCTAACCTAGTCCCCTGGCCCCCCCTGCCTTCTCTTGGGCCATTTGCCCTGCACAAGCCTGGCACACAATAGGTGTTCAATCCATGTTGACTGACAGAATATGTGTGTGCCTACTGCGTGCCCAGGCTTGGGAGAGGTGCTGAGTCTAGGAGAGGGGACAGTGGGGTAACTTGGTGTCCACTGGGCAGCCACATAGAGAGAGGTGACTGGGCAGGAAGGACATAGGTGGGGCCAGACAGGAGAAGCCCTCTTGAGTGGGTATAGGTCATCCAAGGCCCCATCCTTGCCACCACCCTTACAAGCTGTGTGGCCCCAGCAGCTCGTTCCAGCTCCCTGAGCTGCTAGTTTATCCTCTGTTTAGGGGCAGAACTTCACAGCAGACAGCAATACTAGCACCTGTCTGGTATATGCGTTGTCTACACCAGCCATGGCACAAGTTGTTTGCCGTGCATGAGCCCATTTGCTCCTAAGAATGACCCAATGAGGTGGGCACTTCAGCAATGTTTCCATTTTACAGACAGAGAAACTAAGGCTCAGAGAGGTCAAGCCATCTGCCCAAAGTCATACAGCAAGTGAGTGGCATAGCTGGGAATCCAAAGCTCAGCCAAAACATGCCAGGACCTATCCAGTGGACTCTTGCCTACCTCCCTTACCTCTCAGACACTGAAGACGGGGCCGTTCCTGAGTCATCTTTCTCTTCCTCCAAGGCCCTCCCGGTCCCAGTGGGGGTGACCCCAGGCATGGCAGCCCTACCTGCCCCTGGGGATCAGGCTTTCCTCATGACTCCAGCACAGACACGTGCAAGCAGCTTACCCACTGCACATTTGTTATGCATCTGCTGTATGCTGGGCTCTAAGAAGGGCCTGAGAAGAGAATAGAGGTGGGAAAGAAACCATGTACACCAATACCCATGGTGTGCAGTTGGAAGCCTCAGTGTGAACCAGGAAGGGGGTTTGGAGACTAAGAGGCAGCACGCTGCATGACCCCACTGCTGAGGCCAGGGGGAAACAGGCTTGGGTAAGGGCACACCAGGGAGGCTGAGAGTAACAGCAAAGGGCAAGAGGAAATGAGCAGGGTCCGTGTTCAAGGTTAAGAGTGGGCCACGCAGGAGGACTAGTGGGATATAAGTCGAGGACCCCAGACCTGGGAGGACATGGACTTTCCCCCTCTGTTCCATGGTGTCATGTAGCAGTTTATTGCCTCTGCACTCTGAATGTGCTTCAATGTCTGTTTAATGTTTAGCAGTGGACTCCCCCCTTTTTTGTGGCACTGGGGTTTGAACTCAGGGCCTCACTCTTGCTAGGCAGGTGCTCTACCACTTGAGCCACTTTGCCAGTCCTGGTCTTCCCCTTTAATGTGAGCCTGATGCTAACCTTTCTTGGGAGAAGGAACTAGAGGGGTGGTGCAATAAGAAGCGGTGTCCTGTAGGTACCACAGCTGAGCGGAGTTGGTGGCTAGGGTATAAGACTGTCCAGTGCCACCTTCCCAAGCCACAGGCACAGAACTCCGTCCTCCTGCAACCTTTCAGCCTCAGCCTGGGGAGAGCCCACTCCATGTAGGGCACCTCCCATACACCCAGCATTTGGTCCATCCACTCTGAAGGCCACTTGCCCATCCCAGTACCCACCTGTGGTCCAGAGCCATGACCCTTGCCCAGGCCCAGTGCCCACCATGTGCTTTTGTGTGGGCTCCAAAGGTCTCCACTGACTGCCCAGCAGCTCTGGGCTGGCTCCAACCTGGCCAGTTCAGCAAACATCTCTGCCCTCCAGAAGGCTGAGCAACACCTCCTCCAAGGAGCTCTGAAGCCCTCCAGATTTGTCCTTCCTCACTTGCTGGCCCTCAGCCCCAGAACACCACATAGGGGACTTCCTTTCTTCTCAGTTGCTCGTACCACAGTGACTAATGCTGCACATCAAACCTGCCCTGGCGAGGCTTCTGGGTGCGTTCTGCATCCTGACTGGACCCAGCATGCCACACTAGCTGTCCCTGTCAATACCCAGGGTCATGGGCACCCAACAGAATGGCGTCCCTTAGGGATCAGGCCAGCTGTCTTTAGGGAGACCACAGGCTTCCCTCTTCAGGAAGCTTGACCCTCCTCTCAAGGGTAGTTTTAAGCCCTCCTCTTATTACAGAATTGAGCATATCATAGATACAAGCAAAGCATGGCTGGTTGGAAAAAATTGTTGAATAAATGAGTAGGTGAATGGATGACAGGATGGGTGCAAGGATGGTTGGATGGGTAGGAGAATGGATGGATAGATGGATGGAAAGATGGATGGATTAGGTGGATGGTTGGAAGGATATAGATGAGTGAGTGAGTGGATAGAAGGATGGTTGGATTAACAGATGGATGGTTGGGAGGATCAATGGATGGATGGATGGATAGATGGATGGATGGACAGACGGATGGATGGATGGACAGATGCGTCCTACATATTGAGTTCATAATCTTCTCTGTGTTATTGACTTATTTATGGGCTAGGGGAAGTCTCACAGATTTTCTTTTTGTCTTTCCAAAACCCTAGACCACCTAGCTTAGGACTGAAGCTATACTAACACCCAATAAAAGTAGGATTCATGAATTAACTAAGTAACCAAAAAAGAAAACAGAAGTTATGCTGTGCCGAGTGAAATCAGGAGGCTGGATTTTACAACCCACTCCTTTCCCTCTCTCAGCACCACCCCAACCTCCTCCTGTTACCAAGGCTCTGAGCTGAGTTTGGTCCCCTCTGCCCGTCCCACTCGAGGCTTTAGGGACAAACCTGCAACCCTCAGAGGGAGAATAGCTAGTGTCATACCGTACCAAAGGCGTTACTGACTGACGGGGTCTCAGACACCTTCCACTCCCCGAAGGAAACACAAACGGGACATTCCCCGCATCCGCACATCCAGGCAGGAAGAATTCCTACCAGTAGCCAAGACAGTAGCTTCTGGGGGAAGGGAGGGGTCACGTGGCTTTGGCTGGCCCGTGATGTTCCTTGCTCTACCCTACACCATCCTGCAGTGAGTGGCCTGCTGGGTTTGAAGAGCTCTCTGAAGGGACAGGAGTTAGACCATGCAGAGAGGCCAGAGAGCAGAGGCAGACAGCAGATCCTGCATCCTTAGAACAAAAGCCGCCAAAGAGAAAATCAAAGACAGAGACCCTGCCCGGAAAGGCCGCGAACTCCTCATCACTGCTGTTTACAACTCAGGGACAAAGTCTGGCTGTAGTGCTAGCAAATGGAAGAGGGAACTGTACATCAATGTCCAGATTTCAGGAAGGTCACAGTCTTAGGGACCTGCCACCATCCAGTTCTGGGACTCTGGGGCATCCCCCTCCTTGCTGGGCCTTAGTCTCTGCATCCATGAAATGGAACTCCAGACCCCTGCCTGACTCACAGGGGTCTCCTGAGCTTCTGATGCCAAGATGGGGCCTGCTACCAGTCAGAGGAAACAGTGCCTGAAAAGCCACCAAGCTGTTCATACCTTTCAGCTCATCCTTGTTGCCTTCCAGGGTCCTCTTTCAAAATATGTGTTCCCTGGGCAAAGAGGTGATGAGGCTAATGGGTGTGGTCAACAGAGATGTGCTCACATCGTAGTCTCTCCCAGGTAGCTTTGGTGCCTCCAAGGACAGACAGGACTCAGGGACTGCACACAGGGGAACTAGCTTCAGATACACAAAGAGTCTGCTGGGCCTGGCTGCAAGTTGCAGCTTGAGAGAAGTTTAATGCTAGAGGAAACCCATCTGTACAGCAGGGGATGGGGTCTTCAAGGAGGGGGTGCAGGAAGGAGTGGGCAGGAGAGGGCAGTGAGGGGAGAGAGAAGTGCCTAGGTCCCCAGGCACTCGGTGAAGATCAAACAGCCCAGTCAGGCAGTCTTGCTTGCTGCCGATGACTCTGTGTGGCTCTGCCTCCGTTTCCCCAGTGACTTGAAGGAAGAGGATGGCTTAAGCATCAAAGCTGGCCCTTTCTCAGCCCTGCCTCAGTGCTGATAGGAGAGTCCGCTGGATATCACAACATAGCCCTGAGAGCAAAGAAAACCATGGACCAGGTGAGAGGCCTGTGAGGACAGGAAGGACCTCCAGCTGCCCCTTCAGCCTGGCTCTGGGCTCATGCTCCGCCATTCTTGCTGTTCTCCTCAAGAGAGACCCTTGCCTCTCTGGGCCTCTGTCTCCTGTTCTGTCACTGGTTGAGGGCGGAGGTAACAGCACCTACCTGTCAAGGCTATGGAGAGGATGCGAAGTAATCCCTCAGGAGAAGCGAGGCATGGGGCTGTCACTTAATGTGTGCTTTGTGCAGTCAGGGTCATTGCCGTTTTATGATCACAAGTCCAAAACCATGGGAAATACACCTTCTCTGAGCCCAAGTCCTCCCAGCAGGGCCAGGCACCCTCTGAAACCTCCCTGCTCTCTGTGTTGCACTGCAGAAACATTCTGGAGGACTGCTAATCATTCATTCATTCAACAAACCTTCACTGGGCCTCTACCACATATCAAGCCCTATGGCAGGTGCCACAGATATCTTAGAGTCTAGGGCCACATGGTTCAATACCACGGCCATCACCACATGGGAATGATGAAGTTAGTTAAAGTTTGGGGGGTTTTTGGTGGTACTGGGAATTTAACTCAGGGCCTCATGCTTGCTAGGTAGGTGCTCTACTACTTGAGCCATGCCTCCAGCTCCAGTTTAAATTTTTTAAGTTAAAATTCAACTCCTCAGTTGCACTTGTCACATTTCAAGCGCTCAGTGATGTGTGGTGACTGTTTTGGACAATGCAAATTTCCAACACTGCAGAAAGTTCTGTTGGACAGTGCTGGTCTAGGGATCTTTGACATCTGGCCCAGTTGGTTGGATTTGTGGGTACCAGTGTGGGCCACCCACCTGGGTGTGTCTTGGGGTGATTCCCATTAATAAGCCTGACTCCTCCGTGTACTGATTGTTCTTCTTATGGGAGGGGATCACCCAAGGGCCTTGGGATCATAGTTCTTAAGGAACATGGCGCCCTCTCTGGTAAGACATCAGTGGGTCCCACGCAGGGGTGTAAGTGGTATAAGCAGAGGCTGGGGTTGAGACACCTTGGTCCAACTTTCTGTCTTTCCTGTGACTTGTTGAGGGAATTTCCTCTTATCTCCCAGGTCACATGGGAAGAAGTTGTGGGATCTGATCCTGGGCTGAATTGTGGTTTGACTCATCTTATTGTAGGTAAGGGTCTCCATGTGGTAGTGGCAGGACCAGGGCATACCTCCAGGCCTGCTTGTCCCCAGGATTCCACTATTTGCACTAGCAAAGTGGTGGTGGGGGGTGTCACTCCCAAAGGCTCTCACCTCACAGATAGAGACTTCGGGGTTGATGTAGCGGAGGTTGACCACACTGGGGAGGGCAATTCCCATGTCCAAGAGAGCTGCCAGGGGGAAAGGAGAACTGAGTTCAGCAAGAAGTGGGATGCATCTGCACCAGGAGCCAGCCCTGTGCTGAAGTCCTCTGTGCACAGCAATATCCAAATGGATGCTACTAATACCATTCCCATTTTACAGAAGGGAAAACTGAGGCTGGGAGAGGGAAGGGAACTAGTGAAAACCACAGAGCTGCTGCACAGATGTGAGCCAAGACGCCCACACACGCAGTTGGAATCTGGAGTCCACCTTCTAACCTCTGAGCCTGGCAGGTGGGAGGCAGACTGAGGTACAGCATGGAGCGGGTGTGGACTCAGCAAGGGGGCAGAGGGCCCCACCAAGAAGGAGGGCAGGACTTACCATTGAGGTGGTCCAGCAGAGGTTTCTCGAACACAGAGCCCATGAGTATGTGTACTTGATCCATCTGAAGCAACAGAGCCAGGGAGATGGGGAACCACAGGCCCACCCGGCCAAGGGTCAAGAAAGACAAATAGTTAGACACACAAATAACCAGATAGACAGACAGGCAGGCTGATGGACAGATGGACAGCAGACTCACAGGCAGAGGGAAGAGGACAGGTCCTCCCCATCCTGGTTCAAGTGGAGCCCAGCCCTAGCCCTATGCCCCCCACCACTGGATCAGCCTTCAGAGCATCAGGCTGTGAGCAATGCTTGCCCAAGGAAGGCTGAGGTGCAAGCTCTGATCGACTGACACACCGAGTGACCAACAGGTGGCCTGGCCTGCAGACCATCTGACACCAGATGACCACCAGCTGGGTTAACTGACAGCTGGATAGAGGGTTGGGCATATCAACTGACAGTCTGTGGATGCATGGGGACAGTTGGATGCACGTGGCCAGAAGTCTGACCACATGACAGATGAAGGACCAGCAACACTGTCTGACTTGTCTCACTGATCAATGGGCTTGGGCTGAGGGCCAAGCTGACAAGTATCCCCTCCAGGCAGAGGACAGACAGAGAGGCTGTGATAGCTAGATAGCAGGAAGGACGGGCCATCTGACTGGCCACTGTCTGATACGGGGCACTACAGCCACCACACACTACCTGACACACTCCCAAGGCTCAAGGCTACCCTAACCAGTAGGGAGCCTCAGAGACCCGGCCCCACACTCACATCAATGGAGCCCACATTGGAGGCGGCCACAGAGATCTGGACATCCCTGGAAGAGAAGTCAGAGGGTTCTGCATGGGACTAGCACCTCCCATCCCTGTAACATGGGGCTGCACCCCAGGCTCCCCCAACACTGCAGCAGGGGAGGGGCTGTGGTCCAACTGCACAGAAGAATTCACTGAGGCTGCTGGCTGTGATAGGCCCTGCTTACCCCAGCACAGATGTGGTACCCCGAAGCTTCGTCTTGGACACAAAGAGCTGAAGGCTCAGGTTCACGAGCTGGGTGCATGGAGAGAGCAACGTCAGGGGGCGCAGAGCCCTGGGGGGCTCTCCCCCATCCCTTGCTCACAGGTGTTTGTGGAGCACAGCACCGTGCAAGCAGGGCAGGTCTGTTCCTGCCCTGGGAACCCAGCATAAATAACCAGACAGGATCCTTCCAGACACTGGTGGCTGACACGAAGGCAGAGGGGGGTGTGGAGAAGGGGGTGGGGAACTTCTTGCTCAGGGTGACCAGGAAGGCTGCCCTGAGAAAGGCTACAGCATTGAAGCTGAGAACTAAAAGATGAGGAGGAGCTGGTTGTGCCAAGAGTTAGGGGAAGAGAGCTCCAGGTTCTGTATGTGCAAAGGTCCTGAGGCAGGAATGTCCTAGCAAGTTCAAGAGACTGCAAAGAGAGCAGTGTGGATGGAGCACTGCATTCAGGACGGCACAGGATCTCCCTGAGTACAGCCTCCCTCCCGGCCAGAGCCATGCTGCCTACTCACTCACCACATCCATGGAGAAGAGGGTCTGGAAGGCCGAGTTGGAGGACACAGCCAGAACATCCACAAAGGGCTGGAGCTGCAGTGTGGCATTGTTGGTATGGAGCGAGGCCGCTGGAGTGGCACCCAGCTGCACCTTGAGCACCACGGGCATGGGCTCAGGGAACTGGCTGGCCACCTGGGGCAGCAGAGGGAGGGAAGAGGGCTTCAATGGGCATGGGCTGCAGAGACTCTCATCTGATCACTCTTCAGGTAGAGACAAGCTACCAGGGTTCTGCACATGACCAGGCCACAGAGATGGGGCCAGCCCAGGCCACTTGACCAGACATGGGTTTTGGGTTCTGAACAGGGGATCCCTGAGCTGAGTTGGGGTTTTTTTTGTTGTGAGAGCCTGGCCTTGACCTCGAGATTCTCCTGCCTCAACTTCCCCAGTGCTGGGATTACAGGCATGTACCACCACATTTGACTCTGAGCTGGATCTTGAAGGTGGGCAGGGGACAGGAAGGAGAAAAGACAGCCCAGGCAGAGGCACTGCTGGGTAGAGGCAGAGAGGAGAAGAGAGCGTGATGTCTGTGCAGAAGGGACCATCCCTAAGACGCAGGAGCAGATGCTAAACCCTACTCAGGGAAGACACAGGCCAGCCAAGAGCTCAAGCCAGAGAACTCCCATCCCATCCCAAGCCTCAACACCAGAAGCATCACCAACCTCCGGGATGAGCCAGCCCAGCGCTGAGGTGGTCAACAGGTTATCTTCCGAATTCTGAAATCAGCCCCACACCATAGAAAGTTTAACAGGCAGCCATTCCCCAAGTAAGGCCACCACTGGGCTCTCGTGGGCAGGAATCCCTCCCCACAGATCCCAGTTAACCCTGAGTTCCCAAGTCTGGCTGCCCCCACCCCACACCTGTGATTTGCATCTGTGGTGTGTCCCCAGGGTAGGCCATGGAGCACCCTACTCCTGTGCTCTGGGCAGCAGGTCCTGCCTCACCAACTGCCCTGTGATGTCCATGTTGAGGGAGCCAGCCTTCTGCAGCAGCAGAAATACAGAGTCGAACATGTGCTGGGAGAGGACCACAGTTGCCATGGCACCCGTGCCTACAGGCCATGGCAACAGGAAGGGAGTGGCATCGCCGGGCAGGAGGATGGGCTTGTTCAGCAGGAAGAGAACAGCCTGTCGGGGGAGGGGAGAAGCAGCAGGGCCTCAGGGGGAGCGGCCCTGTGACAGAACCCAGATTCTAGACATCAGCCTTCCCCAAGCTGCTGCATGCGGTCTGCCTTCACACCTTTGCCTAGTGCCTCATTCCCCCGGGATGCCATTCCGGCCCCTCTCCCTTAACAACCCTGCTCCTTTAGGAATCTTCCTAAACATGGAAGACCCCAGAGGCACCAAGCCTCCAGCACTGGTCTGACAAAGAGGCACTTACACTGACATCCAAGGAAATGTAGTCACTGGTGATGGTGGGCAAGTGGGTCACAGAGTAACGGATCTGGGACTCAGGACCCACAGGGTTGAGACCTTCATAACATCAGTACGAAGAAGGAAAAGTGGCATAGTTAGCACTCCCCACCAACACCTGTGTAGCCAAAAAACCAAGTGATCTGACTACCTTGAGAAGCCAGAGCCACGTGGAGAAACCAGAGACAGGCAGAGTGCACCCTCCCAAGATGTAGCCACTGACACACAGCATGTTGACTCTTGGTTTAGACACAATTTTATGGATATGGTTTCTGCTTCCTCAGGTGCAGAAGGAGGAGGCTTAAGCCAAGTACAAATATCATCTGATGAAGGCAAGAAGGAAACACACAAAAAGTAAAGAGCACCAGGCACAGTGGCTCACACCTGTAATCCCAGCTACTTGGGAAGTGGAGACAAAAGGATCTCTGTTTAAGGCTGGCCTGGGCAAAAAAAGTTAGTGAAATCATATCTCAAAGAACAAGTTAGGAGAGGCAGGGCATGGCACATCCCCATGCTACATGGGGAAGCATAAGATTGTGGTCTGAGGCTGGCACACGCAAAAAGCATGAAACCCTATCTGAAAAATAACTAAAGCCTTTTGGGCTGTTGGCATAGCTGAAGTGCTAGGCAAGTACAAGTTCCCGAGCTCAAATCCCAGTATTGCCAAAAAGAAAAGAAACAGAGCTTATGTTGATCAAGTCAAGACATGTGACTACATCTTCTCAATCATCACAATTCTATAAGGTTATTTCACACACACACACACACACACACACACACACACACAGGTGGGTGGGGTTCTAGCTTGCATAGGATTGTATACATGGTTAATCTGATCCCACAGCTATAGTCTCTCCATCTAATCACACTGCCCCCTACAGGAACCTCAAAGCTGGTGCAGAAAATGGAAATCCAACTTCCCTACAGAGTATCAGGGCAGCTCTCAGGAAGGCACAACTAAGAGCTCAATGTGGTGAGTTTACTCAAAGCTCAGAATATTTGCCTGGCATTGTTGCAAAGGTGAGCCACTATGGGAACCGCATACCTAGACAGGCTACAGGTATGGCAGGCCAAGGCTCAGCGGCAGGAAAGCCCATCTCAGTGCAGATTTGGGAGCTGGTGGAATGGTTTGGATCTTGAGGGTGGGGTGGTTACATGACTGCATTTGTCAAAGCTCAGAGCACTACATACTAAAAAAGGTGAATTGTCCATGTTTAAAAGGTGAATAAAAGCATTAAAAGTTTAATGTTTATGGTAGATATTGAGAAAATATAAAAAAACAGAAAAAATATAGCCCAGAATCTCACATTTATTTCTCTGTCAATATTTTCTTATGCAGAGTTAAACTTTCTCTCTTGGTAAAAAGTGGAGCAAAGCCACACATGATTTTGTATCCTACTCTTTTTGGGGGGGGATTGAGGACAGGGTTTACATAGTCCAGGCTGGCCATAAACTCTCAATCTTCCTGCCTCAGCCTCCTGAGTGCTGGGATTACAGGCATGCACCACCATGCCTCGCTTTATTTTTTTCCATATGATGCTGGGGATGGAACCCAGGGCCTTGCACATACTAGGCAAGTACCTGAGCTACATGACCAGCCCTGATGATTTTTTTTAACCATGTGTCATTAGAGCTGAGCTGCAAGCACAGGCTCTCAGAGCAAATTGCCTCAGTTTCTTCATCTGCTAGATGGGACTGATAAGTCAGCTTTTATCGTGCACAAGCATTTTGCCTGGCCCATTGCTAGGTTATTACACTCCCCTTTGAACTGTTTTTTTTCCTTTGGTGGTACTGGGGTTTGAACTCAAGGCCTTGCTAAGCCTCTGCCACATGAGCCACACCCCAGCCCTTTTTATCTTGGTTATTTTTTTAATAGGGTTTCATGTTTTTGTCCAGAGCCAGCCTGGACCCATCCTTCTATTTACACCTTCTGCATAGCTGGGATGACAGTTGAGCACCACCACACTCTGCTTAGCAGTTGAGATGTGGTCTTGCTATCTTTTTGCCCAGACTGGCCTTGAACCATAATTCTCTCAGTCTCTGCCTCCCAAATAGCTGGGATTACAGGTATGAGCCACTGTGCCCCACCTAAACTATGCTTTTTAATAGCTTCTAAAATTTGAGGTGATAGATATGTTAATTCTCTCAATTTAACAATTCCACCTTGTGTTCATAAGTTAGGGTGTCACTTATACCCCATAAATACATGACTATAAATTGCCAATTTACAATGCGACTTTTCAATGAAATGAAGTCAGACAACAGCTCTGTCTCATGTAACCAGTCCCCTGGGGCTGGCCACTTAGATTCCTTCTGTGGACTTTAATTCCTTGAAGACAAGGGCAAGAGCTAGTCTTTGGAATGAAGCTGATTCCAGGGCATCTCGCTGGAGAAGCCTGCCAAGGAGAGAGGAAGGGACCCGTACTTACTAAGCCTGCTGTAGGAATACTGATCCTTATGTTTTGGATGGAATGGTGTGACTCAGAGAGATCAAGTGACTTCCCTAAAGTCACACAGCAAGTGAGCAACAAGGACAAAATCCAAACTCCTGTCTTAATTCTAAGTCCAATTGCCTCAGCCTCTTGGTGCCTGTGGGGGAGAGGGAGCAGAGAAATCAAAGAGACAGGGTAACTCTGAACTGGTCAAAATAGTGGCTGGATGGGTGAAACAAAGAAAACCACAGTGACCCAGTCCATTCTGAGACTACTCAGCTCAGAGCTCTGATTTCCCAATTATAAAAGGGCTAGTGGTGCCACCTCACAGGACCGTTGCTAAGAGTTTGCACGAGAGCGCCAAAGTTACCTTGGTATGAAAATCTCTACTAAAGAACCCACCATGGATAACCAGGACCCTGCCCCATATCCCTGACCTTAACCCAGCCTGCATTCCCCCATTCATATCCCACCTCTGTTGGAGCTGATGTGGACCCCAGAGTCAGAGGCAAAGCCAACGCCTGCAAGGGACAGCTGTAGTTTGACCAGAGCAAAAACAGCACGGTGGGAAGAGTCCCAGCAAAGCCATCAGACATGAGAGGATGCGTTTCAGACAAGCACAGCTCCCACACAGGCTTGAGAAAACATGACAAAGCCTCAGTGACGTGAGTGCTGAGCTATCGGGGCAAATGTGACCCCAAATCAGTGGGTGAAGGGCTCTGTGATCAGTGTAAGTATGGCTGGTAGTCGTCACCGTGGTCCTTAAATATCGAAGAGCTGGCTGCCCTCGCCGTGGTTAGGGTTCCATGAGATGAGCCCCGTCTAGGCCACCATGACCAGTTTTCAGAGGACTCCAGTGGCTGCAAACAGCTGGGCCTCCATGTGCAGTACCAGAGGCAGGCTTGGGACAGTGAGTAGTCATCTAGGGGATGGCCCATAAGCAGTGGGAATTGGTGGAGGAGCATCCCACTATCTGTCCCCAAGTACTGCCAGGGGGACAGCGCCCACCTGCTCATGCAGCAGCCTGTGCTTCCACCTTCTTCCCCACCCCACTGTCTCCTCCCCCACTGTGTGCTCCAGGAGCACCCCCCACTTCAGCCACTGTCACTACTACCATTCTCCTCTCAGGTGACTTCTGGGACACCCACCTAAGGCAGCTCGTCCTTCCTATCAGTTACCCAGGGAACAAGGGGGAAGCAGAGGTGAACCAGGCTCCCCACAGGTGGGGAGGAGAGGAAGGCCTGGTGACCCTGGGAAGAGAAACAGGACTACAAACACCTTGCAGTACAGAAGCCTGACCTCTATGAAGGACATGCTGAGTGGGAGGGGCCTACGGACTTCAAGGAGAACACAAAGCACAAGGACCTAAGTGTTGGGGAGAACACCCCAGCCCTGACAGTGGGGGAACAAAGATGACCCAAGGCCAAGGCCTGAGCTGTGGGAGAAAACCCAGGGGAGCATGGAGGAGCTGAGATCGCTAAACCAGGTACAAACTGAGGTGTACCCTCAACGCACACGTGCACACGCACACACACCCTGGCAAGGCCCCGCATCACCCAGCTCTCACTAACAGACTCCCCCCTCAAAGCACATCCTGCAGAAAGGACCTCAAGGAGCACATGAGGGCTGTGCCCCATCCACAGTTGACCCTCAAGTCTCCTGGCCCACCCTTCTTGGCCTTCAACCCTACAGACTGTGCACAGCCTAGACCTGGTTCTCGGGGGCTCCCAGGATGGTATACCCTGGGGTCACTTGTCTTCCTCCCTGAGTTGCTTCCAGACCCCACTGTCATCTCCTCCAACCCACCATCCAAAGTCCAGTGCATAGTGGGATAAACCTGCTTGCTTCCTGGCCCAACGCCATCCACAGCCCTTTCCATAAATGATCATGTTTGGTCCTCCCAGCCACCCTGAGAGGGAGGCTTGATTGCTATGCTCATTTTACAGAGGAGGAAACTGAGGCCCCAAAAGGTCAAGTGACACAACCTGGGTCAGAACTGGAAACCCAGCCAGTCAGGCTCAAGGGCAAGCCTCTCCCAGGTTTGATTCCTGTGTCCTCCTATGTAGATTTACCAGTTTTGCTAAGATTGACTTCCTAATTCTCATGAAATCCCCAGGTGGACAGGGTGGTTGTGTGTCCTGTCTAACGTGGCCTCAAAACCAATGTATAACCATCCAGTTAGAGAAGACACAAGCCTGTCTATACTCACAAACCACCCTGCTGTCGGAACAGCCCAGGCAGGCCCTGGCCTCTACCAGTGTCAGGCCACCTCCAGTGACATACACACCTGTCACCACACCTGCCTCCTGGATTCAGCAGGAAGGCCCTTTCCAACTCTGAGGCTCTAGTTTCTAAAATCCTTCGATTCTGAAATTCTGAGTCAATGGTGTTAAGATTCTCCAGCATTAAGACTCAGCATTTAAAAATTTGGTTTCATTTTGTATTGCAGATGCTTTGATCCAAAATATGCAGATCGTGTAATCAGAGACTTGGTTCTGGAATTTGGAGGTTCTCAGATTCCATGAATATTTGTGCAGTTTTGGGAGCCCACAGTTCAGTCATCCTGCAATGGGCCTCACAGTGGCTGACTCTAATCCAGAGACTTTGAAGGGTCTTGGGGACCCCACAGGCCCAGCCCTCCCACCCCCTGAGCTTCGGGTCTTACCGATTAGGGTGCCCAGGTGGATGTTGAGGCCCTGCACCAGGCTGGAGATGCGCAGGCACAGCTATGGCAGGACAGAGAGGAGGCTGCAGTTAGGGATCCTCAAAGCTGGAGGCAAAAGGTAGCAAGGAGTCCAGGGGCCCTGAGGCTCCCCTGGCGTGCACACCAAAGCTGACATCCCTCCTTTCCTCCAGAGGGCATCTTCCAGAACCTCTTCTGGGCACAGAGGAAACAAGACAAGCAGCCCAAAGCTAGTGAGGGCAGCCTGTGCCCATGGCATGGAGGAGAGATTGCCACAGTGGCCACAGTCCAGCTGAGCCTGCTGTGTCAAGTCTCAGCGAGCTGGCCCAAGCATGGTGCTATGTTGGGGTCACGATGCCAGTGCCGTGCTGGGAAGATCAGAGGTTCTGCTGGGCCCAGCAGGCAGCCAGAGAGGTACACTGAGCTCAGGTCAGTGTGCAGAATATGGGGGCAGTCACAGCCAGGGCTGGGCAAGAGCTGGTGAGGCTGGGCCAGCAAGGCAGGCAGAAGAGGTCAAGGTCCTCCCTTCCTGCAGTGCCATCTGCAGCCCCTCTGCCCGGAAGAGGTTGTGAGGGGAGGAGGGAGGAGTAGGCTAGACCAACAGCAAGGCCAAAGTCCTCTTGAGCAGCCTGCAGGGCTCTCAAGACAAGCTGTCCCACCTTTGTCCTTTGAGCCTCAGCTTTGTCATCAGCAAGGTGGGACTGTTACAGTCCCCCTCTGGAGTGGGGCTGGCATGCAGCAGGTAAACTTGGTCTCTTCTACTACCGCTTAAGAGGAGGTGGGGATGGAATGGGTTGGAACAGAGAGGGAGAGTCTGCTTCCCTAGAGAGTGAGACACCATCTTAGTGTCACAGGACACCATCTTGCACCAGGTCTGCCACATGCAGAAATGACAAGAGCTAAAACCGCAACCCTCCTGTGCTCTAAACTCCTCTCGAGCGTTACACGGTGGAGGACGGTATTCTCTGCCCTGGAATGTGTGGTGAAGGGGCAAGTGTGGTGTAGGGGTGGCCAGAGCACAGAGCTGGGAAGGGAGCATTGGGACAAACCCAGCCACATCTACTCCAGTGCCAGGCCCTCACCCACCGGCATTTTTGTCTCCCCAGAAATCACTGTCCTGTCCCTTCCGCTAGCACAGAATAATAGGTGCCCCAGGGAGATCGGAAGTTAAGATGAATGTGCCTCCCTTGCAGTCCCCAAACTCCACCATGCCTCGGTCTCCTAATCCCTCCTCTGCACCACCACATCAAAGCTTTCTATTTTAAAAATTCAAGGCTGAGGGTAAAGTGGAGAGCTAAGTGTGTGTTGTGCATCCGTGAGACCATGGTTTTCATCCCCAGCACCCGCCGCCGATGCCTAAAATGAAACCCCACCACTCGTTCAGCAGGGCTTCTGGAGTCCAGCAATGTCCCTCTCCGGGTCACCCGCAGAGTCCTTTACCTTGTTGCTCAGGACAGCTTGAATGTGCTTCCGCACCAGGAGCAACAGCGAGGGGGAGGTGCTGAGGAAGAGATACAAAATGGTGTCTGACTCTCAGCAAAGCCACAGGTCTGTCCCAGTCAAGAAGTCTGTCCTCAAACAGCAGCCCAGTGAGCCTCCACCATGTGCCAGGCATAATTGTCCCCTCAGAGGAGGAAATGAAGTCCCAAAGAAGAGACCATGTGTCTCAAGGTTTGAAAATGGACACCAGTGTGATCAATGAGGCCAGGCTTGGGGTACAGAGGCCATTCGTTTTGTCCCTGGACAGCTGGTTTTGTGGCTACTCCAAGCCCAGTAGAGACAAGGGATGGAGCTGGGGTCCCAGATCTGCTTCCTGCTGTGGCTCGAATTCTCTGTGACATGCCTGGCAAAACCCCTTCCAAGCCCCGGCCCTCAATGTCCCATCTAAACAGTGAGGGATGGTCTAAGTTGATAGTTCTCAATGGTGGTCCTGTGGAACCTGTGGATGCTTGCTTGGCTAAGCCACAACCCAACTCACTGAGTCATCCCCGGGAGGCTGGGAGCTGGCATCCATGTGTTTACAGCATCAGCTCTGGGCCTCTGTTTCCCCTTAAACAAACAGGGAGCAGTTCCTGCCCCTGGAGAACACTGGGGCCATGGGTCAAACATGACAGTCACCAGGACTTGAGTGTGAAAGGACTGATGCGCATGCTCCCCTCTGGAGAAAAGGTCAGGTTTTCCGCAAACACTGGCTTTGCTTAAAGACTCAAATGCTCACCCTCTTGTAGTGAGCCCCTGCCCACATTTGCGAAGGTGTAGGCGTAATTTGGTGGGGGGGAGGTTCATGAGCTATGAAATTTGTCAGGCTGTCTAGGTTTGAATCCAGCTTTGTAGTCTTAGGCAAGTCACTTAACTGCTCTGTAAAATGCGGGGGACTCTTACACTCACTCAAGACTACTGTGAGGACCACAGAGATGACCCCCATATAGGACCTAAAATGGTGCCCAGCACACAGTAGGTGCTCTGGAAGTGCAGCAACCTGACATGCAGATGTCAGCAGCCACAGACATGGCGAGTGTTTGGCCAGTCCCCACTCCTCCCTGGGCTTCCCTCTCCCCATCTCTACTAGGAGGGGCAGCCTCTGGGGCTCCTAATGGCAGGCTGATCCACCCACAGTCCTCCCTGAACAGTCTAGTGTACACTGGCAATGGCCAGAACACAGGTTGTGTGGGCTCAGGTAAGCCCCTCCCCATCTCTGAGCCTCAGTGATGGGGGGTCTCTTCAGCCAATTCTGGCCATTGGATGGAATCCTGAGTGGGAAGCCCAAGACATCAAACCACAGCTTTGCCTGGGGAGCGGGGAGGAATCCCTGTAGCCCAGCCAAATCTGGGCACCTACCTGTTACTGACATCAAGCACAGTGACCGGGCTGAAGAGTGAGAAGCAGGTGGAGATGCTGACCTCGGGGGTCCCTATGGAGGCCTGGGCCACACGTGCATCAGCCAACAGTACCACCGGCAGCACCATCTCCAGTGGCTTGGGGACACTGTGGGAGACCAGACCTGAGCCCACCCAGGTTAGTGAAAGACCACTCAAAAACCTGGGCCTGCCCTGTACTTGACACGGACAGGCACCCCGACTTGGAATGAGATGGCCTCACTGGGGGCAAGCTCAGAGCACCCCCAACTCCGCTCCAGGTCATAGATGTCACAACAGGTTGGTGTGCCCCTCATTGCAGGACCCTGGGCCAGTCACCAGCCAGGCGGAGCTTTGGCTTCCACTTCCGTGAAATTGACAGGAGATTGGTGATACTTGTTTTTCAGAGCCATGCTGAGATCTCCAGGAGCTCGCCATGTGCAAACCCTCAGCTCAAAGGCTGGCCCCAGGGTGCACTCATGACATCGGAGCACTAGGGCAGAGAGGGAAGCTAGGCAGTGCAGTCACAGAAGCTGCCTGGTACGCAGAAATAATGCTGATAGCTACGTTTACTGTGCAACTGCTAGGAGCCTTACACTGGGAAAGGAATGGCAACAAGTCACTTAGTGCAACTCTCACAGACACCTGCAAAGTTCACCCCATTTCAGATGAGGACACTGAGGGCTAGGAAGTTTAGGGAGTCCACCCATCTCACAGTTGTTGGTCGGGCAGGGAGTAGGACCTCAGAGATTCTCCTGCCTCGCTCCCCTCTGTGGGAGACAGAGGTCTGGAGTCATTGCTAGCCCCCTCCCCTCACTGCACCCCTTGCAGTGTCTCTGGAACTCCTGCCCCTGGCAAGGAGATTTACTCACCAAAAGACCTGGACCGTAAAATTGGCCGTGGCTGACATATGAATCCCAAAGCCAGCAATGAATTTCAGGTGGAGGCGGGGCACATGGACATCCAAAATCTGGATCCTGTGGGGTAGGAATTAAGATGATGAGGGAGCTCCTCTAAGACCATGGACTTGGCTCTGGGGGTGAGGAGCACCCTGCGTCACACCCACACTCTTGATGTGGCAAAGGGGGCTTTCTGAGAAGTGGAACCACCACAAAGTTGCAGTGGTGAGCTCTCCATCATGGGGAGCATACCAACCAAGTCTGGACAGCCAGCCAGGAGGGAGACAAGCCACAGACTAGGCTTAGTAAATGATTGTACAGGTCTCTGACCATGTATGGCAGTGGCCTGGGAAGCTAGGAAGGCTGGGAAAGAGAGACTGGGGTCCACAAAAGCAGAAATCCTCTCTAGGGCATCCTAGCCTGCACCTCTGGCATGTCACCCTCCAACAGCAGAAAACTCACTCCCTCCAAAGCTAATTGCTCAGCTCTCTGCAGTGGCCCTCGCTTCCTTGTCTCCTAAGTGGAAATCATTATTTCCCTGCACAATAGTTGGGGGCAATTCAGACACTACAGAATGGTGTAAAGTGTGAAGGTCACATCCAGCCCCATCCTCAAACACCTCACTACTAGCCCTGGATGATGTGGCTCCACGAGTGTCCCTGGCACACCGGCCAACCTGCGCCCTGTTCCATTCACCCCACCACCATGTTGAGTGTGTTCTCACATCTGCAGATGAGGGTGAAGCGTGGCCAGGCCAGAATCCACTGCAGAGTCGTTGGAGGCTGGGTGTCTATGTGGGTCTCAGATCTCGACTTGACCTTTATTAACTCGCCATGAGCATGTCAAACGGTGGCCCCCGGGCCACTGTCTGCTTATCCACGTGAGGTTCCAGTGTCTTAATGTTTAGTTTTTCAATTAGTTGCTAGCATTCAAAATTATAAATGATGGGTTCAATCCCCAGTACCAAAAGAGAAAAGACGAAAAAAGTTATAAATGATAGAAGATAGATAGATAGATAGATAGATAGATAGATAGGTGATTGGCTGATGATAGATAGAAGATAGGTATACAGGTAATAGATGATGATGATAGATAGATAGATGATAGATAGATTCTCCTGGATGCCCAGAGATATGGCGATAGCAGGTCTGTGTTCCCACATGAATGAGGACAATTGGCCCAGCCACTGGAGGTGCCTGAGTTGGAGGCGCCCCCATCTACCTTTGCCTTGAGTCTCTGTGCATTAAGGGGTAGGTAGAGTTGGACTCAGACTTGTGTCTAAATTTGGTGTCTAGCTTTTGCAGGAAGGAGCCGAGCATCCTGTCAGCTCTGCTTTCTCCAGGCCACAGTATGGCAGAAATTCATTAATTCAGAGACCTCAGGCCCTGAGTCTCCATATTGGTCCCATCTCTTAAATCTTCTCACGACTCTTCACCTGGGCAAGGGCATCTAAGCTGAGGATGACAGCTACATCATCATTCAACAGCCTCCTGCACTCCCCCGGGAGGGGCACTGACCTAACTGGGGAGCAAGACTCACTCAGGATCTCCCTCTGGGTGAACTGAAGCACTCACCTGGCTGGCAGGACCACTCCAGCTGGTGACAGGAGCACCTTCTCTGACGATTGGGAGCACTCACCTGGTGGACTGATGCGCCTCACCACTCCGATCCAGGAAATTGGGAACAGTGACCTGCAGGGCCCGCCCAAGCGGGGCTTTCCCAATTTCAGATACTGTGGGACCAGGACAGGGTGAGGTTAGCCACCGAGCATCAAGAACACAGCACCCACTATCTGCCCTGCCCCTTGAGTGTAGGGGACTCAGATACCAGAAGGGATGGGAGTGCAAGCAGCACACAGGGAGGACAGGAGACCCTACATAAGCCGACCTTTGATGCTTACCCCAATTCCTTAGCAGTTCACCCTTCCTCTCGCTCCTGCCTCACAAAACCCTGTTTATTTAGCCCATTCCTCAAAGACTTGCCCTCTTGTAAGTCTTTGACTGGATCCCACCTGCCCTGGGAACCTATCCTAGTCCCCAAGCAGAAAGAGTCACTAATTATGCCTCATGGTTGAGGAGGCACCTGGGAGGGGAAGGGTAGCTTCACCTGGAGGCTGAGCACTCTGGAGTCCCTCAGGCTCTGGGGGAAAGTCCCAGCTCTGCTAATCCCTGCCCATGGCTGCTCTGTGCCTCGGTTTCCTCATCTATACATTTGCACTGATTATAATGGTCTCTGTCACTTGGGGCTGCTGCAAGATGAGTGCTAGCGACTATTATTGCCATAGATCTTTGCAGTAATGGTGGCTGTTCCTTGCAGAGGGTTCCTGGTGTACCAGGTGCTCTTCTGAGTGCTTTCCTCTTGCTATCATTAAGCCCAGCTGACAGGGAGGTAAGGACACCTCACCTGGCCTTGGAATGTCGGCTCTTGATGGAGGCCCCTGGCTTGGAGCCTACAGACTTCCTCTGTCACCTGTATGGCTGGGCCCCAGGTGCTAACTAAAAGTGAGCTGAATTAAAATGAGAAACCATGGTGCTGGAAGGGGTATCAAATTAGGAGTCAAGAAGCTGGAACACTGATCAGACTTACTATAGCATGATGGGACATCCCTGAACACGTCTGGGTCTCAGTTTCCCCAGACGCAGAGCAGAAAGATGGTAGTCTCCATGCTCCTGATGCCTCCTCCAGCCTGACCCTCTGCAGTTGAGCTGAGACTCCCACCCAGACCTCAGACTCCATCCACAGTGCTTCCTGACACACGGCCTGGACTCTGGGGCTTGCAGGATAGGATGGGGAAGACACTGGAAGAAGCTGCCCTGCCCAGACTTGGAGGCATTTTGGGCCACGTGGGGCTCCCACTAGATTTTTGCTGAGGACAAACATGCAGATGAGCCAGGGAGGACTCCTTGGGGACAAAGGAGGCCTGCACAGGACAAGCAGAGGGCAGGAGAGTGGCCAGGGGCGGTGAGCCTCATGTCCCCGCCTTTGGATCCTGCTCCAGCATGGATCACTGACTGCTTTCATCGCCTGCCCATCTGCCCGGATATGAGGTCCTGGAGAGCTGTGTCTACCCTGGGGGGTGGGAGGGGACTTGCTGCTTCCCTGAGCCACTGACTCAATGCCTTATGACCTGGCCATTGAAAGACCCTCCTCCTGTCTGGCTTGAGTCCCTCACACCGTAATCTGGTTTGACCTGGACTTGGGGGAAATAGCTGCTGACTTCTCACCAGACCCAGCTTTGGTGTAACCACAAAAGCTTGCTGGGAGGCAACTGGGGATAAATTAAGTTCTGGACATTAGTGGCTTTTGTTCCTCCCTGGGGCCAAGATTTCCTCATTGTGCCCTCCCCAGGTCATGGGACAGGATCTAGAAGCAAAACCATAGGGTAGAGGCATGGTCCAAGAGGGGCCAGAGTGGGACAGGCTTTCTCCCACTGAGCTCCACTGGGATCTAACTTCAGGTCACTCCTGCAACACTGGGCTTGACCTACCCAGCACATGGGTGCACACAGACACACACACACAAGTGCACTAGGTTATACACTAGGGTGTATAACCACACCTGTACAAATGCATCCAGGCACACACCCTCCCCAACATGAAAGTATACCCACGGGCACATCTCCATGAAGCTCTATACTCTTAAGCAGACACCCTTGTAAAAAGAGCATTCCATCCAGCCTATGCCCACTCCACTAAGGCCGTGAGCACAGTTGTGTGTACATGCTTGCATTTGGGCCACATCACACATACACCAGGTCCTTCAGGGCTTGTGAGTTCACACACACATGCACACTTAGGATTGTGCACACATGCAAACACAGGATCTATTGCACACGCTGGTGGTGCGTCTCTTACCGTAGTTCAGTGCTGCCTTGTTGAGTCGAACCATGGTGCCTGGCAATGAGGCACTAACCACAGGCAGCAGCAGCGCCAGCAAGAGGCCTAACTCACATGTCCCAGCCATGGACACTTCAGCCACTTCTCCCAGGATATGGGGACCACAGTGAGTTGGGCTGGAGGTGTGGCTGAAGTGGTAGAGCACCTGCCTAGCAAGCATAAGGCTGTAAGTACAAGCCCCAGTATTGCCAAAAAAAAAAAAAAAAAGCATCAGAGTGGAGGCAAGCATTAGGAGAGTTGACCAGAATGGCTGTCCCCGGGTGCTCAGACCCCTCTCCAAGTCTGGAGACACATGTCCTGCGTGTGACCCCACCCTGTCCCAGGTCCCACATGTCAGTCTTTGCATTTCTGTGCTGGGAATGACCATCTTCTCCTGCCTGCTTCATCAGGAATCAAGAGAATCTGGTCCAGAAATAGCTCCCAAGGCTCAGAGAAGTCATGGTCTTGTCCAGGTCACACAGCAGCTAGGGGCCAGGTGCAAGACCCAAGCCATATCAGAAAAAGATGGCGAGACTCCCAGCTGGGAAGATGGAGGACAGCTCTCTGTCCCAAGAAGAGGACCCAGGCCCAGCTCCCATGGCACAGGGCTGTGTCACCTGATGCCAAGAGTCCTGTCAGCCCAGTGTGCCAGCCCAGATGTCCAACTGTCCAGACCCAGACAAGGGTAGAACCCAGGATGGCTCTGGTCCTCATCTCATCCTGGCCAGGTGAGGAATGGCCTGAAAGTGGACCTCTCCCATGGTCCCCAGCCCCTCGCAACCCAGCCCAGTCAAATGCAGATCTGCATCCAGTTCTAGGAGAGGGAGCCTCGTTCCCAGCTGGGGGAATGAGAGGCCACTGCTCTGCTGGGTTAGTCAAGGCCCAGCGGCTGCTGGAGGAACCCACATGGAGCAGATGGAGAAGTGCAAGCTCAGCCTACTCCTACCTAAGCGGTTCCTGAGGCAGGTGGCCACTCAGCCCCGGGCAAGCCCTCCTCTGTGCAGGTGAGTAGGTGTGAGCAGCTTTATGAGGCTGCCCCGGGTGTAGGGCCCATGGGGAAGGACATGGGAGCGACAGGTTTGCTTGTGGTTGCAAGTGTTTTCCCTGCAAACATGGCCTTTGCCAAAGTGCCTTATTTCATATGTGTGATGGGGCTGCCACGTAGCCAGGCCTGGCTGCCAACTGCTAGGAGACCCTGGAGTTGGGCAGCTTTGGCTCAAGGGCCAGAGATCTCTGGAAGGGCGGGGGCTCTTCCCAGGAGTGTCCTCTCATCACCCCAGCCGGGCCAAGCCAAGGCCTAGGAGGAAGGAGTTGTCCAAGGGCAGGAAGATGAAAGCAATGACCCCTTATGTCTCCAAGTTCTGCCAGAAACACCACCCTTTTAGGAGGGGCAGCCAGCAGCCTAAGTCCCAACCCATCTCTGACTGAGTCCTAGCAATGGTCACACACTGAGTCCTTATCAAAAGAGAACAGGGGAAATCCCAGCTCCTTAGGAGGCAGAGATCCACGATTGCAGTGTGAGGCCAGCCTGGGTAAAAAGTTAGCAAGATCCTCATCTCAACAAATAAACAGAACATGGTGGCTCATGTCTGTAATCTCAGCTATGGGGGAGGGGGAGGTAGGAGGACCACTATCCAAGGCCATCCCAGGGGAAAAAAATGTGAGACTCTTTCTGAAAAATAACAAACAAAAAAGGGTTGGGGCTCAAGTGGTAGAGTACTTGCTTAGCAAGAGTTAGGTCCTAAGTTCAAACCCCACCACTGCCAAAAAAAAAAAAAAAGTGGGAGTAACAAAGGAGAAAGCGTGCATGACCCATTCCTACTGCTCACACCTGGCCCCTCTCCAAACACACACCAGCTTCACAGTGGGGTTAGCCTGCCACCTCTTTCCACCTTACAAACTCCAGAATTCACCTTGGCTATAAGGGACCCAAGCAAGGAGTCACAGGTGTGCCAGGAAGGAGTTTGCACAAACACGTGTGTGTGAAAGAGAGTGGATTGTGTGTGTGAATGTGGTTGTGTGTGCATGGTTATGTGTACACTGGTGCATTGGGTCATAATTGCTGGTATCAGAGGAAAATATGTTTGTGTGGGGGTGTATATGTGACATGGTAGGTTGACATCCTGGGCTTTGATGCTCCGTGCCAGGCGACACACACCCACATGAGTGCAGATGTGAAGAGTTCTGTGTATATGGATGGGGGTTTAGTCTACTGTGTGTGGGGGGCTCTGTGAATGTACATCTCCGGTGTTTGTGTGTATGTGAGTGCAGTGGACTGTTTCCTGGTATCAAGGTATATGTGTGTGCATATGTTTGTGTGTCTGTGCATACACATATTTACAAAAGGTGACGGCCAAGCTACAGCGATGCCCTTCCATTCCTCTATATGACTCATCTGGGCCACAGGAACAAGGCGCCTTAGGGACCTCTCACTTGAGAGCCCTCTGTCCACAGCAGCCCAAATACCAGGCGCAGAGCCCAGGCTCACCCTGGGCTGGGTTCCCTCAGCTCCCATGTACCTGACAGGTGAGACCATCAAACCCTCCCTTGCATGGCCAGAAGTCATCTGAATGAACTCTGCCTATCAGCCAGTGCTCCCGGCCCCAGTTCCAGAGACAGAAGGAAACAGAAGAGCCTGCTTGTATCTCCCTAACATCCTGCTCCTTGCCTCAGTTTGCACATCGGTGCTCAAGACCAGGTCCTCTTCATTGCTCATCACACTTGGTGGATAGAGGTGCAAATATTGACCAAAGCTACTTTTGGTGTTTGCTTTTGACATGATTACTTCCTCTTCCTTGACACTTGGAGACACTTGGGTGACATCCAGATGACACAAAGGAAGAATCCTAACCAGCCCCTCCCTGAGCCCTCAGCCTCCCTACCCAATGGCAAGCACCATTTTCTGGGCACCTGCCACATGCGAGGTGTTCTGCCAGCCACTCTACCACATCCCTAGGAATAGAAGCTGGTTCTGCCCAACTCTGTACCCAGTGCCTGGATAAGAGGTACTTAATAAATGTTTGTTAGATGAATGGATGGATGGCTGCATGGTTGGATGCAGCTGGCTGGCTGGCTGGATGGATGGGTGAATGGATGAACAGATAGATGAACAATTGAAAGACCCTATAACAACAACCCGCAGAATTTCAGTTTCCCCTTCACTAGATATTCTCAAGGGCATTGAATTAGTCTATTATTGGTGCTATGACAAATTACCACACACTTTGTGACTTAAAACACAAATTTGTAATCTTTTAGAGGTCAGAAGTCTAAAATACGTCTCACTGGACTAAAATCATGGCTGTCCTGGCAGGCCTGGTTCCTGCCAGGCTGAAGACGATAAAAAGGAGCTGTTTCTTGGTGTTCTCTGTGCTGTAGTGGTTGCCTTCATTCATGGGCTTCTGGCCCCTTCATCATCTCCAGAGTCAGAAGCTCTGGGCTGAGAGCCTCTCATGCTGCAGTATTTCTGTCTCTCTCTTGCACTTATAAGAACCCTGTGGTTGTGCTGGGCCCACTGTACAATCTAGGATATTCTCCCCATCTTAAAGTCAGCTGATCAGCAACCTTACTTCTGTCTGCTAGCTTCAGTTCCATGCAGCTTTACAAATAATAAATTCACATGTTCAGGTTTAATACCTGGGACCCTTTGGGAGACCATTAGTTCACTTCCCATGGGTGTTTAGCCTGCAATTTGGGGCAACAGCCACTAGGTTGCAAAAGTGAATTCATTTCTGCTTCATAATCCAGTCATGCTTTCTTCAGGCAGGGTTAAGGGAAAAAACCTTATACATTAGCCAGACACTTCCATTCCTTGATACTTTTATTTTTTCCTCATTAAGACAACACATGTAACATTATTGTGTATGATGCAAAAACCCACCAGTGGGAAGCTTGGCTCACAAAATACATTCACGTGCAACTAAGAAGGCAGTAAATCCAGGAGCCTGGGGCAGTAGGGGTCTAGGAAATAAGGAAGACCTTGCCTGGTTATTGGAGCCTCAGTGCTCACCCCTGTCCAGCCTCTGTCTTGGCATGGCCCTTCCTGTCTCATGGCTTCAGTTTCCCCACCTTGCAAACAAAAGGTGGTCCCCATAGTGTCCTTGATGGGAAATTCTGGGGCCAAGCTAGAGACTGGGCTGCCTCCCCAGCCACCTACTCTGTGAGGTCACAGTGCCGACAGTTCCACATGACCCCAGCAGATTCCACATGTCACCTTCCAGGGGACACTCAGAGGTGGCGGAAGCAGCCACTTCCTGCTCATTGACGCCCAGAGATTCCCCACCACCATCCCTCATCCTAAAGAAGGAAATCAATGCCGCGGTTCTCACGGAACCCTGGGGGCCCATGTGCCCTCACCGAAGATGTGGTCCACAATGCCAGGCCCAGGAGGTGAGGCCAGAGTCCCTCCCTTCGCCCAGCCTTTTGCAGTTTACAAAAGGGGCACCCTAGACTTCTCCTTGGAGGTCAGTAGGCGTTATCTACCGCATTTACGGGTGTAGAAGCTGAGGACAGAGAGGTTGACAGTGGTTTCCCAATGTCCCCTGGCCAGAAGGTGGCAAAGTAGCCATCCTAGCAGCACGTGTTTATTGAGCACCTGCTGTGCCAGGCACTGTGCAGAGGACTAGGGACACAGTGTCACATCAGTCCTGTGAGGCAAATATCTCTGCCCCTTTATCTGTCAGGAGGGCTCTAGTTGCAACTGATAGAAATTCCAACTCAAAATGATGCCTACTTCTAGGCCCCAGAACAGGGTAAACAAAACACTCCATGGGGGAGCAAGAAGACATTATTCAAATTTGAATGTGTATTTTCTAGCTCATTCTTTTTTAAACTGACACATAATAATTGTACATATTTGTGGGACACAATGTGAGGGTGTGGTACGTGTACACAATCTGTAAGGATAAAATTAGGTAACAAGTATTTCTTTGTGTTGGGAACCTTCAAACACCTCTTTTCTAATTATTTTGAGATATACAATAAGTTACCGCAAACTAGTTACCCTACTGTGCCATGTACATATATTCCCCAGAAATGTTCAAACAAACCTGCACACATTTGGAAATGTGTTAACACAATTAGGTACTA